TGTCACTGTTGTTCTAATTCTGTTACCTTCATGGCATTACCGTCATGCAATTATGCTTATCACCGGCATGATTGTTTGTACCATTCTGCCGCCATGACTGTGGCTGTGGATAGGCGGTGCGGTGCTTTGGCGTTTACTTCACACCTGTCTTGCGACATTCTGCCACTCACTGCACTTCTCTCCCCACCCTACACAGAATATTCGCGTTTCGACGCGTAGGAGTTGGGGGTTATCCTCAATTGTGAGTCAGAGAAGGAAGGCATTCTTTACTTACTCGCTTCCTTCCCTACACCTCACCCGTGAAGTTGACACTTGGATATTCACTCCGACATTGGTCTTCACAGGATTTGTCTATGATTACCGCCTTTCCACAAGTATCATGACTATTATATGTTTTGTCATTCAATTCTTTAGTTTTCAAACCGATGACGGTGGTTCGGGTCCAAAATTTTGGTCAATTCTAAAGTCAATGGTTCGCAGCGAAGAAGCCTGTTTCGACTCGGAGGGGAAGAGAGAAAGTGAGTTTAGAGTAAGCACTGCACAATGACCCCTGCAGCCTGGCTGAGCTCAACATTATCACTATCAGTTGTCTGAGGATTGCTGAAGGGCATGACACCAGTGTCTACCTCTACATGTACTCGGAAGCCGGGTACAGTCTGTACTTGCCTGTGAGTAAAGTACAGTCATGTAGATCTACTAGTGAGTACGTGTGGGATTTTCTGCATTAGTTTGAAGGAGGTGAATTAGGATGCATGTATTAAATAAAGTTCTTATCAGTTCTTATCAGGCTGAGCTGCATGGAATATTATAGACGCAGTGATATGCCATCCGTATCTGAACGCGTCATGAATAATACCAAAATTCATGACTGAGATGGGTGCTTCAGCCGGTAATTTCCAGCATGATTTGACAGGATAAGGACCACGCAAAGCACTCACTGGGGCATCAGTGTAAGCACTATGTACCATGCACGCGCAAGATTTCAGTGTTCATGCTTGCAATGTTGCCTTCAACTTCAAGTAGTATTCCTTACCCCAAATAGTACTGTTCACAAAGAAAACTTAATGGAATCTAAAGAAAATCGCCTGATGATTGCATTGTGCAAGAAACTCGGAGTTGCGACGAACTCTGTAAGGCCTTTGTGCCTTTCGTGTTGTAATAATGCTACCTCTCTGCTGGCTAAAGGGAAGCAGCATAGAGAGCGTTTCTCTCAGCGAGTGGGCTTCGACCGACATTCTCCACCTTTTTTTCTCCCTTTCTGGTGACCCTCAGTTATTTTGTTTTCTGTTCGACCCTCTTTACATTGTACTGTTGAGGCAATGAACCAAAATAAATCAAAAGCCAAAGAGATAGTCATGGGGAGGGAGAAAGAGAGAAACTATCTTAAATTGCTGGATTTTCGGGCATGGCTCATCATCAGGACTACAACCAAAGAATTATTGTAAATAGTGTCAGGTTATCCACTTTCTCTGGAGCAGCAATAGCTATTGACAGGGGGTCGCTATTCTTCACTAATCACCAATCCCTAGAGAGCTGTCATGCAGGGAGTTGGCACGTTAGTAGCTTCAGTACAACTTCAAGCTAGTGGATGAAGCACGATGTCAGGTCATCTTGCCGCCCTGGAGCCATAAGATAAATTTGACAGCATTAACGTTTTAGCAAGTCATGGCATGCTTGTCAAGCTACCATGGCTAGTGTCCAAGGCTATTCTGGAATGTGAAGCCTTGGAATGTTGGATGTACAATTATGCAGCTTTGCGAAATAAAGTGTGTTGTTCTCGGGGGATGCATCCCACAGCGAGTTCATTCACACTGATTAGGGGTGATCGCTACTTTGTATCAATTCGTGATACATGGAATAGCAATCTGGCTGCACTATAACATTAGCACATGCAGACAATGTTTTAGTTCAGTATACGTAACAACATGTCAGGACATAATAATAATAATCCTAAGGCATGCGAGGCGAATTGGTCATGTTCAGGTTAGTTCTCTTGTGGATGTTCAGGGGCATGGATTGCCTATTATTTTGACCTGTCTTCATTTATCCACGCGCATCTTGAGGAAGCTTGCCCCAAGGGGGGGGGGGGGGTCTACACATACTGAACTAGCTGAAAGCATGACACACATCGTTATAATTATTAATAGCACGTGCCTCCACACAGTACAACATGCCACACAACAGTCAATGCTGCGACAGCTAGATACTATAGAGGTCTGGCATTTGCTCCATTACATTGTGATCGGCATACCCTTTGTGACACCAGGGGGCACGAAACAGCCAGTGCTAATGATTGTCCCTGGCCCATCATCCACGCTTCATTGAACAGCCCGAGATAAACCAGACAGATGAATAACACTGAAGCAATCTGCTGGCACCTGGCACCACAAGCAACTGGTTGTCCCTGTCCGTCATGTGTCTTGACTTTAGGATTGTTTTTGAAGTACTCTTGCTACTTGCTGGTTAGTTCTACACTCTGCAATACTGCATCACTACAAACTGGTCTTTGCAAACAAGCAACAGGTGATGTATAGCCGTGTTTAGAAATAATATGACTTTTTTACTACTGAGCTGACGTCATGACTGCGCCTGTAGTACTGTAGTGTAATCGAATAATACTAAGTTACACTACCTTAGTTACAGCGATGTACGGAAACGCACACCGCTATCATGGTGGTATAATGCTTGCCAGTTTTCAAGCCCAACGCCATGAACTTGATGATGATGATGAAGCATACATGTACATGTATATTGCAAAGTTAACTAAAGACCTGGTCCATTGATGCTCTTGTTAGTATTTCGCACTTTTCTCTCTCTCCACGACTTCTCCCCCACCCCTCTCCGGGCTCTCCCTCACTCACTAACGTTGTAGCTTTACCCAAGTGCCGGGGTCCAGTGTCATTAGGCTTTGTTTTGGATTTACCACTATAAATAAAGAATACAACAACAACAACAACAGCAACAACAACAACAACAACAACAACAACAACAACAACAACAACAACAACAACAACAACAGCAACAGCAACAGCAACAGCAACAGCAACAGCAACAGCAACAACACCAACAACAACAACAACAACAGCAGCAACAACAACAACAACAACAACAACAACAACAACAACAACAACAACAACAACAACAACAACAACAACAACAACAACAACAACAACAACAACAACAACAACAACAACAACAACAACAACAACAACAACAACAACAACAACAACAACAGCAACAGCAACAGCAACAGCAACAGCAACAGCAACAGCAACAACACCAACAACAACAACAACAACAGCAGCAACAACAACAACAACAACAACAACAACAACAACAACAACAACAACAACAACAACAACAACAACAACAACAACAACAACAACAACAACAACAACAACAACAACAACAACAACAACAACAACAACAACAACAACAACAACAACAACAACAACAACAACAACAACAACAACAACAACAACAACAACAACAACAACAACAACAACAACAACAACAACAACAACAACAACAACAACAACAACAACAACAACAACAACAACAACAACAACAACAACAACAACAACAACAACAACAACAACAACAACAACAACAACAACAACAACAACAACAACAACAACAACAACAACAACAACAACAACAACAACAACAACAACAACAACAACAACAACAACAACAACAACAACAACAACAACAACAACAACAACAACAACAACAACAACAACAACAACAACAACAACAACAACAACAACAACAACAACAACAACAACAACAACAACAACAACAACAACAACAACAACAACAACAACAACAACAACAACAACAACAACAACAACAACAACAACAACAACAACAACAACAACAACAACAACAACAACAACAACAACAACAACAACAACAACAACAACAACAACAACAACAACAACAACAACAACAACAACAACAACAACAACAACAACAACAACAGTAATGACTGGTATCCATGGTGACGCCCATCACCAACTAGACTTACAACTCACTCCCTATCGACATCACAACCCAACCTCGTAGAAATTCTTTCCGAAACAATGCATCCAGTATTCTTTTGAGCAGTACCTGTTCCTGCTCCGCGCATCCCCCTGGTTTCTGATATCTCGATCACCCCTGCTAACGTTATTGCCCCCGCTTGTTTTTCATGATCCATTGCTTCTTGCCTCCCTGGTTAATTTCCATCTAGCTGTTTCTGGCTAGTACCAGTTCTATCACACTTATCGACCGTCCTTATTGGCGTCACGCCATATTGGAATAAAAGAATAATAGACTACTGCCAGTAAATCTACTGAGTAGGTCTACTGGCCGGTTGTCTGCATGCTACATGTGCTGAGTGCTGACCTGGACTTTTGACCTCAGCGGCCTACTTATGCGAATGTAGCAGCAGTGGCATGCTAGCTCCAGAATCAGATCCTGAAAATACATTTTCCGGGCTAGAAGCCGATCAGAATTTCATAAACCGTTTTCATTACGAACTAAGCTAAGCAGGGAGTGGTGCTTTCTTGCAGGTTTGCCGAGTGGATGGAAGGTTTCATGGACTTCTCGTGTGCTCTGGATGGCAGTCGTGAGTCAGTCAAGTGAGACGCAAGTTGGCAGGAAAAGCGTGAGCTGCCACGTAGGGAGCGACACAAAATTCCCTAAATGTATCGCCGAAGTCGTACGTAGACCTACGAACCTCTTCTGAACGAAAACTACATTCATTGTCATTTTGATAGCATTTTTCTTTTACTACATGCAGTTTTAGTATAATTGATAACCACCGAACGCCTCCGTTGTTGATTTACTAGTCCTGTAGCTGTGAGGCTGTGACGGATGAAACCATCATAAGAGCCGCGCGCTGACCGCTGGCACGTGCACCCGCAGACGGAGACTACTTACTTGTACGACCGTCCACCTAGCTTGCCGATCGCCGATCGCTAGGCGATGGCCTAGCGTCCAGTGCAGAAAGGAAGACAAAAACTTTCAAAGGTTACCTTCGTGGTGGAGAGAGATCTAGAGAGACAACCGGTTGGGCTGTTTCTTATCGGTCTGGACGACGGCAATACAGGACGGAGGAAATCGCGACGGCATGAGGACCGTACTACTGCTGCTGGCAGTGTGGCAGGTGAGTCACTTCATTCTCCGAAAACACATACACGCACACACACACACATACGCGCACCTACATTGTATGTTGTTTCAGGGTTGCGCATGTCCGGCGATTCCTCTCGGGAATAAGCGGTTCTTTTATGGAAACGGTTTCGGAACCGACCTTGCACCACGAAGTCACGATTTTCTGGAAGACTAAATCGTAAATCGGTAGAAGCTGTACTGAAAGAGTAGAGGAAAAGCGTGGCTCCATCTGTTCTGTACTGTATAATTCGAATACTCCGATGTCCATGTACATAATGTCATTGCACGGCCTGTGAATTTCCACTTCGCTATTGTCACATGTTGGTATAACTCTAAGCATTTCAGTTTTAGACTAAGCACAGCTATGTGCAGTAGGAAAATAAACAGCCGAAAGAACAGCAGGTAGGTGCATGCACTTTTGCGTGCTCACTGAGGCCTGTCAAGAAGTGGAAAGATGGCGACGCATCGAGATGGCATAGCAACCTCGCAACCACACACGTGATGTAGGAAGCGATATGCTCAAATACAAGTGCAAATCCAGTACATGTACTAAGTAAGATTGCTGTTATCTAGCAACATCTTCAACTCTTGCTGAAGAGGGTTAGTTGGCCAAGTTTGCCATTGACTTGTTTGCTGCAGTGCGCCAGTGTATCCTCTCAATAATGTACAGTGCTCCGCAATGAAATCCGATCGTGTGAATCAAGTTTGTGCCCTCCAGCATTTCTAAACGCAGTGTTCATAGGTGTAGCGCTGCACAGTGCCTCAGGGCCTGCTGGAGAGCTGGGTCAGCCGGGTCGCGCGCCCGGCTGGGGAACTGCACGACCTGGCTGAACAGATAACACCGGGTCCAGTCTGACCCGGCTGAAAAATGTCTCAAACTGACAATGGATTTCTAAAATACCGGTATTTTACGACTCGCGGATCCCATCTGTTGCAAATCTAGCGCAACCGTACACACTACAGTCTACAAGCGACAGAAACTCGGCTAGGGTCAACTGGGGTCAACTGGTTCGAGCGCGATCTGGCCAGCGGCAAGCAGGAAGTCAGGACATTCAAAGTCGATGGGGCAGGCAGACAAAAGCGTAACTTTGGCTATAGCTTTTGACACAGTTGCAAGTTTTCAGCCGCCTGGTGATTTGGACGATGGAGCCCGCAGCGAAGAGAAAAAGAACTCGCGCTTAGTCGTTTACCTTCTACGTTTGCGCCTTTGCGGACTTCGATAGTTCGCCTTGTTCTCTAAAATTTTCGATTGACGGTAATAAATTCGCCTTTCTGTTTTCCTGCGTTTTGAGCAGGCTTTTTGGTTGTTTTCTGCCGGATGATCTGACCCGGCTTGACCCGGCTGGCTTGCATGCGCCAGGTACACTCTGACCAGGCTGTGTTGAATGTCTAGAGCAGGCCCTGTGCCTGGCACGTACTTGTCTCGTACGGCCAGATTTCATTGACTCAATGATTGAGCAGCCATGTACATCAATGAGAACGGATTGTCGCTTTGTTGCTGAGTAGAAATTATACTTGGCTCCCCCCTCCCCACACCCCACCCCCACCCCACCCCACACCCTCCTGTTTTGAGGATCAGGGACAGGGGCAGAACACTTTGTACACTCGCATTCCACGATGATGAAGGCAGTAGTCATGTACATATACATGCACATACAATATAAGTACAGTCTGTATCGGCTATAGCGTACCCTTTTGATTTCCGTGATTTTATCACTAGAACCGATGCATCACTACATGCGATACGATCGATTTTTCTTTTTCTTTTTTCGATCGACACATGAAAGGCGAGGAAATACTTCCAGCATGGCGTTTTGACAAATGAGCATGCTGCATAGTTGACAGTGCCCGCATTTCCATAAAAAATTCTGTTATGTACATGTACATAATATCACTATAAAAATAAGCAACGTGAAGAAAGTAAAAAAATAGGGCCTTTCATGATATCATTGCTACATGTATTTTAAAGTTACCACTATAGCCGATAATAATATAGTGTGTTATGCATGTTTTGATTCTTTTTTGCCATCATAGTATCCGATATATCATTACATCCGATAATATTGGTTATAGTGTATTTTGACTGGATAAAATACGTTTTGATATTTCGTACCAATATCACTGTAGCCGATACATTCTTATATCCGGTCACTCTATAGCCGATACAGACTGTACTTGGAAATTTCGCTAATTCGTACTCAAAGGCCAGGTCATCCAGCAAGCCAACATCGAGAAGCACAATCTGGACAAGAGCATGAGCTGAAGGGCTCGCTGGGCTCAGGCACTCAAATTCACCCATCCCCTTTAATAAGATTTGCAAGATTACTCAAGAATAACAGATGCAAACCTAGCTCTCCTCCCAAACCAACAGCACATACGAGGCACGCGTAGCCTGAAAAAATAAAACTTGAAAACAGCACCAGCCAGGTAGAACCTGCCGAAGTTCACAGAAACACGAAATCATCTCCCACCTTGCCACAAACTAGGCCAGCTGCCAAAAGAATTTTTTCACTCCGTCTTCTAGAAAGATGGAAGTAACCGGAATACAATAATATCTCGATTATCTCTCTATATAATACTCACCCCTCAGATCTAGCTCGAAATACCTTTCAAAAAATGGAATTTGTGCTCCAACTGGGAGGAAAGTGAACACGACAGAGTAACAACACAAACGAAGCCCGAACTCTTGGTGAACAGCAGCAGGTATCTTCCTGAAGACGTTAGCATTTGAATAGGCATAGAATACCTGTGTGATTTGTCGACTATAGGGCTGTTCAGAGTCTAAGAACTGATCAATACCTGAATGGACCAGTTTCCTGCCAAGTGTGTGGGCGGGCGAGCTGGCCAGATGACATGTTATGCCTAATGAGCATGCATTGATCTTGCATGGTTCATGTACGGACGATTTTGAAAGACTAAGTTGCCACGATTCAAGTGCACAGCTGTGTGGGAGTGGTGCTTTCTCACAGGTTTGCGGAGTGGACGGTTTGATGGCCTTCTGGCATGCTCTGGAAGGTAGCCTTGAGTCATTCAAGTGGCAAGTCAGCAGGAAAGGCGCAAGCTGCCATATAGGGATCCGCACACACTTCCTCCCCTATCGTTTTTAAAATATTTGCGTTGAGGATTCTAATCATGCAGTTCTCTGGGTCTTCAGTTTCCCTGATCTCCGCTACACATAACATGAAACTGGTTGTGCTGCATGTGTCAGAGGTCAAACATGGGGGGGGGGGGAGAGAAAAGGTGGAGAGTGTGAGAAAATGGTAAGGGAAAAAGAGAGCACAGTAGTTGAATAGACCGGCATGGTGATTAAATCTGTATTTTCTGTGCAGCTCCCCCTGCTGTCAACATGTCAACAAATAGTAGGTGGTAAGTAGTCGCCATCATTTGCCTTTCTGATATGAGATACATGCAAACTGTACTCAGTGTTTCGCCACCCTCCACAGGGTGGCGTAATGCCACGTGAGCGCCGAAACACCTTGCTGTTGGCTGTTTGATTCTATTTTAATTCACAACTACCAAACGACAAGAGAGGTGCCCGATAGCAAGGAAACAAGTGAAAGCATCAAAGAGCACAGAGGAAATCAAGGAGACAGTTCTAGAGGAATGGCGGGAGTCGGGCAGGATGGATGATTTGAGCTCTGATATATTTAGGAGAGAAATACCAGCATTTCAGACACCTGGGGGAGGGGGAGGGGGAGGGGGGGGGATTATTTGGTATCATAGTCAGTTGATATCATAGTCAGTTGGTATCATAGTCAGTTGGTATCATAGTCAGTTGGTATCATAGTCAGTTGGTATCATAGTCAGTTGGTATCATAGTCAGTTGGTATCATAGTCAGTTGGTATCATAGTCAGTTGGTATCATAGTTGGTATCATAGTCAGTTGGTATCATAGTCAGTTGGTATCATAGTCAGTTGGTATCATAGTCAGTTGGTATCATAGTCAGTTGGTATCATAGTCAGTTGGTATCATAGTCAGTTGGTAGCATTCGTAGGAAACATGTACATGTACATGCATGTAGTCTGATTTATATGCTCACATAAGATATTAGTAGGAAGGAGTGCAGGCACAGGAGCTGGCAGGCAGAGAGGCGAACAGTTATCTCCCTTGAGATTGCTTATACCAGTACTATCACAATGCATCGCAGTCATCTCACCTACCGGTAATTCACGGTGCCTATGCTCTATAGTTATTACAATAGTAACAGCATTTAGCTACAAGGCTTGCAAAGCAAAGTCATCAGATGCAATACTGCAAGGGTCCTTTGTGTTGTATTTAAAAGATCAAAACGCACTAGCAGTTGTAAGCATTTGCCTCTTCAGGTACATTGTACAGAAACTCCCCAGATCCGGGTTGCAGGTTGGGATCGAGGTAGAACTCCCCAGATCCGGGTTGCAGGTTGGGATCGAGCACTGCCCGCAACTAGGAATTGCCCGCAACTCAGAACATCCATACGTACTCAATGCAAGTAAACATTTTTTTATGCCAATCAATAGTTTTCAAGGCCCTTTTTTGTTGAAATGCCAGTTTTTGTGACTCTAGATGGGTCAGAAAGGTAGACAGCCGTGCCCGGATTAGGGACGTCCGGATCTGGGGAATTTTACTGTACATGTAGTCGCATGTCTATGCATAGCAGGCTGGTGTCTGTAAAACCACCATGCTCACCCAGTTGCCAGGGTACGCCCTAGCTATATGCTGCATACACATACAGTCGTGGCCAAAGAAATCCAACCCACGGCCTGAAAGCAGCGCCAAGGCTCATGCGGCTGCTGCAGCCCTCGGATCAGTTATGGGGACATGCATGATGTCATTGAAATGGGAACACGACGCTACTTTTGACTCGCGGGTCGGATTTCTTTGGCCATAGCTGTACATTCTAACATTTAGGGAGAGAGGGAGAGAGAGAGAGGGGGGGGGGGGGATTAGCTAAAACTTCATGCTCTACCTCATCAGTGCACTGACTGTATATTGGCTGGTGATCGATCTCTTAGAACACGGAACTTTGATCTCTGACCTGGTGATCGGTTAGCCTCGATCAGGGTGCAGCTCTTGAAGCAACCAAATTTCCTCCCTCCTTATTGTTATGTGTAAGCCCCACCTTGCGATTGTGACGGCTTTTTGTTTGGTGGGCATTCCACTTGTGTACATTCTCGCATTTAGGCGTGTATGATTGAACGGCACGTAGTTGTACTCGATTGATGTGGCATGATAAGATTGGTACAAAGGTTACTATTCCTATGGGATGTGATGCTGCTGGTACTTGTATTGTTGTAGGGTGTCAGATACCTGGAGCACCGCCCAATGGACGCATACAGTGGAGCTATGATGGGAGCACAGTCAGTGTTAGCTACAGCTGCAATCAACCATATCGCCTGCAGCCATCGCAGACACCGATTACGTGTAGGGGTGGCGTCTGGTCTCACAGGTTTCCAGAATGCGTTGGATCGGTCATACCGCCTCGGATCTCACCGACCTTGCGGCCATTTCTTCGTAAGACATACTAGTCACGAGGGGTTATTGTGTAGTGTCTTGCTGAAAGCATACTATGATTGTGTATTGTCTGCATTGAGCAGGGAAGTTAGATGTGGGCTTTGCGCAGCAAAGCCTAGATAGCCCTGGCACACATGCGATATTGGCATGTTGCTGTGAGTGTGTGTCACATGACTGTCCAGGACATCCTGTTATGGTGTCATATCGGAAGATGTGTCTTCTTCAAGCTCTGGAACTGTCGGGATGTGAAGGAGCGTTCCTTTGCAGTTGATTTCTTGATGTGTCAAAATGCAGTTTTCGCTTTTCATTTGTGTGTGTGTGTGTGTGTGTGTGTGTGTGTGTGTGCGTGCGCGCGCATGTGCGTATGCGGAGGTGTGCCCGCAGGCATGGTTGTGTACCCGTGGGTTTGGGCTAAGAGGGGGTTAAAGTATCCCCTGGAAGAATGCACTCTGCAGCACTGTACCAGTACAGTGTATATGTACACAAACTTAGTGATGTAACCAAGTGAAATTTCCTTGCACGATTATGTGGAAGGTGCATTTCCCTGGCTCATGATCAGAACAATGTCATGTTTTGAATGCACCAAAGCCTCGTATACCGAGACGAACCCATTCGGGACCAGAAAAAGACCTGTTTGTATGCAGCTTGTGAAAAGTCACATTTTACACACAGAACGGTGGCTTACCTGCAGATATAGAAATCCAAATCAAATCGTAAACACGCAGAGAGGTCGTCAGAAGTCACCCCAGTATTCGAAACGGTCTAATGTTCTTGTTCACTTTGACTTTCAACCCGGTTGCTGGCGGCTGACTGAGTCTGTGTGTGTGAGTGTACGTGCGTATGTGTGAATGCGCGTGTGCATCATCAGTGCATGTCTGGTCTTGCTGATAATCTCTCCACATACAATAACGCAGCTCCTGGTCAGCATTGATTTGATCATCCATTGTATACTTTCTCCTTCACCGGCTTCTTCCTACACTCCAGCTCATGTCATGATCCCCGGCATTAAGTCAGAAGTCCTCCGTACAAGGTCATATGGGGGATACTATTGTTTTGAAACATCCTTGAAAACCCATTCAATGTGACCCTTTTCCAAGCCCTAGTCCTGCAAAGAGTAGTAATATTACCACTGGACCAGCAAGTAACAAGGTTCCTTCGGTTCAGGATTTGACTGGGGCTCGCTCGGCTCAATTGGACTGCCACTGCCAACGGACTCCTCTGAGCTGGCAGCTGGCGACTGTCAAGACACCCTAGTCAATTATTAGCGCTGTCATATCTAATGACAACTATTTCAGTATGCGCACGTGGGCCCAAAACTTTGGGGCCCTTTTTCCTCAAAAGTTCGAATGTGGGGCAACCTGTGATTTCTACCCGAACCGCTCACATAATTATTGTTATTCATTGCCCATCAATGCTAACCGCAATCAATGCTGTACATATAAGCTGCCATTTTGCAGAAGGTCATCCAGGTGAAACTGAGAAGTGTTGTGATATCCTTGCTGCTGTTTTCCAGCTCAAGCGGGTACATACACGCTGACCCTCAGCCTGCAAGGTGGTGACAGGACAGCTCTGTACGACATTCTAGTGTACACGTTTCGCAATGGGCAGCTCACTCTGTTGAGGGACAAGAGTCGTTATGGTGTCAGGTGAGTGGAAACATGTTCTGGATGTACTGGGCACACATGTTGTAAATGTCTTGGACTGCAGGTATGGAACACCTAGTGTAGCCTAAGGGAAAATGCTCAGAACCAGAGAAGAAAAAACTACACTATTGTATTTGATTTTTGACCTTGACCAAGACTATACCGATCTCCGATCCCCGATGGTAATGTTGACACGTGCATGGCTACATTTTAGTGGTCTTGTTGACATGCCTGTGCATATTATGATACAGGTAATCGAGCATAATTATAATTAGCTGCCTTCTTCTTGCATGATACAGATGCTTGCGGTCACTCATCATCCGGTAGTTTTGTTTCTCCGTGCCACATACTGTAGAGTTACCTAGTTGATCCAGAGAGCATGACTCACCTACCAGCGTTGTAACGGAATCTCAGCCATTCCGTTCCCCGGGACGCAGGACACAAAGGACAAGACTAGTTTGGTTTACATAATTATTATTGACATTACGGAAATGGAGACAACACTCAAAAGGACGAACAAGAAGACTGACAAAAGGACTCTCGACTACAACATCGCGCATGCTCATATCACACATGCACGCGACTAGACGAGACAGTTTGGGGAATGCCATCACACAGGAAAACAACACATCATTTCACAACACCTGCCCCCTTGATGACATTCCACAAAATAATAAACCGACACCACGTTCCACATGCACAACAGCAAAAGGAACCACAGCAGAACAGAAAAACGAAAACCAACCATCAACCTAGAGCCGACGCTCTAATATCCGGGCCACGAAACAGGGCCAAACAAAAACCTAGAGCCGACGCTCTACGACCAGGCCACGCCACACAAGGCCAACCGAAACACGGGGGCCCGAAGCTCCAACAAAATAATAACATGCGCACACCCGCACCAAATAAATCTACAACAAAAACAATGGAGAACAACAGAACGAATAGAAGAGCAACAGACCGACAACAACCAAACTGAAACAACACAGCAACAAGCAACGAACTGAACAGAGAGAGAACAACACAGCGAGCAAGACAACAAGACGAACAACAAGGACGACACACAGTCGGTGACGCCAGACTCGTCCACTGTCCTCTGGCGAGCCACGGCCACACGCTCCGTCGCGGTTCCTGCCGTCTCAGGCTCCAGTCCACAGTGACTGTTCTAGTCATCACCTTCTCTGCCTCCTCTCCGCGTCGTCTTCCGCTCCCACCAGCTCTTCACCTCCTCCGCTCTGCTTACTTCAAAGTAACAGTTACTTCGTTGTTGACGACGATGAACAGACTCATGACAAACTTACTCATCCTCTGCGTCCCGGGTTTCGGCACCACGTTGTAACGGAATCTCAGCCATTCCGTTCCCCGGGACGCAGGACACAAAGGACAAGACTAGTTTGGTTTACATAATTATTATTGACATTACGGAAATGGAGACAACACTCAAAAGGACGAACAAGAAGACTGACAAAAGGACTCTCGACTACAACATCGCGCATGCTCATATCACACATGCACGCGACTAGACGAGACAGTTTGGGGAATGCCATCACACAGGAAAACAACACATCATTTCACAACAGTATCCTCTGCAGGGGTTTAGTATAACTGGGCCAACTTATTGCAGTGAGACGAATCCATGCTCCTTTCCTCGGCCACCACACCACTGGACTTTCTTTCACAGCATACAGAACCGGACAATCACTTTATAATAGTGTGGGCTCGAATAAGAGCAGGGTTCTAGCCAAAGGAGGCGCATCCCCTCCCCCCCCCTCTGTGAAAAGTGAAAAGTGGCGCCCCTCTAGTCATTTGTTGATTTTTGTGTTTTCTCATACAATTCAACAAAATTAATGCAGTCGATAGTCACTACTAGAGGGTGCTTGTGTGCCTCACTTTGACGCTGGGGTCTGTTGCACAAGCATACTACCCCCCCCCCCCCTCCCTCCCTCTCCCCACCCCGCTCTGTTACTAGTCTTAGACTGGTCACTGCTCTTTAAAACAATGACCCAAAACTTGGGCCAAAAGCAATGTGGACGGGTGAAATATAGGCTGAAACTAAGTCTTGAAATTTCTCCTCAATCTTTCTGGTAGGTACACTAGCTTCCCCATAACACTAGACGGCCTTTCAGCTGGATCATACTCTATCCGTATTGATCAGCAGCTGGCTGGAGGTGGCCGTCAAACTGTTTCTACGCTTAGTACGCAAACTGGAAGGAGCAACATACAACGTACGTATACTACAGAAGCTGTTAGCTTGTTTCACTGCATATGTGCTATTGACTTTGTCAGGATTACTATTCAATTTTTGTTATGGTCAATACGAATATTTTTTTGCACGACCTCTACTTTTCCTGGGCAAGGCTATGCTTGAGTGTATGTGTGTGTGTGTGTGTGTGTGTGTGTGTGTGTGCGTGCGCGTGTGCGTGTGCGCGTGTGTGTGTGTGTGTGTCTGTCTGTGTGTATGTGAGCCAGTGTATGCCGGAGTATGTGGTGTGGTGTGTGTGTCGAAAAAGAAAAAAATGAATGAAAAAAAAATGAAAAATGAATAATAGGGATTCACTGGCCAAAAGCCACTTCAATCAGCTGTGTGGTGGATACCGGGCTAAACATTAGTGGCAGTCAATTCATCAGCCTTGCAAGCTGTTGAATGGTGTAGTCCCAGCACAAGTTGCTATGTCTAACTTAGCTGTTCGCTATCGTCGCTTCCACGATGGGCAGGTCTGACGTCTGAGGAGGGGGTGCGAGGTCTGAGGTCTGAGGAGGGGGTGTGAGGTCTGAGGTCTGAGGAGGGGGTGTGAGGTCTGAGGTCTGAGGAGGGGGTGTGAGGTCTGACGTCTGAGGAGGGGGTGTGAGGTCTGACGTCTGAGGAGGGGGTGTGAGGTCTGAGGTGTGAGGAGGGGGTGTTTCTGATATAGCCACTCGCACTAGTAGCAAGTACAGGTGGAATCCTAATAATTTGAACGCCAAAAATGTCAGGGAAAGGCTTCTAATTATCCGGACATTCTAATTGATAGTAATTATCCAAAAAATGTACCCACAGCGCTGAATTAGTTCGGCCTCCACCACATGCGCTAATTCAGCTCCTGCTTACCCTCATATTATGTCTGAGTGATTACTTTTCAGATGCAGATTTCACCGGCATTGAACTGGCCGTTGCAGCCTGCTCATGCACACTGTCCTGACTGCTCATGCACACTGACCTGACTTGCGGCCTGCTCATGCACACTGACCTGACTTGCAGCCTGCTCATGCACACTGTCCTGACTGCTCATGCACACTGACCTGACTTGTACTTCAAAGTATAATGTACAGTGAACTTCAAATTATGCTTTGCTAACTTAGAATTTTTAGCACAAACCCCACACATTTTCTACGTAAGTGGATTCCGTGGGACTTCTAATTCATCAGACACGCCCAGTTCGAGGTTCGAATTATCTGATATTGTTCTAAAAGTGGGAGTTGCATTGATAGAAATTGGTCCTGGAAGAAACTTCAAAGCGGTATGTTCAAACTCAGCCATATTCGAATTATCAGGATTCCACCTGTATTACCTTCACTGGGGGCAGGGGTAAAAGTTGAATCTCGGGACGGATACCCTGATGCCATGAAATCCTTTTTCGGCACCTTGTCCTCACGCACTTCTGGAGGTGTGGTGAGTCCATAAGTGGGATCATTTCCAAGTGTGTGTGTGTGTGTGTGTGTGTGTGTGTGTGTGTATGTGTGTGTGTGTAAGTGTGTGTGTGTGTGTGTGTGTGTTGAATGGTGCAATCCCAGCACAAGCTGCTATGGTTTCTGCTGTAGCATCGCTATCATCGCCTCTCCAATTCCCGACGATTATGGTCGCACACATCTTTCTTCTCTTTCTCATTCTCCTAGCTCTTCTTTCATTCTCCTGGGTGGTTACCAACAGCCAGTGTATGCCGGAGTATGTGGTGTGGCGTGTGTGTGTAAAAAAAATGAAAAAATGAAAAAAATGAAATATGAAAAATAGAGATTCACTGGCCAGAAAAAGCCACTTCAATCAGCTGTGTGGTGGACACCAGGCTAAAAAAATTAGTGGCGGTCAATTCATCAGCCTTGCAAGCTGTTTAATGGTGTAATCCCAGCACAAGTTGCTATGTCTAACATAGCTGTTCGCTATCATCGCTTCCGCGATGGGCATGTCTGAGGGGTGTGAGGGAATGCGCCCGTGCGCGCATGTGTGTGTACATGCATGTGTGCATGTGTGCGCACATTCATGTTTTGATAAACCTTGGCGTGCTCAGCGCAAACTTAATAACTTGCACCATAGTACGGATTCGACAACTGGCCCATTGTTCTCTTCTTTTGTTGTTATTCCTCACCCCAGTCCCGTTCATTCCAGCATGGCCCAGCACTGGCGTCACAACTGCTTCTCTGCGGCAGGGACAAGTTACCATTGAACTGCCCAACCCTCCCAGTGGTCAGGTAAGTTGGGTTGAAAGTTGCAGACTTGGCCACGACACAACAACTTGTTGCATCTGCGCTCAATCTCCTTTTCTACCAGTATTTACATGTACATGTAATTCATCCAAGTATCGTCATTATTTCGCCACGGCTGTACTGTTGAATAAATGTGTCAGCTAGTCCACTTTGTTCTCTTTTGTCTTTACAATGACATGAATAAGTATCCAGGGAGACATGAAAGATTCAAATCCTGTATTGCACCCAGCTAATATTGTACAATTCCCTTGGACACCACTGGTTTGGATGGCCGGCCAGTGGCATGATTGGATGAGTAAAGTTCAGAGAACCTGTAGGTGACTGCCCTCGAATGACGTTACCTTTGTCTCCTGTGTTACTCGGTGTGGCACGGCTGCTGGGGTTACAACCCCCCCCCCCCCTCCCAAGTTTACAACATGGGAGTGGATGGGTTATTTCACAAAATTTAATATGTGTTTGACTCATAGAACAACAGTGAGATAGTGATGGTCGCTTGCAGCCCTGGCCATGTTGAATACATGGACAATGAATGGCTAAGGCTTACTGCTTGCTGATGATTGAGATCATTATTGTACTGAATTTCATTTCACCTGCAGAAAAGGGTGACGCAGATGGTGGGTGGGTAGGTAGGAGGCTAGTGCCACTTTGCTGAAACTTGAAACAAAGGTGGTAACCCAGGCAACCCCTTGACATGCTGTACCCTGTGATACAAACCCTCCAGATCACCTGTAGATTAGATTTGTGTGAAAGACTGAAAGTCCATGCAGCCTAAAAACATTTTAAAGCCAGCAAAGTTGGTCAATTTTCTATCTGGGTCCACTGATATTTTAAACTGAACTGAGATCTCTGTCCGAAAGATATCTGCGATACCGTTTGAGCTTCAATTCATGATTAGTATTCTGTGTGTATCCGTGTGGTGGATGTTGTGAGTGATTTCACTAGCCAGCCACTGACTAGGATTCGCCACAGAATTTCATACTTGAAGTACTTCGAAGTACTCCCAACCCGATTGAAGGAGGAGCAACGAATTAGAACACCGCATACCGTGCTTGTTCTTGATCATGGTGATATTTGTGTAACTTGTGATGTTGTTTTTAAAACTACTGTGTACCTTGCGTACAGGCCTATCAGTTCTGGACAGTTCAGTGGAGACGTGGCAGCTCTGGTGCTTGGCAGACACGGCGTGTATCAACCAGAGAGCGTACGGCTACTCTGTCTACTTCTGGCCCAGGTGCCTACCAAGTCAGGCTGCAGCTCCAAGGATCAGGAGGCACCACTCCATACAGCATTCCACTGTCTTTTACGGCCTCTTCAGGTAGATGTGTGTGTGTGTGTGTGTGTGTGTGTGTGTGCGCGCGTGTGTGCGTGCATGCATGCATGTGTGTATGTGTGTGCATGCATGCATGCATGTGCATGTGTGTGCATGCATACGTGCGTGCGTGTTTGCGTGCATGCTGGTGTGTGTGTGTGTATGCTGATTTGTGTGCATGCATGCATTCCTTACATGCATGCGTGTGTATGCGTGCCAATTTCCAGACTATCAAGCACATAAAGCACACTGATCTGTCAGGCTGGCATTATAGTCTACCAGTAGAGCCATTCCACACTCGGTGATGAAACAAGTAAAAGACACAACACATTCCACACTCTGTAATGCCGGAATGCGTATGGGGTAAAACTCCATTTGGAGCAACCGGCTGCTCCCTGCGGAGTCATGTAGCAAGTTGAGAGAACACTACAATACACATGTACAATACTTGTAGACACCACCTTCAGATTTATTACAAGTAATGAAACACAGATAATTTATTTCCTTTCCGCTTTTGTTTGTCTTGTATTTGTAGAAAGTGCAGGGGGGGGGGGTCTAGTTTCTCTATCACCAGCCCTACAAGAGTTTGCAGTGCGGCAACCCTCATTGATCTATTATTTTACTTTAGAAAAAGCTATAGAATGGATGTGACGTGTGCAGGGCTTTCCAAACTGTGCTGCCAAGTGAAATTGTGCCGCGGTTGACCAGGCTTGGAGCAGCGTCCAGTGCCGCTGTGATACATGTGGATCTGGTTGTTTTAAAGACTGCAGACCCTTCCTAGCCAGGCATCCTTCTTTCTAGTTCTGTCACTTCACTGATACATAGTTCACTGTGTGACCTTGGTCTATGCTCGGGAATACATCCCTGTGACTGTGACTGTTTAAGGTGTGTATTCATAGGCACTCTTAGTAAATCAAGTCTTCATGTCATATAATTATCATTATTTCTCCATTGTCGACCGGCCCAGGTTTCCCTACAACCAGCCCATGCTCACCAAATCCATGTGAAAACAACGGTTTCTGCACATCTACTATTGGTGGGAACTTCAACTGTATCTGTGCTTCTGGGTACACTGGTCCAAGATGCTCTCAGCCAAGCTTACCCAGTGAGTATTAGTATGCATATACATTTGCTTCGCAGTGGGTCATGACATTTTCTCTCCCTAACAGGCTGACTGATGTGTTCCTGCCTCGATGTCTTCTCATTCTGTCTTGAACCCAACCCTATTCGAGAGAAGCTGGAATGCAATAGTCTGCACATTCTCTGTACATGTGTTTGCTGTACACGAGTATAAATCATGTAGATTTACATGTATGTCTTGGCATACTACTGTCGTGTCTGTGTTTGTGACAAAGATCGATCAGTCTCGTGGCAACCCAGGTAGATGACCAATAGAGTCCCCATCCAAGTTAGCTGATTCACACAGAACAACTGGTTTATATTTCCAAATCAAAAAGTGAATAATTCAAACAGTGTATATTGGAAGATCGCAAGCTAGATCGAGAGATCAGGCGCGAAGAATCAGAGACCCAGGGAATGAGAGAGTGAGAGTGACTCTCCGAGAAAGAGGATGAAGTCCATGGTGACAAAAACAGCTCCTCATAATAGGCTGCATGATGTGATCAAAGTAGGTAACGGCGGCAAGAGTGCGTACGTAATATTGCTACATTTCAAACAGGGGTGCAATCAGCCAAATATTAATTAGATAAATAACAATGCGGGGGCCCGCTCGCCCAAATGTGTCATCTCCATATGCTGGTCCTGGTCCGGTGGGCTGGGTTGCATTGCATCAAGCGTGCAGCATAGCTGTGTTGCTCTTGTACCTTCGTTGTAGCTTTGCCCAATATGGGCTCTTTCCCCTACATAGATAACATAGCCAGCAATCGCATGTCATCTCGTACATTGAAAATCAACATAATTTTGCGAATCGACCTTTTTTTCAGGATCACTTTTCAACGAGGACGAAGCAAAGTCGGCCGAACGAAGCCTAGAGGAAGAAAATCACCCTCTCCACTTCACCATCACGATACTGACATAGATACGAGATGAAACAACTAAAAAATTCATAAGAAAACTGTACGACCATCATCGCGCTGACTTTGGTCTGACTTTGGTCTGAGAATTTCTATCACGATCAAAAATGTACGAGGAGCACTCAAAAATCAGCCACAGACGTACCTTTATCGCTCTCTACTCCTTTTTCAAGGCACAAAAGTCGACTCTCCACTTTCAAACCAGGAACCAGACATACCAGTGGTCCTTTTCAGCTGCTCCACGAGCGCAGGAAATGTTCACCAAGGGGCGCAGAGCAGCATCCATTCCAGAAAAATAGCTAAAATACGAGCGAGACTGCATGCCTGAGTACATGAGTACATGTATGAGTACATGCAGAAAATAGTCAATTTCAGCGTTTCTGCTCCAAACAGCAACTAGCTTCGACTAGAAACAAAGATTACACCAAAGGATCAAACAACAACCATTTTCTGCAGTTTTTTTGCAGATGGCTTCCTTGTGCTTGGCCCAGCACGCCAAAAATCACACCTCGGAGGAGTACAAAAATTACAACTCTCAGATGTCCTTGATTGCTGGCCATGAATGCGTGACGGCAGAGCCGTTTTCCCTCCAAAAGGGTACGGAGTTCACAGCACGACACTGCGAACTCCTTACGTTGTACAAGTATGACGCGAGAAGAGGCGTGCACTCTTGCTCAACTTACAAGGTAATCAGCTCACTTGCAGGACAAAGCGTGGTCACCACAAGCTCTACAGGTCTAGTGAGTCCAGCTCTGACGACTGTACTGAAGGTTTCGTCGTATGACAACACTTGGTTGTCTTCTGCCACGAGTTGTAAGCCATGGTTGCTCAACTGACAAAGGTGTCAGATCCCTCACAGGACAAACCATGGTTCTCACAGAACTCTAGAATATTCCGGAGTCCAGCTTCTGACTTGCTGAAAGCCCAGTGCATGGTCGTTTTCACGACAAGTCTGACCCATGACATGACACTACCATGCTGTGACAGTAACTGAGTTCACTATCAAACAGCTGCTATTATTATTATTACACGCATTCCCGCGTTGAAGTGTAGCAGCAGTATGCTGCGTCCACAGCTTCGCTTATGCAGATTAACGCATGCTCCGTACGCGGAGGCATACACGACCCACACACAGACACAGCAGTAGTTGGTTGGCACCACAGGGTAACTGGGCGAAGGAGCTGGCAGTGTGTAACCATGGAGGCGGCCGACCCGACAGAGGCGGGGACCGAGAGTGAGACCGAAATGGCGGCTGACCTGCCAAGGGCAGTAACCGAATAGAGTGATTCGGGAGAGTAGAGAGAATGCTGCCAGCTACTGAGAGTTCAGTGCCCAATCCCTGCTTGTTTTTGTTTAGCAGAGTGAGTTTGGAAGACGAATGAGGTTAGTAGTATAAGCGGGGTGCTACAGAATGAGAATTGTAACACAATGAAGTCGGTGTGGGTGGGTGGGTGAAAACACGGAGCAAGAGTCATGCGAGCCAATGCAACTAACAAAGAGAGCCAGGCACGAAGGCTGCTGAAGGGTGTACGTATGCAAAGCGAGCTGCTGGGAGAGTTTGCGCATGCGCACAACGGCGCATCTGTGAGCTGGCGCGAACACGCGCGTGATAGACATCAGCATACAGTGAAAACATTACGTCACCGCGTTAACATACTTTAGCTACGCAAAACTTGCATTAACGCATGCTCCGTACGCGGAGGCATACACGACCCACACACAGACACAGCAGTAGTTGGTTGGCACCACAGGGTAACTGGGCGAAGGAGCTGGCAGTGTGTAACCATGGAGGCGGCCGACCCGACAGAGGCGGGGACCGAGAGTGAGACCGAAATGGCGGCTGACCTGCCAAGGGCAGTAACCGAATAGAGTGATTCGGGAGAGTAGAGAGAATGCTGCCAGCTACTGAGAGTTCAGTGCCCAAGCTAGTTACCCTGGTGGGCCAACCAAATAAGTCAGTGCTCAGAAATAACGCGAGCATTGAACGAGGAGTACAGCAGGAGCTGCTAGCAGTCGAGAAATCTAGGTACCGATAGCGGTACTGAGAGTTGGTATGTATACCGGAGGAGACATTCGTCAAGGTGCAGCGCTACTGGTCAGTCACTCACTGTGGCCAGCTTCTCTGATACTAGCCGCACCTCGGATGGCTCAACACGGATATAGCGCAGCACGGCGTCGCTGCGCCATCGCCCCATATGGCGGATCACGTGCTCTGGTACGCCTGCGATAGCTGCAGACGTGGCTGCTCCGATCCGGAATGAGTGGCTGGCATAGCTGGACGGATCTGTAATCCCACAAAGCGGTAGGAGGGTCCGCACCTCCCTCGTGACGTCCGCTCGTGTCAGAGGCTGGCCATTGTGGTAGACGAGCAGCTGATCTCTAGGAGATTGGGACTCCGCTGACACTGCCGTCAGGTACCGCACCATCGCCGTAACAGGGCAGCTGATGACATCGGTACAGCCGCCCACGTGGACTACCGTGCCCCTACCGTCCGGGTCCGTCTTTGATTGCAGCGGCGTGATGGTGATACGAAATAATTGTTGGTCCAGGGCCACGTTGCCAAACGTCAACGAGGTGAGCTCACCACAGCGCAGGAAGCCATAAAAGGCCAGGGTGAAGGCGCACTGCAGCATTGCCTGGTCAACTGGGTGCCGCACGGAGGAAACTTGGAGGCGTTGGCAGAGTTGCCGGAGGATGGGTGTTGTGATAGGCAAACGAGGGCGGCCAGGTCCCGACGAACGGGCTATGCCTCTTAACACTCGTGACAGCAGGGACGTCGGCTGATTCGGGTACTCGAGGCCCATTTCGACGTGTAAGTTCCGGATGGCTGACATATATGTGCGAACCGAGGCCGGCCGCAGTGTGCGCATGAGGAGGGCTGCGTAGTAGCACAGCGTAACGTCGCTTCCAGGCAGGGCCACGACGCCATGCTGCTGACAGAAATCCAGGTACCGCCGCTCTGAAGCTGAGTATGTCCTCCTGGATGACGGTGCTATTTCCAGGGACGCCAGCCTGGCCACGTCTTCGGTCAGTCCGGTGTGGGCAAGATCGGCATGTCCGGATGGAGCTGTGCCGTGGGTGCCAGGCGGCGGAATTCCTGCAACAGATTCCGGGAAAGAGCATCGGCAATGGTATTAGTAACACCAGGGATGTGCACTGCTGAAATCAGGCAATCGTGAGCAACGCAAAGGTGATACAGACACCTAACTAGAGACATCATGGGTGGCGATCTGCTGGTGCCGGATTTGATGCAGTCTACAACAGCTGAGTTGTCGCACTGAAACTCAATACGGAGGGACTTCCACTCTGACGCCCATGTACTGGTAATAGCGTACAGTTCTTTATACTGTATGGACTCTGAATGCTGGTGGGGCAACCATGCTCCACGGATCCATCGTCCCTGGAAGTACGCTCCATAGCCCTGGTTACCGCTGGCATCAGTCTGCAATTGCAAGTTGGGCGCCTTTGTCCATTTGTCCAGGAGGAAGAACGACTTCCCTGGCCAGACTGATAGGGTACGCTGCCACCATTTGAGGTCGTTCACTGCTCCGGCTGACAGGGTGAGAACCTTGTGCTTTGGAAGGTTGCTTGTTGCACGGTCAAGGTCGTACAGGCGCCTCAGGAAGGTACGACCGGCAGGAATAGCCCGGGCCGCGAACGAGAGATTGCCCAACACGGAGGCGAGTTCGCGCCGGGACGCCATGCCTGATTGAAGGAGGCCGTTGACTTTGCCGAGATACGCCCCATGTTTGGCGGACGGTAGCCGGATCTCAAACGTCAGCGAATCCAGCTCCAGGCCGAGGAAGGTGAGACATGTGGATGGGCCTTCGACTTTCTCAGAGGCCACCGGTATCTGCAAATAGCGGAGCATGTCTAAGATAAGTGAGCGATGATGTTCCGCAACGGGCAGGTGGGGCGGACTAACGTTCAGAACGTCGTCCAGGTAGTGGAGTAATTGGCTTAGGTGGCATGCATCCTCGAGAATAAACTGGACTGCTGTGGCGAATTTATCGAATATGTATGGTGCAGAACGCAATCCAAATGGTAGCACTTTGTCATGATAGAATTGTCCCTGCCAGAAGATGCCTAGATAGGGCCAGTCACAGGGGGCAACAGGACAGAGACGGAATGCATTCCTGATGTCGACCTTCGTCAAAAGAGCGCCACGCCCTGCCTGCATGATCAGAGAGATAGCTGTATCGACAGTTTCGTACTGCAGGCTGAATTCATCCCGAGATATACCGTCATTCACACTCAAGCCGGCAGGGGACGAGAGAACGGAGCAAGAGTCATGCGAGCCAATGCAACTAACAAAGAGAGCCAGGCACGAAGGCTGCTGAAGGGTGTACGTATGCAAAGCGAGCTGCTGGGAGAGTTTGCGCATGCGCACAACGGCGCATCCGTGAGCTGGCGCGAACACGCGCGTGATAGACATCAGCATACAGTGAAAACATTACGTCACCGCGTTAACATACTTTAGCTACGCAAAACTTGCAATAGCTTGGGTGAGAGGAGAGGGGAGAGAAAACAACAAGGCAACCAATATCTATGAAATAGGTCACAATAACATGAACATGAAGAGAACCAACCTACATATGCATGATTGCACAAGAATGGAGACAACAAATGCAGCTGCTATACATGTACAAATCAAGTTATCCACCGCCTTGGTCAGCTAGCATGCACACAAGAGGTATCAGGTTGTAATGATTGCTAATTGTTACACAGCCCCAATACTGTGTATTTTGACCTGTAGAACTATGGCACATTTCCATGTCTCCAAATTGTGTTTGGGAAACAACATTATGTATATGTGGGGATTAATAATTGATTATTGTTGTCACACTTCATCTTGTTATGCTTCAATTGTCAATACTTTCAGATTGTACCACTTTGAATTCATCCTATAACTTTACACCACTCTATAATCACGTGATTCTGCATGCGCATATAAGAAGTAGAATTCTCCCCTGGCCCCCGGTCACTCAACAACGCACCATTCAGTTAGCTTCCATACTAGTATTCACTTCTCAATAATAATTGGTGAGGGCACAGGAGGAGAAAGACGAAAAGACTAGACAAAAAACGACGACGGGAAAGACTCCCGGGAAAAGACTCAAAGAAAACAACAAGAACAAGCAGTAATATTGCGACGACAAATCTGGTTGTGAGGCCCGGCTAGCTCAGTCGGTAGAGCATGAGACTCTTAATCTCAGGGTCGTGGGTTCGAGCCCCACGTTGGGCGCCAATGAAGTAGGCTTTGTAGTACGCGACCGAGTGACAAGGTAAAACTGGCTCAGTCTCTCCGACTCAAAACACAAGTAGTATTCTCAGGGAAACAATATTGCACTTAGTGATTGCACAGGAAGACTCAAGTGACTGTCTATTTAAAGACAACTGCGGAAAAGCAACTAGACAAGACGAATTCAAGACGAAGACTACTTCTTACACCACAGCAACACGCACATGCACCAACATAACGTACACACGACGTACACAAAATAACGTACAGATCGAGCAAAATAATGTACTATATACGGTATAGTAAGTCTATCGATATACGGTACATACGGTATGGTACGGTAGAAAGTCCGTCTACTACAGGCTTCTCCCCCTGGGCCTGGCCCCCGCCACACAACAACGCAAACTCTTGGTTATCTCTTCAGTACTTATTATGCTATCAATAAATGGTGAGGGCGCAGGAGGAGAGAGACAAACTTTGTGAAGGGACAAAAACGACGACCGGAAAGACTCCCGGGAAAAGACTCAACGAAAACAACAAAAGAGCAAGCAGTAATAAACCGACGACAAATCGGGACGACCAATCAGGGACCAATACGTACAGAACACATGACCAAGACCAAGACAACCCGACCACGGGCGTATCACACATGACTCTCATTCCCAGACCAAACTAGCACTGCGCATGTACAGCATTCACTTGACAGTCACTCTCACTCAGACGGAAGCACATCCTCACACTCTGACAACGCGTACTCTTGCATGCACCACATACCATAAACGTCACACATCACACCATACTCGCGCGTACACCTAGACCATACATGACATCAGACACTGGACTCCACCAGACAAGAACCAAATACAACGACATGCGTAAATCATAGTCGTAACATAAATTCGCAACATATACATGTATACATGTAGCTGATTAGTAAACTGTGTGGGCGCACAGCAGGGGCGGATCCAGAGATCTCTATGAGGGGGGGGGGGGTCCATCCAGAGATCTCTATAGGGGGGGGGGGGGGTCCGGTTTAATCAAAGTTCAATAGCCAATACTATGCACATAGAATCAGATTTCATACTACAGTCCATTCAGAAAAAGATGGACTTCTAGCTTTTGGCCATAAATGGGTCAAACTTTGAGTTTTTTTAGAATTTTTTCTGCAATCCCCTATGGAATCCTCTTCCAATTATGTTTCTGAAGTCTATTTGTCCAAAAAGCAAGCCATAACAAGAATAGGATATCGGCCAGGTTTTGCCCCAGAAGCATTGAATTGGAAAAAACCATCAAAATCCAGGCCGTTTGACCCAGCCTGCAACAGTGCATTGTGGGGTTCGAACCCCAGTTCAGGTACCCTTTTTGGACTCTTTTTCAAAGTTCAAATTTCGCAGCACTGCACTGTGTACAATGAAATCACGAAAAATCGCCAAATACGGGAGCTCGCCAGAGCCAGGGCCCATCTTTTTCTGAATGGACTGTAGTATATTGAAGAAGACTGCGGTTGTGCCGTTGTGATGGTTATGACGCCTGATTGTGCTAGTTGGAATCGCATGCTATGACGCATTGAAAGCGAGCAGGGGAGAAAGCCATTGAACTCACGACAGACTCATAATTATATCAATTGCAATCTACTGTCACGCAGCTTCAGTGAGTGCTTGGAGAAGTCTTCAACTTATTTTAAAGAATATGGGTATGTTGAGAGCCAGCAATGCTGAAATGATCACTTTCCCCGTTAATTTCTACTTTCGAAAATTTATAGCGTTTTACGATACGAACTGCTCTTGAACCACACAAGCATTGTCTTCACTTTACAGAAACAAAGAGAAACAGTGTCTACAATCCATCCAATGTCATCAAAACACATCACTGACGCGGAACTCCGTTTCTGCCGAGGAACAACTAGCAGCTAGTGCATACTGCTGCAGGTAGAGATTACCGACTCCACTTGGAAATCGGAGGCGGGAGCCCTCATCTTCTGAGGAGCGTTAGGTGGATGATGAGCAGTGACAACTTCACGAGGAGTGTCATCATTCAGAACATCCTTTCTCTTCCGCAATAACTGCACTGTAGTCCAAGGAATGCTGACTACACCCAACCCAACTAAAGAGTAGCAGCGAATGACAGCGCCGATGAAGAGTGGCTTTGGATTAGGGGTGAAAGTTGGCACTGAGATCCCGAGTTCGAGTACTCTGATTTTCTCCGATCGAATATTCGAGTATTCGAGTATTTTTCATCTCCTAAAAATTGCACACCAAGGGCTTTAAAATAACATGATACAACCCGGATTGAACCGAGAAGCAGTCATTTTCTCGGGTATATTGGTTGGTGGGTCATTTCTCATTTGAGCTCTCTCTACTCGTGAACAAATGTTCACCACACAGTCTGCACTTCACCATCTGCCGACTGCTGCCCTGAAACTGCAGATTTCTGTAGTAAATGCATGTACCATGTATGAACGAGTACTCTGATTTATTCCGAGTACGATTATTTTTGAAAAAACCGAGCGAGTACTCGAGTACTCGGTATAATTGTTTCACCCCTACTTTGGATTGTTTCGAAAAATGGAAAGGAAGAAACCGCCCACATGCACAGTTGGTTGACTTGGCCCGTGGTCATGGTGGTAGAGCAGCACAAAGCAACTGCTTGTGGCTTGCGGCCGCCTCGCGATGCCTGAAGCACTGCACTGTTAGCTGGTAGACCTGTCTACATGTACAGCAGTCAGAAGTGCATTATCAATGCACTGCATGTACATCTACATGACTGTACTTCTGAACAACTACAGTACATGTTCTTTTTGTGCTGACATGAAATTCTCGATTTTTCTCAGGACCCCCCCCCCCCCCCCCCCTGGATCCGCCACTGCACAGTATGGTATAAAGGTTATGCCGTAATGTCTGACGTTTATGGCTTACGTTCGCTGTTCACGTGTGTTTTTGTGTTTGTGCGGGTTTGTGCATGTGTATGTGTGTGTGTGTGTGTGTGTGTGTGTGTGTGTTTGTGTGTGTGTGTGTGTGTGTGTGTGTGTGTGTGTGTGTGTGTGTTTGTGTGCCTGTGTGTTTTCCAGGTTTCAATATCCAAGTTTCTTTCATCACCAATGAGCCTAACCCAAATGCCCGCTACAACTTGGTGATCTACTCGTACAATGAGGCGTTGGGTACATGGCAATTTCGAGAGGGTTCATCCAGTTATGGTCAGCCGTATTCTGCGTTTCCAGTGACTGTGCCCAACCTGCAGGCCGGACTGACTGGAATCCGTATTGATCGTGTTCGGGACTCCGGTAACGAGACACTGACAACCCTACACCAGCGTATTGGAGGTGGATTAAGTCAAGGTGAGTTTCAAGCCTTCTTTGCGGATGCTTGACGACAAAGCACAATCAAGTTCTTCTTTGCGGATGCTTGACGACAAAGCACAATCCAGTTCTTCTTCAGGGAACAAAATTTGCGTGATTATATATTCACATTCTAAGGAGTTGCTGTGCTCACGAAATAAACAAAATCACTTCGCCTGAGACAGTGATTGGATATACTCCTTTGATGTATGTACACCATCATACGGAGAGAAAAAAACTGGCTGGCCATGTGTGTCTCACATGGAGTCCCCATCACTCGATGCCTCAGGGCCTTTAATTCCACAGAACTGTCAGGTCTATCGAAGTCACAGAGACTTTGTTTCTGAAGGAAGCATTATTTGTCTAGCTGTGTAGGTGCTTGCGGTCCTGGGCGTAATCTCACTCCCTACAACTGGTCTGTGTCACGATGACTATGCTTGATGTTGTCTCCGCTTGGACCTATGCCCTGACATTCTGCTTGAGTTCAGGGTACTCTGTACTCATATTCCGGATTTCTGGTCCAAAGTTCATGGCATTGAGTGAGTGTTCGTACCGATTATCACACCAGTTTTCAACACCAGCCTCCAGATAGCCCAACTCTAATAACATGCCGCTATGATCAGTTCCAGCCATGCAGGTCCAGGAGGACGATACATGTATTTGTTTAGGCGCAGTTGAGCCTTCTTTGTGTCTGGTGTCCATTTTGCTGATTATTACATGATAGTAATTGACCCGCAATTGACCAGTGGTTATTCATCGTGACGTGATAGTAATTGACCAGTGGTTATTACGTGATAGTAATTGACCAGTGGTTGGTGGGATAGTAATTGACCAGTGGTTATTACATGATAGCAATTGACCAGTGGTTATGACCAGTGGTTATGACCAGTGGTTATGACCAGTGGTTATGACCAGTGGGTATGACCAGTGGGTATGACCAGTGGTTATGACCAGTGGTTATGACCAGTGGTTGGTTTACTATCACAGGCCTCTTTTACCGGCAACTTTATTAACACAGTGGTTTAAAATGCAATAAATCATACACTGGAGAAGAAATCAGAAAAATGCATGTGTAAAATAGAGATTTTCAAACCCAAACCAAAAAAAACTTCAAATCAACCAGTGGTTTACTATTGCTGTCACAGTTTCCCTGTTCATGCTCATTCCCTGTTCATGCTCATTCCCTGTTCATGCTCATTCCCTGTTCATGCTCATTCCCTGTTCATGCTCATTCCCTGTTCATGCTCATTCCCTGTTCATGCTCATTCCCTGTTCATGCTCATTCCCTGTTCATGCTCATTCCCTGTTCATGCTCATTCCCTGTTCATGCTCATTCCCTGTTCATGCTCATTCCCTGTTCATGCTCATTCCCTGTTCATGCTCATTCCCTGTTCATGCTCATTCCCTGTTCATGCTCATTCCCTGTTCATGCTCATTCCCTGTTCATGCTCATTCCCTGTTCATGCTCATTCCGAGTGTGTGAATATTTGCCTTGGTCTTGTCTAGGTGTGAAAGTCCCGGAGTGGCAACAGGGTAGAGTCACAACGTATGACCCTCGCACCGTAACCGTCCGCGTTGTTTTGCCGCCATTGACTGGTAACGAGCGTGTAAGTCACTCGAGTGTCATGTCATTAAATACGGATAACAGCACACATCACATCCTGTAAGCTGTTCAGTGTGTTACGAATATGCACAGGATGCTATCTACCACACTGGTTGCCAGCTCAGTTGGCAGATACTAGACATAGTTGATTATCGCATGTTTTCTTCTTGCATGTTCACACCTTATGCCCCGTTGTCTTCTTTTCCCCTTACTGAACTCAAGCACGAAAATATCTGGTAAAAATGAATTTCTGGCACAAGTTTGTCAAGATGAGATAACGACTACCGTAAAGTAAAGTACCGTTGATTCCCCCCCCCCCCCCCCACACACACACCATGTCGCTTCCCAGCTGGGTTTTCGGCAGGGGGCGGGAATTAGATCAAGGCTGACAAGTGCAGTACGATGTACAACAATGTGGAAAATCAGAGTCGATGTGCTGGATTGTGCACATTTTCATCCTGCACTCGCACTTATTGTGTACAGCAGTGCATGTGTCGGCTCAACATCGTATTTCGTTGTATACGCCGAAGTTGCTTCACTGGCAGAAAATCGACAGGGGGCGGGAATTAGAGAGGGGGCGGATCAACGGTACTTTACGGTATGACCGGAACAAAACGCGTTTTCTATAATTATTACTTGCATCCTTCCAAACAGACTTTTGTCCTTCAGGAGGGTCGCTGTATGTTTTAGTGAGTTACGATTCGTGTGTTGGGTATTCTAGATTCTTGCTATTACCTTCACCAGGTTTTCCAAATCTCCGAATAAGGCGTGAGGTCTTCAAATATTTTGATGTGTTTAAAACATGTATCTCCCGATCAACATTGAAAACGTCACTGCTTTATGCTGGTTTCACAACAAGTATGCACGTCTTGCATGCCGGGAAGTGCACTCTCCTATTCTTTGCTTCGTTAAAAAGTGTTTGCAATCTTCGCATAGCGTTCCTTTTACAACTCTGTTTTGAAGATTTTGCGACTTAATAGCGGCCCAATTTGTCGGGAGATCGAACTGGCAATGGCATGTCTGTTTCACTATAATTATGCTGTGTGCATACAGTGCTAGACTACTGCTGTCCATGCTGGGGTAGATCTGATGCTAAGCTACTGCTGTCCATGCTGGGGTAGATCTGATGCTAAGCTACTGCTGTCCATGCTGGGGTAGATCTGATGCTAAGCTACTGCTGTCCATGCTGGGGTAGATCTGATGCTAAGCTACTGCTGTCCATGCTGGGGTAGATCTGATACTAAGCTACTGCTGTCCATGCTGGGGTAGATCTGATACTAAGCTACTGCTGTCCATGCTGGGGTAGATCTGATGCTAAGCTACTGCTGTCCATGCTGGGGTAGATCTGATGCTAAGCTACTGCTGTCTATGCTGGGGTAGATCTGATGCTAAGCTACTGCTGTCCATGCTGGGGTAGATCTGATGCTAAGCTACTGCTGTCCATGCTGGGGTAGATCTGATGCTAAGCTACTGCTGTCCATGCTAGGGTAGATCTGATGCACGCTACATGCATATAGTGAGCAATGGGTCGGAGCAATGGGTTTGAGCTCCTCACACACAGCATTTTTGCTGCTAGCACTAACTTACTGGCAACGTTCCGGTCGGTTGTTCTCACTCATTTTCAGGTCACGTACTCCAGCTGGAGAGTGTGCTACCGTCTCACCCGTGAGCCGGTCACTCAAGAGAAATGTGTGATAGTACCCACTTCTCAAATCGCAGCTCTCTTGAGAAACCTACCGCCAGGTGCTTATCTTGTTAGAGTTCTACTTGTAGACCGGTTCGGACGGCGATCTGGAGGGTCAATGGACGTCGGCTTTGTGGTGGAAGGTGAGGTCGTAACTGCCTGCAGTCCGCCCCATGATTTTCACTGTACTGTTTGGTGTAGGTAGTTGTTGCTTTCTGAAATGATGCGACATGTACTTCCACTCCATATTTTAAAAGGACATCTACGGTTGTTGATTAAAACACCCAGAAGGCTGAATCTTTGCCTTTGTCAGTGTTGCATATGTTGTACGCGTTTATATGCGTGAGAGTGGTTGCATCTTTGAGGAGATGTTCCTTGTGTGGCAGACACCAGTGCCGTATGGTTGCAGTGGTTTCTGCTAATGGTCTTGCAAGTCATTGGCAATGTACTGTAGTCGGGGTTGATGCAAGCAGAAGGAGATGTCTTGCTCCCTTGTTAAAATATATAAACAATTCAAAATGATGCGGGTTCAAGGGGACTCTGGCTGACAATGATGGGGGGGGGGGGGGGCTGACTAGAGTATTCCTAAGCATGCTATGTTTGGACCGATCCTTGCAATGCTTTCCCAGCATTGCCAGTGTAATCGATGAAACTGCACCTGTGGATGATTTTCAGTCCACTAGTCCCCCTGTTCCCATTGAATGATGGTTGACTGCTACCCAGGATTGCCCAGCTTGAGGCTGGTTGTTGCTCTTTGTCATTCTCCCACTCGAGTTCGGCCTGATCCTGACTTGGGCGACCGCTGGTCATGCGGCAATGTCTATCATCGTCCTGGGACCTCAAGTGTCACACACCGTGCTGCGATGCTGGTAGATAGCTCCTTCGCTATCATTTTCATCAGCAGGAGGAATATTAAAGGTGTGCGCATGTGTGTGTGTATGTGTGTGTGTGTGTGTGTGCGCGCGCGCGCGCGCGCGTGCGTGTGTGTGTGTGTGTGTGTGTGTGTGTGTGTGTGCGTGTGCGAGCGTTCGTCTGTGTGAATGTGTGTGTATGTGTGTGTGCGCGCGCACGTGTGTGCGTGTGTGTGTGTGTGTGTGTGTGTGTGCATGTGTGTGTGTGTGATCAATGTCCACGTTATACAGCTCCCACTACAACTGCTCCTCTCAATGGATGCGCAAGAAACCCATGTCTGAACAGAGCAACATGCTATCCCATCGGATCAAACTTCTACTGTGCGTGTCCTATTGGATTCAGTGGTAGGACATGCGAGATCGGTGCTAGGCCAACCACGCCACCACGTACGTATTTTTGTCAGCTTAAATGACGGCTTTGAGCAGCAAAGCCAAGTTAGCCCACGCATGCACGTGTTTTGTCACGGGTTCGTCACGCGGCACATGAATAAAAAATATTTTTTCCAAAAATGGTGGATGAAAAAATCAATCTTGCGTGGCCGCTTTGCCCTGCCTCGTGTCAGCAAAGCAACTTCCTTGTCAACAATTTCTGTCATCCAGTTAGCCAAAGTGACTCAAGGTTGTGTTTTCTCCCCTCCTTCCCTCCCTTTAGACATGACACGTCGGTATCTTGTGCCACGTGATGAGGCCCCAAGGAGGGTCAAATGCGTTTGCCTCTCAGTGTTGTGCTGTACTGTCTCAGTGTTGTGACACCTGTATGTTGTTGTGTGGTTGACCCGCCGGTTTGAGGCATGGGTGGTCAGCTGTGTATGTTGTATCGGTGTGTTCCCGTTTGAAGTTGCCGGGCCACCATGTGGTTGACCCGCCGGTTTGAGGCATGGGTGGTCAACTGTGTCTATTGTATCGGTGTGTTCCCGTTTGACGTTTCCGGGCCACCATGTGGTTGACCCGCCGGTTTGGTTGTATCGGTGTGTTCCCGTTTGAAGTTGCCGGGCCACCATGTGGTTGACCCGCCGGTTTGAGGCATGGGTGGTCAATCGTGTATGTGTATCATTGAAGTTGCAATACGTACATTGCTGTGACTCGCCCGATTGCTGTTGCCGGGCACCTACGCATTTATTTGCCTACTTGTGAAGAGATATCTCTTCTGGTTTATTGCATAATTCTTGGCTCAATGTTATCCACGGTGTCGCTCGATGCAAAGTCTCGTAAATATTTATCAGACAAAATTGAAAGAAAAAAGAACTATGGCAAACCCCACTTCCTTGTATTTTATCTGCTTGGTGTACATGTGTCCACGTTTTGTACGTTTGGCACGCACATGCGTGTGTGTGTGTGTATGTGAGAGCGTGTCTGGATAAATGTGCATATTGATGTTTTGTTTGTTTTAAGTTTTATTGTGTGTATGCGTGCATGCATGTGGGTTAACATGTCTTTAGTGGCAGTCGTGAGTATTTGGGTAGCTCACTTCCATCCAGAAGTTGACAGGAAGTCGCTCTAAGATTACCTTGTCTTACCCAACTTAGTAGGCCAAGCAAAATAGCACCATTTGGTATCATTGCTACCCCCCCCCCCCGTCCCTCCATTTCAGGGCCATCTGGGCGAGTATTATTATTTCCTGTGTACAGGATTAACTATGCATTTGCACATTCACATCAGTCATGCACTCTAGGCTGGGGAGTAGCAATTTAAAAATGCCAATAATCATACTTATTCGTCAGTATAGTTAAATGTTCTAGAGCCAGTAACACTAATAATGGAGAGCATAATTATGGTATGTTTGATACGGTCTGCAGGTACACAGGCACCAGACCCATGTTCTAGAGTCGTGTGTCAAAACGGAGGGACCTGTAGAAGCAGGCTAGCCACCGACAGTTTCACCTGTGACTGTGCACCTGGGTACACTGGTCAACTGTGCTCGGCACTTTCTGAACGTGAGTAGACCTAGAAGATGCAGCACACAAACTGCCCCCAACTTATTCCATAGTTGGCATGTTAATTTTATACAGTAGAAGCTCTCCGTTTTTTGGGTGCTTCGGGACTGAAGGGTGACCATATCTCAGATATACCCATGGATATGATACCGAGTCTCTTCAAGCGGCCGCACTAGATCATGATCGATGCCATTCACAAGCCTGCCCAGTAGGATCCGAGGGCTAAAACCTCTTCTGCGGTGAAGTAGTTCGGCTGACTGCCGCGGAAAGGAAGAAAGTTTTCAAGATTTGACTCTGATGTACCCGCATACAGGTTGCGCGGTTCAGAGAGGTGCCCAGACACTGGACAGGGAGGTTCTGATAAGAGAGTTTCTACTGTCCTATGTCCTCAAATGGTATTGTTGAACTGAGCCCAGTCCTTAGCAATGCTGTGATACTGTGATATCATCCACCTGGATTCTGTGATACTGTGATATCATCCACCTGGATTCTGTGATACTGTGTACTGTTACACTGTTATGTCACTAACCCATTACCTCTTTACTTCTTTTATTCTCTCCACTGAGAGTGCCTCATCCATCTGATAATACTCAGGTCTCGGTGATTCCCACATTGCCTTGAAACTTGAGGGATTTCTATATGCTCAGGAAATCTAGGATGCTCATGCAGTGCAGTCACAGTTGACTTTTGATTTCTTGCACATGTAATGAAACCTGTCAAAGCGAACTGTTCAAGGGACCTTCCGAATGTAGCCTCCATGTGAAGGTGTTTGCCTCATCCAGCGTCTTTTTACTGGAAATCAGGCATGTTGAACATGCCTTGGTCCTTGTTCTTGAAAGTGGTCCTCTAGGACAGGTTGTCACTTCATCAGAGTGGTCACTTCATCAGAGTGGTTGCTCATCAGAGTGGTCACTTCATCAGAGTGGTTGCTTTGTCAGGTTTTACTGTAGTACAATACACACATGTCAAAGTGTGATGACCAAGCTCTTGTGATGACCAAGCTCTTGTGATGCTTTTTTGAAGGTACACTAGAGGCAGAGCGAAACCGACAGCTGAAGGGAGTGTTTCTTGGTGTACAGAACATTGTCTGCATCATGTGCGTTTTGTCAATATGTTTGCCTCTTGGGTTCTTTTGTGTGGGCCTCGCGCCATGTTTCATTTTTGCTACCACCCCACTCCAGCTACGAATCAGTGTGCATCATCCCCTTGTCTCAATGGTGGAACATGTTATGACATCTCAAATCGCTACTACTGTTCGTGCCTGAACCGTTTCCGAGGCGACCGGTGTGAGAGAGGTAAGACAAGCGACTACACTGAGCATAAATAAAGTATCCCCAGTATGAATAGCATTTTTTGACCATATACAACCCAAACCTTGAGTTGAAAACAAAACACCGGACATCCTTCTGTCAATATTTTTAGAGGTTTGAGCTACCTTAACCCTTTGAGCCCTACCTTGGCATCCAGGGATTCCTACAGGGTTCGCGCAGTAGTCCCAGCATACATTTCAAAATTTTCTAATATCACTCACCAGATTTGGAATATCTCCATTTTGGTCTCTTTGAAGCTAGAGATCTCCTCTCTCCAGATACCGCCACTAAATACTCGACAGGACCAACAGAATCACCTTCATGTCTTTTGAGAACTGACCTATTGCGCATGAGCGAGATACTGTACCCACATCCACAAATTTCATCGGTTCTGAAGTTTTATTCAATGTAGAACGGTGATTCAAAGTCCTGCAGATTCCTGAAGCTCAGGCGATTCATTTGGTCTCGGATATGCTATGCAACCATGAGTCACAGGGGAAGTCCCGCTTGAGCACTGCCATGCTCGCCACGCACAAAATTTGAAACAAATTCAAGCATATCCGTGTTTCGGTCTTTAGCGCTCAGTGATTCTTCATTGCGCTATATCAAACGACACATCGTTGGAAAGCTCATCCTCTCAGCTATCCAATGAGCCCTCATTCTTGGCGATCGAAGAAAGGACAATGGAGACGGCAATTTGAACAGTGATGTGTATGCACTGCACAAACTCGCACAGTTGCACACGAGTAAACTCGTGCTTCGGATTCTAGGTCGTTTTTGAACACGAGTTAACTCGTGGTTCGGGCTCAAAGGGTTAACTCCCCTCACAGTTATATGTTCTCGCGATATCTGTCTGATTTTGGGTGTTCATGGTGTGAAATATGTTAGGGTACGTGGTCTGTATCACACATGATTGTGAGTTTGTCATGTCAGGTTTGTCTCATTGCTGCGTTTGTACCTGTCTCTGATTGGTTGTCCCAATATTCCTTTTCGACATAATGATCGCTGTCACTGCGTTTCATTCATGTTGCCACGGTGATTTGTGTGCTACCTAGATACCCAACCTGCCCGTCCGTGTAGCTCCAACCCATGTTCAAATGGTGGGACGTGCCAGGCGAGCTTTGATGGTAGTAGATACACGTGTCGATGTCCACCTGGTTACGCTGGACCCAGATGTACTCAATGTGAGTGAGTCACCAACGGTCAGGGGCGTCAGAAGAATTCTAGGGTGGTACGGTCAGCTACCTGACATAAAATTTACTGATGGGGTTGGGTCGGTTCCTCCGACATGTTTTCGAAATTTAGGCCCCGAATCAGTCCTTTTTATTGATTCACAGGGTACTTGGAACTGTCAGGGCCGCGCTTGGCGGGTTTGTGACTTGGCTTAGATCAGTCTAGTGGCTACCCAGGTAGACGACCAATATAGTCGCCATCCAAGTTGCTAGCTCACATAGAACGACAGGTTTCTAATTCCACTTGAACAGTGTTTATTTGAACCATTGCAGTACTAGATCGAAAGATCAAGTGTGTAGAGTCAAAAGACCAAAGCAGGAGAGAGTCGGAGTGACTCTCTCAGAATCGAGAGGAGTAGTGAGCTCCCCGAGAATCGAGAGGAGTAGTGAGCTCCCCGAGAATCGAGAGGAGTAGTGAGCTCCCCGAGAATCGAGGATGAATGTTAGCAAAACAGCTCCTTATATATGCTACATTATGTGATCAAAAGTATACAGTGGCAAGAATGCGTAAGGATTATTTCTATATTACAAACAGTGGTGCAATATGTGCAATCAGCCAAACTAGAATATAGTACAAAGAATGATCAATCAATACGGGGAGCTCGCTCACCCACATTACATGAAAGGACTCCGAGGCTCTTCGTGCGACGGGGCCTGGAGTATGCTGTCGGAAGTTGCTGCAGTGCAGCTAGAGCACGCCGCCTCCGTACGCTGCCTTGGTCGTTGGTCACCCTTCATCTCCTGCCCGTAGGCTCTTCCCTCTCATTACCCCGTAGGGTGCTTCACGGTCAAGCCGTGACCTCTCCCAAAAAGGGATAACGGAGTCCGCAGTGCGCGAAACACTTGCAGGACCCTTTACGTCGTACGACGCGAGAAGAGGGGCCTTGCTTGCTCGACTAACAAAGGTATCAGCTCCCTTGCAGGACTAAGCAGGGTCCCCTCAAGCTCAACAGTGTAGTGAGTACAATGCTGACGACTTGTACTGAAGGTGTAGCCGCCGTACGACAACACTTGTGACTCTAGGCCACGAGTTGTAAGCCATGATTGCTCAACTAACGAAGGTGCCAAATCCTTCGCGGGACTAATCATGGTTCTTACAGAACTCTAGAATATTTCGGAGCCCAGCTTTTGGCTGCTGAACTCAATGCATGGTCGCTTTCACGACGAGTCTGATCCGGGTCATGACAATTCCCCGGCCTCTCAAGAATCACGTCCCCGTGATCTCAACTAACATTAAAGTCAGCGAGTCGTGACGGTAACCGCCTAGCTCTCGTTGGCCAAGCCAACGGGTTCTGCACCGCAACAGGTACGGGCATAGAGTACGAAATGTGGCTCCACAGGAGGGACATTTCCATCAAAAAAAATTCCAACTTCAAATGAAACTGGTACTGCTCCACTATCGTAGAGATGAGCCTGGTGCTGATGATCAACACGCAGCTTGTCATGTACAACTAAATGCACGTAGCAAATCTTCACGCAAAGCGTATACGTATGACAGTTCGCCATTTCGTGTCATCTCAGATGAATGTAAACCATAGGCCATAACGTGTGGTCGACACACCCTTCTACCACGTAGGTATCCGGTTCAGTACAAAACTGCTGCAGAGCTCCAGGAGCCATTTCATAGATTTGGTGGTGTCCAACGAATCGGTTCCACCCACACTCCACCCATTACAAAAGACCTTGGCGACCTCGCCAAGACTTCCACGGTAGGTTCATTGCTGCCAGCAAGGACAGACACAATGGCATACGCCTAGTAGCCTGTGCAACAGGACCACGATCACGTGTCTCAATTGTGTGGTGTAGCACCGAAGTGCGACCAAGCTCAGATGGGTTCAAAGCGAACGCATCTCGACACCGAAGCACTAAGGCTTGCAAGCAGTGGATCTCCTCGCAGGAGATACCAGATTGTCCCAGAGATGTCTCATTACCATCTCTTCCGACCCCCACTTCCGTGTGTTCCAGGTCCGAGTCCCAGCTCGTCCACACACCTAGGCTCCAGGATCGAGTCCAGCTCGTCCAACCTACAGGCTCCAGGGTCGAGTTCGTCCTCGCCCAACCTCAAAGGTTCCATGGATGAGTTCGTCCTCATCCAACCTTTCCGGGGGTCCACAACCGGACATCTTGCGCCAATGCGCAACTGCTTCCAGACCCCGAGAGAGTCCTCCGTCTCAGCTATTTGAACTGATTCCTCTCCCTGGCCATCAGCCAGAGTGTCTTCGGTCACGATGCTCATGACCTCAGATATTGGTTCTAACCGACCAATCTGCATTGCCCTCTCTAGAGCCACTGCCTCGTCAGAGTAATTCAACACCCGTACGGGAACACCATCCACCGTAGGGCTCACTAGCGCATGCGCCATCATGACATCATTCATTCCTTGAAAACACCCATCAGGTATCGTCAAGGCACAGGTCGGCAACCCTTCCGACGTGTCTAGCACGGCGTTAACCGTCACCTCCGAAAAGGGAGTATCACTTCACGCCTCCGCAAGCGAAGAACGTGCTCTCGTTTGCCATCACCATCATGGCTTGGCGGAACGACGTCAGCTTTAGAAGCTTTAAAGTGCAATGCTCCACCACCCGAAGTGATCTCGCAAGGAATTGGGACAGCACATCGCGTCCAATGCCAGAACCAGTAACCAACATCATACTCAGTACGTGACGAAACACCACAGGGTGCGGACGTCGACAGATCCGACACCAAACAGGCATCGCCCAACACAGAAGTGCTGGTTTCAGGTGGGCATCAGCTCACTAGTGATTTCTATCACACTCCAATCAAAACATTCGAGATCCGCATCAACGAACTCAAATCAGCAGTTGTTCAAGCTCTCTGCAGAACTTGTTACTGTATCATCGTTTCAGCCAGCATCTCAACTGATGCGCCCAGTTTCGAAATCTGGCTTCGTGACTCCGTCACACGACAAGGACATAGCCCTCTTGACTGTTTTTGACCCGTCAAAGTTCAAAAGAACAGCAACACTCCTCAACTGCAGCTGAGGGCAACGTAGAAGCTAAGCTTCATGCAGTCATCGATCCTGCCACTTCAAGACGACTCTAAAAGTCTAAAAGCATTTCGCTTCTCGAGCAGTTTCTGTGCAAGCGCTGACAAAACAGTAGAGTTTCCTCACTGCACGTCCTAGCAAGAACCTCTGTGGGTTCGAAAAAATGCGCCATCTACACCGCAAATCGAGTGCAGCTGACACATATCTCAGACCAACAAGTGGTGCAGGAGTCGAAACTCTCGTCGGCGGCATGACCGACTTTCGCCAGGTCTTCCGGAACAAGTTGGCACGCCAACTGGTAAGTGGTAGCAACAGCTACAAAACAGAACGAGTTCAAGTTCCATGTGCACGCACTCAGACAGAGTGTTCAACTGAACGGACCAAGGCCAGAACAGGACAAAACAGTTCGCTTCCGACTCCACTTGAGAACTGCATGCAGCCTCGTGAAATCGACATCAAATTCACACCTCTGCATGCTCGAGTAAACAAGAGCTCAGAGTTCAGCATGGACCAGTGCACACCGAGTTACGACTACTCTGCCGGAGCAACAGCAAGACGCAGCTTGGATCCTGGTCACAGCACCAAATGTCAGGGCCGCGCTTGGCGGGTTTGTGACTTGGCTTAGATCAGTCTAGTGGCTACCCAGGTAGACGACCAATATAGTCGCCATCCAAGTTGCTAGCTCACATAGAACGACAGGTTTCTAATTCCACTTGAACAGTGTTTATTTGAACCATTGCAGTACTAGATCGAAAGATCAAGTGTGTAGAGTCAAAAGACCAAAGCAGGAGAGAGTCGGAGTGACTCTCTCAGAATCGAGAGGAGTAGTGAGCTCCCCGAGAATCGAGAGGAGTAGTGAGCTCCCCGAGAATCGAGAGGAGTAGTGAGCTCCCCGAGAATCGAGGATGAATGTTAGCAAAACAGCTCCTTATATATGCTACATTATGTGATCAAAAGTATACAGTGGCAAGAATGCGTAAGGATTATTTCTATATTACAAACAGTGGTGCAATATGTGCAATCAGCCAAACTAGAATATAGTACAAAGAATGATCAATCAATACGGGGAGCTCGCTCACCCACATTACATGAAAGGACTCCGAGGCTCTTCGTGCGACGGGGCCTGGAGTATGCTGTCGGAAGTTGCTGCAGTGCAGCTAGAGCACGCCGCCTCCGTACGCTGCCTTGGTCGTTGGTCACCCTTCATCTCCTGCCCGTAGGCTCTTCCCTCTCATTACCCCGTAGGGTGCTTCACGGTCAAGCCGTGACCTCTCCCAAAAAGGGATAACGGAGTCCGCAGTGCGCGAAACACTTGCAGGACCCTTTACGTCGTACGACGCGAGAAGAGGGGCCTTGCTTGCTCGACTAACAAAGGTATCAGCTCCCTTGCAGGACTAAGCAGGGTCCCCTCAAGCTCAACAGTGTAGTGAGTACAATGCTGACGACTTGTACTGAAGGTGTAGCCGCCGTACGACAACACTTGTGACTCTAGGCCACGAGTTGTAAGCCATGATTGCTCAACTAACGAAGGTGCCAAATCCTTCGCGGGACTAATCATGGTTCTTACAGAACTCTAGAATATTTCGGAGCCCAGCTTTTGGCTGCTGAACTCAATGCATGGTCGCTTTCACGACGAGTCTGATCCGGGTCATGACAGAACAAAGAGTGGTATTGTCAATGCTGTAGTGACTGTGGTGACCAACAGTTAGGTGTGCAGGCTGAGAGAGAGAGAGATCTCCCCGTAGCTCTGCTAGTCTATTGTACCAATCGTATAGGTGTGACATGATATAGGTGTGACGTGATATAGGTGTGACATGATATAGGTGTGACATGATATAGGTGTGACATGATATAGGTGTGACATGATATGAGTGGTATATGATAACGTGTGGTGCCAATGTATAACTAAGGTAACGCAATGCAACACCAGAGCATTAGTACTTGAAGGCAATACATTACACTCTGTAAACTAACACCACCACAGTGACCGTAGTGTGTCCGACGCCCCTCACTGGATGAGTTACACACTCAGTGTGGGGGTTTTGTTCACCAGATTCAGTCTGCTCTCGTGGAACAACTTGCATGCACACCACCAGTTGGTTCAAGAGGACTTGACTGGCAAGGCACACTTGCAAGCAATATACTCTGTTCTCTTGTACTTCGGTAGTAAGTTGTTCCCGCTTGCCGGGTAGCTGCACTCCACAGATCACAAATAATGGCTTGACTCAATGTGATAGCTTGACTCAATGTGATAGCTTGGCTCAATGTGATAGCTTGGCTCAATGTGACAGCTTGGCTCAATGTGATAGCTTGGCTCAATGTGATAGCTTGGCTCAATGTGATAGCTTGGCTCAATGTGATAGCTTGGCTCAATGTGATAGCTTGGCTCAATGTGATAGCTTGGCTCAATGTGATAGCTTGGCTCAATGTGATAGCTTGGCTCAATGTGATAGCTTGGCTCAATGTGATAGCTTGGCTCAATGTGATAGCTTGGCTCAATGTGATAGCTTGGCTCAATGTGATAGCTTGGCTCAATGTGATAGCTTGGCTCAATGTGATAGCTTGGCTCAATGTGATAGCTTGGCTCAATGTGATAGCTTGGCTCAATGTGATAGCTTGGCTCAATGTGATAGCTTGGCTCAATGTGATAGCTTGGCTCAATGTGATAGCTTGGCTCAATGTGATAGCTTGACTCAATGTGATAGCTTGGCTCAATGTGATAGCTTGGCTCAATGTGATAGCTTGACTCAATGTGATAGCTTGGCTCAATGTGATAGCTTGACTCAATGTGATAGCTTGACTCAATGTGATAGCTTGACTCAATGTGATAGCTTGGCTCAATGTGACAGCTTGGCTCAATGTGATAGCTTGGCTCAATGTGATAGCTTGGCTCAATGTGATAGCTTGGCTCAATGTGATAGCTTGGCTCAATGTGATAGCTTGGCTCAATGTGATAGCTTGGCTCAATGTGATAGCTTGGCTCAATGTGATAGCTTGGCTCAATGTGATAGCTTGGCTCAATGTGATAGATTGGCTCAATGTGATAGCTTGGCTCAATGTGATAGCTTGGCTCAATGTGATAGCTTGGCTCAATGTGATAGCTTGGCTCAATGTGATAGCTTGGCTCAATGTGATAGCTTGGCTCAATGTGATAGCTTGGCTCAATGTGATAGCTTGGCTCAATGTGATAGCTTGGCTCAATGTGATAGCTTGGCTCAATGTGATAGCTTGACTCAATGTGATAGCTTGGCTCAATGTGATAGCTTGGCTCAATGTGATAGCTTGACTCAATGTGATAGCTTGACTCAATGTGATAGCTTGGCTCAATGTGACAGCTTGGCTCAATGTGATAGCTTGGCTCAATGTGATAGCTTGGCTCAATGTGATAGCTTGGCTCAATGTGATAGCTTGGCTCAATGTGATAGCTTGGCTCAATGTGATAGCTTGGCTCAATGTGATAACTTGGCTCAATGTGATAGATTGGCTCAATGTGATAGCTTGGCTCAATGTGATAGCTTGGCTCAATGTGATAGCTTGGCTCAATGTGATAGCTTGGCTCAATGTGATAGCTTGGCTCAATGTGATAGCTTGGCTCAATGTGATAGCTTGGCTCAATGTGATAGCTTGGCTCAATGTGATAGCTTGGCTCAATGTGATAGCTTGGCTCAATGTGATAGCTTGGCTCAATGTGATAGCTTGGCTCAATGTGATAGCTTGGCTCAATGTGATAGCTTGGCTCTATGTGATAGCTTGGCTCAATGTGATAGCTTGGCTCAATGTGATAGCTTGACTCAATGTGATAGCTTGACTCAATGTGATAGCTTGACTCAATGTGATAGCTTGACTCAATGTGATAGCTTGGCTCAATGTGATAGCTTGGCTCAATGTGATAGCTTGGCTCAATGTGATAGCTTGACTCAATGTGATAGCTTGACTCAATGTGATAGCTTGACTCAATGTGATAGCTTGGCTCAATGTGATAGCTTGACTCAATGTGATAGCTTGACTCAATGTGATAGCTTGGCTCAATGTGATAGCTTGGCTCAATGTGATAGCTTGGCTCAATGTGATAGCTTGACTCAATGTGATAGCTTGGCTCAATGTGATAGCTTGGCTCAATGTGATAGCTTGACTCAATGTGATAGCTTGGCTCAATGTGATAGCTTGGCTCAATGTGATAGCTTGGCTCAATGTGATAGCTTGGCTCAATGTGATAGCTTGGCTCAATGTGATAGCTTGGCTCAATGTGATAGCTTGGCTCAATGTGATAGCTTGGCTCAATGTGATAGCTTGGCTCAATGTGATAGCTTGGCTCAATGTGATAGATTGGCTCAATGTGATAGCTTGGCTCAATGTGATAGCTTGGCTCAATGTGATAGCTTGGCTCAATGTGATAGCTTGGCTCAATGTGATAGCTTGGCTCAATGTGATAGCTTGGCTCAATGTGATAGCTTGGCTCAATGTGATAGCTTGGCTCAATGTGATAGCTTGGCTCAATGTGATAGCTTGGCTCAATGTGATAGCTTGGCTCAATGTGATAGCTTGACTCAATGTGATAGCTTGGCTCAATGTGATAGCTTGACTCAATGTGATAGCTTGGCTCAATGTGATAGCTTGGCTCAATGTGATAGCTTGGCTCAATGTGATAGCTTGGCTCAATGTGATAGCTTGGCTCAATGTGATAGCTTGGCTCAATGTGATAGCTTGGCTCAATGTGATAGCTTGGCTCAATGTGATAGCTTGGCTCAATGTGATAGCTTGGCTCAATGTGATAGCTTGACTCAATGTGATAGCTTGGCTCAATGTGATAGCTTGACTCAATGTGATAGCTTGACTCAATGTGATAGCTTGGCTCAATGTGATAGCTTGGCTCAATGTGATAGCTTGGCTCAATGTGATAGCTTGACTCAATGTGATAGCTTGACTCAATGTGATAGCTTGGCTCAATGTGATAGCTTGACTCAATGTGATAGCTTGGCTCAATGTGATAGCTTGACTCAAAGTGATAGCTTGACTCAATGTGATAGCTTGACTCAATGTGATAGCTTGGCTCAATGTGATAGCTTGACTCAATGTGATAGCTTGACTCAATGTGATAGCTTGGCTCAATGTGATAGCTTGGCTCAATGTGATAGCTTGACTCAATGTGATAGCTTGGCTCAATGTGATAGCTTGATTCAATGTGATAGCTTGGCTCAATGTGATAGCTTGGCTCAATGTGATAGCTTGGCTCAATGTGATAGCTTGGCTCAATGTGATAGCTTGGCTCAATGTGATAGCTTGGCTCAATGTGATAGCTTGGCTCAATGTGATAGCTTGGCTCAATGTGATAGCTTGGCTCAATGTGATAGCTTGGCTCAATGTGATAGCTTGACTCAATGTGATAGCTTGGCTCAATGTGATAGCTTGGCTCAATGTGATAGCTTGACTCAATGTGATAGCTTGACTCAATGTGATAGCTTGGCTCAATGTGATAGCTTGGCTCAATGTGATAGCTTGGCTCAATGTGATAGCTTGACTCAATGTGATAGCTTGACTCAATGTGATAGCTTGGCTCAATGTGATAGCTTGACTCAATGTGATAGCTTGGCTCAATGTGATAGCTTGACTCAATGTGATAGCTTGACTCAATGTGATAGCTTGACTCAATGTGATAGCTTGGCTCAATGTGATAGCTTGACTCAATGTGATAGCTTGACTCAATGTGATAGCTTGGCTCAATGTGATAGCTTGGCTCAATGTGATAGCTTGACTCAATGTGATAGCTTGACTCAATGTGATAGCTTGACTCAATGTGATAGCTTGGCTCAATGTGATTGAGTTTTCATGGAAGTATACATGTATCTACCATGTGCCCATTATCTGTATTTTAATCATGCCTTCTCAGTGTCTTGGACACCAGATATGGTGCAATGCTCAAGTTAGCTCAAGTTCTCACCTGCTGAACCAATGAGGTAATTCTGTGCATTTCATTTGCCCTCTTCAGCTACCAATGTCGATGAATGTGCATCGTCACCTTGCCAGAACGGTGGAACTTGCTACGACTTGAACAACCGCTTTTTCTGTGCATGCCGCTCGCCATACACTGGTGAACGCTGTCAGCAAGGTCAGTTTTGACTCGAAGTACTGAGTCAGACCTCGCATAACCGCACACATCCGTTTTCCACAAAAATATCCGGATACCCGAGAGAACCAGATAATCGAACACACATAATTGTATGTTTGCATGGCATATGCTGTAAATCGGTAACCAACGATTTTCTTCCGGATGGCGAGGGATCCGGATAAAAGAGGACTGGATAAGCGAGGTCTGACTGTATTCTGTTCCTACTTCTTGGTAATGTGGAATACTTGCTGTGAGCATTTAGTAAAGCCTTTAATGAATAATCACTGTTGAGGGAGAGATGACTTGTAGACAAAAAAACTGGTCTGCAAAAGGCAAGCTTCACTGACTATTAACTGTGTTATTAAAACAGTTACCAGAACAATCATGTTGAACACAATAGTCAATACCAAGTTGAGGTGCATCAAGTCACTTCTTACCTCCCTGTATTCAAACTGACTGGACACACACATAGGTCGGGTATACATCCATGAAAGGCTTTCTTTATCCTACACACCACTGCTGCTGCTGATGCTGTTGCATATGAAATAGGTGTACTTCAGTACATGATCAGACGTAATATTGTACTACTCTCTAATATTGTACAGTACTCTCTGATGTATGTGCGCTCTTAATAGGACCAGACCCATGCTCCGGAGTGACTTGTCAAAATGGCGGTAGTTGTCGAAGCTTGCCAGCTAGCAATAGCTTTGTGTGTGACTGCACTGCTGCCTACACGGGAAGGTTCTGTGCTGACCGTAAGTGATTTCAGTTACAGTGTGATGGCAATGGCATGCATACCCTGGCTTGTTCCCTCTATGTCCTCTCCTATCTCCTTATCAGAGGCAGCCTAGCTGCTGGCTGACTGCAATGACACCTCGGCATGCATCTCTCTATTCTGTGAATTGCCGGTGAAATGGTCAGGCGAAATTGTTGGAAACCAACAATTATGACTATAAACCAGTGAACCTAAGTCTGCTCTGCTCGGCCAATGAGCTTATTCTGTGCATTTCACTTGTCTTTTCCAGCTGTAAATGTCGATGAATGTGCATCATCACCTTGCCAGAACGGTGGAACTTGCTACGACTTGAGCAACCGCTTTTTCTGTGCATGCCGCTCGCCATACACTGGTGACCGATGTGAGCAAGGTCAGTTCTGACTCGAAATACATGTATGCTGTTCTTAGCTGCTTGTTTGTGTGGAGTATGTGTGTAAAGTATTTGTTGTGAGCATTGAATATAACATATAGGCTGTGATTAGCAACCACTGGAAGAGATGGCTTGTATTTTCAGATTGGTTATCTCATACCCCAGAGCATTGTGCACTCATGCCTGTCCAGAACATCGTCTGTCCTGCACTCACACTTATTTAAAAGACTACTGAAGTACGTGCGCTGGCGACCGTTGTTCTGCGTCGCACCCCTTGAACAGGAAGTACGGCTTGAAATCAAAACATCACAACACTTTGTCTTCTGGGTGCGGAGTCGAATGCAATTTTTCGGAGAAAGCTGTGATGCACCATTCGTCCTATACACCCAGTCGAATACGTATATACGCCTCCATCGAAATAGGAAGAGTGCACGCTTCCTTATAGGGAGTTGTACGAACATTTTCTCGGGAAGCATCATTTCCTGATTCTGTAGAAGCACAGATATGGATGAAACCTTCAGAACATGTAGTCATCTGAACTCTTAAAGGGGCACTCCGGGAATTTTTTCGGTGGTGTGTTCTCTTCATGGGGGCCTTATATGGCCCCCAAGGAATGGGGAATCGCGAAAACTAGACCCAAAAAGGCGATATATGAAGCCAGGGAGGGCCAAGTTTGTCTCCTCTTTTGATGGTTTTGATGACGTCATGTGTGATTAGTATTCAAATTCTCTGCATTTGAAGGTCTTAGTTGTTTGAATTTTCTGGTGATGAAGAACGATGTTTGGTCGACATTCCCAAGCTTCACAACTGCGGACATACTCTAAGGAACCTGAAGGACCCCCTGAGGTGCCCCTGGTAGAAGCGCAGCCTGATGAGGGCCAGGAGATTGGAGCGGACGACTTCACTGGTCCGAGTACGAGGATCCCGAAATTCTCTATACGCCGTGAGGCATATGGTCAGAACAGTTTTGTTTAGACAAGCTGACGCGAAGTCGGGGTGATGTGTAACGTATGTCAAAGGGCTGTCAATGCTAACAGCTGCAGCGCTCTCTCGACAGCGAACGTAATCGACTGCCCTCTGCATCACCCCACATTTCTGGCAGGAACACCAATCGTTATTTCCTTGTTGATCAGTGAAGTCGTCCGCTCCAATTTCCTGGCCCTCATTAGGCTGCGCTTCTACCAGGGGCACCTCAGGAGGTCCTTCAGGTTCCTTAGAGTATGGTCGCAGTTGTGAAGCTTGGGAATGTTGACCAAACATCGTTCTTCATCACCAGAAAATTCAAACAACTAAGATCTTCACATGCAGAGAATTTGAATACTAATCACACGTGACGTCATCAAAACCATCAAAAGAGGAGACAAACTTGGCCCTCCCTGGCTTCATATATCGACATTTTGGGTCTAGTTTTCGCGATTCTCCATTCCTTGGGGGCCATATAAGGCCCCCATGAAGAGAACACACCACCCAAAAAATTCCCGGAGTGCCCCTTTAATCAAACAGAGTCTGTCCAAGGAGGCTGCAATATGCTGTTCACTCTTTATTTGCTGCTAAACATGCGCAGGTTTTCTGCCATCGCCCGTAGCTCACTACAAGAACATCAGCAGTAACATTTTACGTAATACTGAAAGGACGGTGTTCATTTTTTCTACTAAAGAAAGACTTCTTTTCACTACACCTCCAACTCACAACACACAAAGTACTCAGCTACACCACGTACAACGAAAGTTTCCAAATTTTTCACCCAAGAGGGCATCATCAGGGATGATGATGCCCTCTTGGGTGAAAAATTTGAAACAATCGTACGTGGTGTAGCCGAGTACTTTGTGTGTTGTGAGTTGGAGGTGTACATGTACTGAAAAGATGACAAGGCTACAATGGAGCTTCAAAGTTCTGAAAAAAGAAAGACTTCACTATGATCATCAACACTTTTCTGCTCCGCCGTTTACAAACGCCAGCATGCCATAGTCCTTTTGTGTTGTGCCGTGTCCAGTGGATGCCAAGGGATATCCTTTGGCACGTACTAGCTCATACTCAATAGCACTGTCATTGTTGCTGCTGATGCCCAAAGCTGGCTCTGGCGAATCCTCAGAATGCAGCCTCGCTCTTCAAGCTTTTGCTTCATATCAGCAAATTTCTCTTCAACCGTGAAGCTCCGAGCAACCTTTGTCAGTAATTCCAATCACTTGACACACGATTCCTGGTTGTAGTTTACAGCTATCAAATCCCACTTGCATAGCAGCATACATGTCCACAGTGCGTCCATCCTGTGCAATGTCTGCGAATCTCATTGAACTCTGAGACATCAACCATTGCTTGGCTGCTCTCCATGCGAATGACACGGCCGTTGATATCGGGTGGGTGGGTAAAGCCCACCATACAGAAGGTTGGGTAAGATACCCGAACCGATTCCCTCAGACTGGAGAGTCCTGTCCAAACCAAGACTGATATCTTCCAACCAGGCATGGTCGTGTAACATAGAACGGGGCTCGTTGACCAAGAAGATGATATCTGCTGCAGGGTTGAAATGAGCTTCGCGTACTGTCTGACTTCCATTGATGTAGCGGTTCTCTTCAAGATTCATGGTCTTGCCGTCCGGTGCAATACAGCTGATTACAATGGAGCTTCAAAGTTCTGAAAAGGAAAGACCTCACTATATCATTAACAGTTACATGCACATGCATATTGAAAGCAATGCCAACTTGAAGTGTGCCACGTAAACTAGACATGCATGTTCACCAATGTTCCAGGTGTGTTTCCAAAAAAGGCCAGTTTCATTTACCGACCCTACATGCTGCTGTTGCTGTTGCCTAATTGAAATAGGTGAACTCAGTACCTGATGACATGGTATTGTGCTACTCACTGTATTCCTTGTGCTCTTATCAGAACCAGACCCGTGCTCCGGAGTGACTTGTCAAAATGGCGGTACTTGTCGAAGTCTGCCAGCTAGCAACAGCTTTGTGTGTGACTGCACTGCTGCCTACATGGGAAGGTTCTGTGCTGACCGTAAGTGATTTTCAGTTACAGCTTCATCATACCATACTCGGTTTGTTCCCAAAATGTTCCTCGTCACCCTCTCCTCGGAGACTGCAGCCTGGGGGGGGAGGGAGGGATGCTTGTTGATCGCATTACAAATCCTGCTTGTCTATCGAAGGTGGAGAGTGTGCAGAATGTTTTCATCCATTTCCGCTGTGCATTGAAAATGTCCCACTAGCATCAGCAGATTCATGTACAGGACCTGTGGGCCAGATTTACACATGGTGTTTTGCTCTTTTCTTCATACCGGTAGTCAGAATCAACAGACCATTGTGCTAGTAGTAGAAACTGTTCTGTTCAACCGGCACCAAGCAACTACAATAGCTGAAAACAAGAATATGCGCAGTGTAATACCTGATGCAATAACTACACATAATGAATAACTGATGCAATAACTACACATAATGAATAACTGATGTAATAACTACACATAATGAATAACTGATGTAATAACTACACATAATGAATAACTGATGTAATAACTACACATAATGAATAACTGATGTAATAACTACACATAATGAATAACTGATGTAATAACTACACATAATGAATAACTGATGCAATAACTACACATAATGAATAACTGATGTAATAACTACACATAATGAATAACTGATGCAATAACTACACAAAATAAATAATTGATGCAAAGCCTCGCGCCTTCAACACCGTGGTTTGTACTGTGATGTGATAGAACGCTGCAGTGCGGGAGCACGAGCCATGTGTCGGTGTGGTAATATGTAACAAGTGCAAGGCATGCCACAAGCATGTGCCACATGGAGATGCTCATCGCCAGCACATGCAACAGTGTCTGGAAACGTACCAAATCATACACACAAGAACGCAGCATTAAGTCGCTCGCACCAAGTCACCGGGTTTAACGTTGCAACATCCGTAATATATTGCTTGTGAATTTTACTGTACAAGTGGACTTTGTGTTGTTGTGTATTTTTTTAATATTAGGTGAACCCTGTTTCAATAATCCATGTGAGAATGGTGGACAGTGTACTGCCAGAGGAAGTTCGTTCGATTGTGCTTGTCTTCCTGGCTTCACTGGTGCTACCTGTGCAAACAGTAAGCGTCTTAGCCACTCCTGGGCCATGGCCACTTCACTCATGACTTCAGATCCATGACATAATCCATGACATAATCCATGACATAATGTAGATACTGTCACTGTCATGCGTTTCGGTTGCGGTATGACATTTAAAATGTTTAGAAAGGTTTGTGTTTGAAACCCCCCTTAGAAGGCAGGGACTCACCTTGCAAAGGCAAAGAACCTGGAAATTGAATTACAGTAAAACCCCTAATGTAGCTTTCCCTGTAGTAGGAAGGGAGAAAGTACATATTTGTTCATACTTTGCATGCAGTCACAGTTGGATACACGAGGCTCGAACCCGACTCATATGCACATCCAATATGTCAAACCTAGCCCCAAATCACTTTTTAGTGTATGGCTGTTATACTTTATTTATTTTATTTTATTCCAAGCAATACAAGGCTGGGGTAGCCAATGACCACTTTGCGTGGCGAATCTGGCGATTGAAGGGTTTTTATAGGCAACCACGGCTTTGCTATAGCATGTGACACAGTACATGCCTGCAGGATATTGGTGGAGTCAGCAACAGCTCCACTCGCACCTCAACTCCTCCTAGCCGTATCCTGGCCAGCCAACGAGACCATGTTGGGATATTCTGTTGGGCACAACCGAGAAATAAGGCCCTCCCTGCCATGCTACTAACCTATGATTATTATGATATATGTTTTCCGTTTTTTTTCCCCACAGCGGTACTAGGTGTCACTGTGAATCCTACGTTGATTGACATCAACGCCGACTCGTTCCAGTATGTTACTTGTCAAACATCGCAACCTCTTCCCTCCGGTAGCATTGCCAACTACATGCGCTGGACCACAGCGAATGGCCAGGCGATCGCGGGAAATCCACGCTTGATTGCCACCGGTGATCAGCTGATTGTATTCAACCCAACGGAAGCAGACGTGGGCATCTATAAGTGTGTTGTCACACTTAATGGTGTGGTATCCGAGGCAGAGTTCGCTCTCAGTTCAGGAAGTAAGTATCGTAAATAGCAGATAGCCTCCCACGGTTTGTAGGCCAACATGCTGGTGTGAAATAGCATGGCATTCCTTTCAAACAAGGAAATGTGGTTAGCATCAGGATGAGGATGGGTGCTTAGCAGTGCTTGTACAGTCTTGATGTACCCACCTCCGCCTTTCCGTGACATCCCCATCTCTTGCAATGAATGACATGCCAAGGGTTGCACACTTGAATGACATGCCAAGGGTTGCACACATGAATGACATGTCAAGGGTTGCACACATGAATGACATGCCAAGGGTTGCACACATGAATGACATGCCAAGGGTTGCACACATGAATGACATGCCAAGGGTTGCACACTTGAATGACATGCCAAGGGTTGCACACATGAATGACATGCCAAGGGTTGCACACATGAATGACATGCCAAGGGTTGCACACATGAATGACATGCCAAGGGTTGCACACATGAATGACATGCCAAGGGTTGCACACATGAATGACATGCCAAGGGTTGCACACATGAATGACATGCCAAGGGTTGCACACATGAATGACATGCCAAGGGTTGCACACATGAATGACATGCCAAGGGTTGCACACTTGAATGACATGCCAAGGGTTGCACACATGAATGACATGCCAAGGGTTGCACACATGAATGACATGCCAAGGGTTGCACACATGAATGACATGCCAAGGGTTGCACACATGAATGACATGCCAAGGGTTGCACACATGAAACACAAACTGCCACTACTGTAAATCAACAAATGTTTGGCCGGTGAGAAACTTTGGCCGATCTCGAAATGAAACTTTTGGCCATCATTAAACTTTGGCCGGTTAGGGTTTTCAAAAAGGAAATCAATCAGTAGTTAGTGCTCTCACATGCATCCATCCATCATTTGCCTCTATGACAAACTTGGGCCGGCGATTTACTTTGGCCGGTTGGTACCCAGCGGCGAAATCAGCAAAATTAAATCGCCAGCGAAATTAGATGATTTACAGTGGCTGGATGGGTTGCTGCTCCGAATTTCATGCCTATGGCAGTATTATCGCAACACTGCTACTGTCTTGCGAAAAACATGTAGATATGCATGCTACATGTAGATATGCATGCTACATGTAGATATGCATGCTCCATGTAGATATGCATGCTACATGTAGATATGCATGCTACATGTAGATATGCATGCTACATTTTGTATTGGGCAGCACAAGCACTTCTAACAGACCACACTATAGAACTTGACCTGAGGGAACAAACATGACCATTGATGTGTATGGACATGTTCCCAGTGTATGAGATGTGGAGTGTCACAGAGTGTGTCATGAGCACAATTCCTTTGTGTTTGCTTCTGTGTAGGCACACCAGTAACCACAAGACCGCCGATTCCAGCACCAACCACGGCACCACCTGCCCCGCCAACTAATCCCACGCCGACCGAAAGTACCATTCCGATCGGCTTCTTTACTGTAAGCTATTGCCCAACAGACATAATAATATTATGTACCCCATTGGCTATTACTGCAGAACGTGCTATGCGCCTCACAACTGCTGATGCTGCGTGTGATGTAGGTGGGGTGTTAGCGTGTGTGTGTGGGGGGGGGGGGGGGGGGAGGGAGGTGTGCGCAGGACTTTGAAAAATACATGTAGCTCACTATTGACAATTGAGGCTTGGAAGGGGGGTGTTTTGCTTTCCTATCGAAAGTGTGCACACAAGCTGAAACGTTCTGAAGGGAAACCTAGACTGATATAAGCAAGATGACACAACATATTTTCTAAGGGATCCGTGGCAGGCCAGATAGACTGTGCTACGTGAAGCACATGTTTGCGGTATGACCCGACCCTATGTACGGCTTACGTGTAAATGTGGATAATATGCATGTACATGAACAGTACCAGTGGATGTGGTTGTACATGTGGATGTAACGTTACCTGTGGTTGTACAAGTGGATGGACCTGTGGATGGACCTGTGGATGTATCTGTGGCTGTGGATATAACGTTACATGTGGATGTACCTGTGGTTGTACATGTGGATGGACCTGTGGATGGACCTGTGGCTGTGGATATAACGTTAGATGTGGATGTACCTGTGGTTGTATTTGTGGATGCACCTGTGTCTATGGATGCACCTGTGGATGTACCTGTGGATGTGGATGTGGATGTGCCTGTTGATGTACCCGTGCATGTCCCTATGACTGTGGCTGTGGACGTTGTTATATTACCTGTATATGGCATGGCTAGCTTCAACTTCAAGTCAGCCTTATGGCCTTCTTATGGCCCAAACGTGTACTTGCTGAAACAAGGATCAACATTCTACGGGGTGAATGTTTCCGCACAACTGGCTACACGCATGCGTTCAGTATCAATCCACTGGCTACACGCATGCGTACAGTATCAATCCACTGGCTACACGCATGCGTACAGTATCAATCCACTGGCTACACGCATGCGTACAGTATCAATCCACTGGCTACACGCATGCGTACAGTATCAATCCACTGGCTACACGCATGCGTACAGTATCAATCCACTGGCTACACGCATGCGTACAGTATCAATCCACTGGCTACACGCATGCGTACAGTATCAATCCACTGGCTACACGCATGCGTACAGTATCAATCCACTGGCTACACGCATGCGTACAGTATCAATCCACTGGCTACACGCATGCGTCCAGTATCAATCCACTGGCTACACGCATGCGTACAGTATCAATCCACTGGCTACACGCATGCGTACAGTATCAATCCACTGGCTACACGCATGCGTACAGTATCAATCCACTGGCTACACGCATGCGTACAGTATCAATCCACTGGCTACACGCATGCGTACAGTATCAATCCACTGGCTACACGCATGCGTACAGTATCAATCCACTGGCTACACGCATGCGTACAGTATCAATCCACTGGCTACACGCATGCGTACAGTATCAATCCACTGGCTACACGCATGCGTACAGTATCAATCCACTGGCTACACGCATGCGTACAGTATCAATCCACTGGCTACACGCATGCGTACAGTATCAATCCACTGGCTACACGCATGCGTACAGTATCAATCCACTGGCTACACGCATGCGTACAGTATCAATCCACTGGCTACACACCTAGTACAGTATCAAACTGTCTTCGAGCATACATTCTCAGGATACTCTCGTATTGTACCGGTAATAGAATTCCAGGAGCAGCTGATCTCAAGATCTCAAGAGTGCAGTGTGAGCAAGACAGCGTGAAGGTACAGATGTTGTAAACTGCACAGGCTAAAGTGGACAGTGAAATTTCATATGTCTCTGCTAGAATACTCATCTCTGGCCATCATATCCGTACATGATTGTATTGCTATGCTGTAACGGTGTTTAGGTTACCATTCAGCCAAGCAGTGCAGTACGGCGGCCCACAAACGACACCGTGCTCTTCTGTCGCGTGGAAGCTCTTCCTTTCGGATACACTGTTGCCGGTAGGACATGGAGCAGGACAGACGGCAGACCACTGCCGGCTAGTCGCTCAAATACCTTCTCCAACGGAGCCATCATTCGCATCAGCAATCATGAAATCAGCGACAGTGGCTCGTATATGTGCACAGTGGAGGCCAGGAATGCCGATGGTGTTTCAACGTCATCAAGCGCAGTGGCTAGAATACAGGTTACAAGTAAGGCTGATGCCAATGTATGACTCTTTCTTTCCTCAAGAATACCTTATCAATGGTCAATGGTAATATTCATGTATATGTACTGGAAAACATGGGGAAATGAAGCGAAGAAGTCAAACCAGTGCAAGTTATACATAAGTCGAACCAGTGCAAGTTATACAGCATAAACCGGTTAGTTAGAAAGGCACGTCTTATTGTCTGGCATATATCAATATAACCTTTACAGCTGTGCTTATGTTTCTGGCTGTATTCTCAATTCATTTTTGTTTGTTTCTTCAATGCAGCTATCTCTGTGAGGCTATCACCAAGCAATGTTGCACTTAGTCAAGGTGGAAACCAGCTGCTCGAATGCATTGTCACAAACCCCCGGGGTGGCAGTATTGGCGGCACGATTAGCTGGCGACGAGAGAACTCCACAACCCTTGACCAGCACAAGGGTCGCTATTTGCAGATGAATGCCGTTACCTCAGCCGATACGGATATCTACTGCTGCTCAGTTGATGCTGGCAATGGAGAAATGATTGAAGACTGCACTATTGTTACTGTTGGTAAGGGAGAAATGACACGATTACCCACAGCTAGACCAGCCCGGATAGCCACACACATTGAGAATGCCTAGCTTGACCTGACATGCCCGTCTGGTTGTGCATGTACAATATGGGCCAATGACACCCAACCCCTGGCTCGAGAACTGTATTGCGAGTAGCGTTGGACAACATTGAAGTCCTGCACTAAGAAATCATGCTCCACAGCTCAGGGTGTTAAAAGGGCGGCTAAGCTTCACAAGGGACAGGGGTATCATGGCATAGGCCAGCAAGGTGGCTTGGCTAACTGTGGCTGGGTACTCGTATGCCGAGACACATTGTTACCGAATATAATCACCAGCCAGCGACACTTTTCTCAGTGTTCTGGAGTGTCTCAAGTCATGTCTTATTCCAATCCTTGTTGTATTCCTTGTTCCCTGTTTGTTGCTCGCTCCAATCATGGCAGGTGACATCTGTATTGCACCGGACGGCAAGACCATGAGCCTTGAAGAGTACCGCTACATCAATGGCAGCCAGACAGTGCGTGAAGCTCGTCTCAACCCTGCAGCAGACATCATCTTCTTGGTTGACGAGTCGCGCTCTATGTTACAGGAGCATGCCTGGTTGGAGGATATCAGTCTTGGTTTGGACAGGACTCTCCAGTCTGAGGGAATCGGCTCGGGTATCTTACCCAACCTCTTCTGTATGGTGGGCTTTGCCCACCCACCCGATATCAACGGCCGTGTTATTCGCATGGAGAGCGGCCAAGTAATGGGAGATGCCTCAGAGTTCAATGAGATTCGCAAAGACATTGCACAGGATGGCCGCACTGAGGACATGTATTCCGCTATGCAAGTGGGATTTGATAACTGTGAACTGCGACCAGGAATGGCATGTCAAGTGATTGGAATTACCGACGAAGGTCGCTCGCCGCTTGTTGATGAGCAGTTTGCTGATATGAAGCAAAAGCTTGAAGAGCGTGGCTGCATTCTGAACGTTGGTGTCAACGAACAAATGATGTCCTATCACAAGGATCCGCCAGAGCCAGCTTTGGGCATTAGCAGCAACAATGATAGTGCCATTGAGAGGATCGGTGGTACCTATGAGCTAGTACGTGGCAAAGGATATCCATTGGCGCCCACTGGGCATGGCACAACGCACAAGGACTACGTCATGCTGGCGTTTTCAAACGGCGGAGCGGCCTGGGACCTGAACGAGCTGCGCAAGGGAGGCAACACGGCAGACGCCTTCACCAAGGCTTTCATTGACTTGAAGGTGCGCGAAATCAGCCGTCAGACGTGTCAGCTATGTCACTGCACCAGTAGCCCGGCACCCTTCTGTACACCAGGATGCTTGGGTAAGTGAAACACGTTCTTGCATGGGAATACCTGTGCATGCTAACAGTTCTTGATGAAGTACTGCTGCCGTATAGCTATCAACATTTACCAGTACAGGGCAAGCCACCAGGTCAGGGGTAGAGCTAAACATTTTAAAAAATAAAAGTATAGGTGTCACAGATTGGCAGGCTTCGAAGTACTTGTAGGTGAAGAACCAACCACATTTCTGCTTCTGTGGGACACCATCACCCCAGAATTGGGCATCAGGTGCAGCTCCTAAAAACTGGGGGCAGGATAGATCACATTCATCAACCAGAGGCCAAAGGCCAAAATGTCATATTCCGCGTCCATGTTACCCTTACCTCAAGGTCCCAATTCACTGTGCGTTGCAGCACGGTTCGAAAAATCCACCCGCTTTCAAGCTGGACTTCATCCCAGTACCTCTCGTTTCTCATTTATGGTCTTAGACCAACCCACTGCGCCTGCCTAACTAAATTACAGATCTGAATTTCAAAGCTCAAAGATTGGACTGTCTTCTTGTGATATTCTGAGATGGACCATCAGAGATATACATCATCACGATTAGCATGGGTGATATCAAGAACGTTGTTTGCTGTTTTGTTGTCTTTCGTTAAAGAGCGCTTGTAGTCATAAGCAGGTTTTATGAATTAGCTTTCTGCAAAACTTCCACTTGAATGCCGAGTAGTATCTGTAGGCTATTGTTCAAATGATAATTATGCCTCTTCCTCCCGCTTATACTGGTGGTCCTTTGATTCTTTTCCTCATGTTACACTATTTACCTAGGATGTAGCTGCGAGCGTGCTTTTCTTCCGCTCATTTCTGGCAAACTGCTTTGGTGTTGAGTGTGATTACTCTGCTACTGCTTTGGTGTTGAGTGTGATTACTCTGCTACTGCTTTGGTGTTGAGTGTGATTACTCTGCTACTGCTTTGGTGTTGAGTGTGATTACTCTGCTACTGCTTTGGTGTTGAGTGTGATTACTCTGCTACACCTGCTACTGCTCCATGTACTGAACAGTTGCGCTCTGAGCTAAAAGGTTGAATTCCTGCCGTTTTTCTGGTGCTGTTTCAGGCGAGCCTCCATTCGTGGATGCCACGGGACCCAAGAATGTAACATACGGAAGCGATGTATCAATTCTGTGTGTTCCAATCGGTGGGATACCCGTTCCAGAGTTGGATTTCCAGGGATCGGAGAACAGTGCCCTTCCGCCGCGCTCTGAGATCCGAGACGGTCTCGACTCCAGTGTGCTGCAGGTCACTAATGCACAGAAGAGTTTCTGTGTGGACTGCACTGGAACTAACCTGGAAGGAGAGCACACTGACACCCACTGTGTGGATGTACTCGGTAAGTCGGACATGATCCAATGCATGAAACCTCTTATCACAGTAGCCTGTGAGAGCTGCAATAGCCTTGGCCATGGTGACATTTCCAACACAATTGGGTACGAATGTACTTTTTTGGAAACTGAAACTGTTTGGATGTTACATCAGATGTTCTTTAAAGATAGCTTGCATAGACCTCGGCCCTACCGGTAGGACCCACTGGTAGGGCCATCATACACACATATACATGTACAAGCTGCACGGCCTCTGTTCGAACATTCACCTAAAACTTGACCCTAAATTGTTTCTAAGGGGCTATTGAAGGAGTCCACAAATTTTAGACATGATGGTGCAAGGCATATTACGAAATTCCATGGCAACATCCCATGGTAACCATGGAAACAGAGCATAGAATTTGCATTCTATGCCATGGCAGGCTAAGAAAGACAGTAGGTCCTCACCACGACTGATGATCAAAATTCATTTTGAACCGAGTTGCTAGCGCTCCGACAGGAGAATGTGCGGCCATTTTGGAAATTGATAAAATTGCACCTATGCAATGCACTGGACAGAGTCTTGTACTTTGCGCCATTACTTAGCCTCACAAAGACCTCATCTGAACAATTGTTTCAAGAAAATTTCAATCAAAAGCAATTTCGCAGCGCGATTTCTTGGGTCTTACCGGTAGGACGGCATGCAAGCTATCATTAAAGGGGAAGTTAAGGCAAAAATAAAATTTTCACCAGTTGTAGTCTTCGGGGTGCTGAGTCGAATGGTCTTGGTCCGAGAAAGCTGAAACGCTCCCTTCCTACTTGAATCCCAATCGAACTCGCGCACTTCCACCGAAACTGGGTGACTGCGCCCTACTAGATGGGGATTTGTATGCAAAATGTCACTAAAAGCGCCATTTCGTTCTTACAAAAGCACGGATGACCGCGATTGGCCCATATGTTGTACTCTTTTGGACGCTGAGTCGACTGGTTTTGGTCCGAAAAGGCTGCGATGCCGCGTTCCACCTTTATTCCCAATCGAACATGGTTGAACAAGCGGTCACGTGCTCCTGGGTGCCCAAATCACCTGGTCACCACGCCAGCAGGCGACAACTTTCACACCAAGGTTCAACTCGAGTTCAACTCGAGTGACACGACTGCACCCAAAAAAGGTCAAACAGGCTAGTAAGTTGTACCCTGCAGGCACGGTGACCAGGTGACTGGTGTACGCAGGAGCACGTGACCGCTTGTTCAACCATGTTCGATTGGGAATAAAGGAGGAACGCTGCATCGCAGCCTTTTTGGACCAAACCCAATCGACTCAGCGTCCAAAAGACTACAACATATGGGCCAATCGCGGTCATCCATGCTTTTATAAGAACGAAATGGCGCTTTTAGTGACATTTTGCATACAAATCCCCATCTAGTAGGGCGCAGTCACCCAGTTTCGGTGGAAGTGCGCGAGTTCGATTGGGATTCAAGTCTGTCCCTCCAGAAACTTGCGGAGACATTTCGGAAATATCGCGGCAAAAGTTGCGAGGTAAAATGCCACAAATTGCGGGGAATATTGCGGATTTTGTCAAATATTGCGGGATTATTGTGGTAAAATTGCGGCCGATTTGGTACTTGTACTGTAGTGGTGTACGATATGTACAAGTCGTACAGCATAAATCATGCATGACAAAACAGAATGTGTGCTGCGCTGACTGTGTTCAACTGCCTGACAGGAGCTTGCAAGACAGCTTTCCTCCATCCTCGGACAACACTCGACGCGAGCCTTATTTTGAGACTTGTCAGCCGCTGATTTGCCCAGAAACTTCTCCATTCTGGTGTCGATCTCACAAGTAAACTACTGACGAGCTTCAAGAACTAAACAACATCGAAGAAAGACTCGAATATCGCGGTTGCTTTTCAAAATATCGCAGTGCTTTTCAAGTATCAAGGACAGTTTTCTACAATAACGCGGATGATTTTTCAAATATCGCGGATATCACGAACTTTTGTTCAAATCGCGGAAAACAACGCGGCCGCAGAATCGCAAGTTCCTGGAGGGACAGTCAAGTAGGAAGGGAGCGTCTCAGCTTCCTCGGACCACGACCATTCGACTCAGCACCCCGAAGACTACAACTGGTGAAATTTTAATTTTTGCCTTAACTTCCCCTTTAAACTATTAATACCCTATTGCTCTGATCTAATCGCACAACCAACAGTGCTGACGTATTCTGTGCGTGGATTCCATTGATTATCATCATTGACCACTGCTGTTTCACTTCGCAGGTGATCATCGGTGATCTGAGAAAATTGCAATATTGTCTGCTCTTTGCTCACAGCTGAACCGCCACAGATCATGCTCACTGGCTCCAATCGCGGCGAGCCGGTCGTGAATGGAGATACAGTTTCCCTGACATGCGTGCCAGTTGCTGGAATACCAGACCCGACTGTCAGTTTCACCAGCGTTCTTCCAGTCAATGCACGTACGCAGACAATTGGTAACTCGGTGCAGGTCATTGTGGATAGGGCAACGGCTGATTTCTGTATCAATTGTACCGGCCAGAATGCGCTCGATTCAACCACCAAGCAGATTTGCGTCGATGTCAGTAAGTTAGTGCTGCTGACCTGACACCATGTAATTCTAACACCATAATTTAGCCTGTAACACATCACCGCATATGCTGTGGCTAAGGGGGACTTAACATAGTATGGCCATGCACACTTGTACACATCCATCCATGTGTTTTCTGGGAATATGCAGGGGAGTGTTTGAGCGGCCGAGTGTGTAGTTTACTACTGCTGGCAGCGGTGGTTCTTCAGAAATACCTGGACATTACTAGCTCTCTCGCCTTCGGGGTGCACATTTTTCTCTTATTTCTCATGTCTCAAACTTCTGTAAACAACCCCCTTGCTAATTTATATTCCTGTGCAACTTACACCTATAGGCTATGCTGGTGACTATTTGGCAAGGCAAGGAGAGTACAATATGCAGGTAGTACCAGATTGATTCAATGTTCATTGTCTTCTACCAGCAATCATTGCAATGCATGCTGTGTTGTGCATGTTCTTTTGTACAGTTACTCCACCAGACGTGAACATTGCTGGCGGTGACGAGCCTGCTCCCAAAGGTAGCGCAGTCACATTGATTTGCCTTCCCGTCGCTGGTGAACCAGATCCAGTAGTCAACTGGGCTGGTACACTGCCACCTGGAGCACAGGTTGGCGATACTGGCGACGGAGCAGTCACTCTCACCATACCAAGCGTGGAGCAGAACTTCTGCGTCGACTGTGTTGGTACCAACCAAGCTGGTGATATCACGAAGACCAAGTGTGTTGATGTCCTTGGTAAGCCAAATGAGCGCTAAAATGAGCGACGCTCTTTTCATTCTGGTATTTACGTCTGCTAGAGACTTTTACTTCTATTATTTTTGATTAATGCTCACCGTGCGATACTATTGGAGATGAAGTACTGTTTTTTTTAGATGAAGTTCTATTTTTGGAGATGAATGCAAGTACATCAGTGGTGTAGGAAGATGTTTTGGTTTGGGGGGGGGGGGTCTGACTTGCAGGCAATGCTCTTCTCATATACTGATGTATACAATCATGTTGTACATGTACCGTTAGCCCCATCCCTCACACAAACAAGTCAACAAAGAGGCATCTTTGGATTGAGGAGTGCTGGTTTCGAAACAACTGGTTTGAAGCTCAAAGTAGAGCTGGTGTTAGCTCAGAGCAGAGCTGCTGTTAGCTCAAAGTAGAGCTGCTGTTAGCTCAAAGTAGAGCTGCGGTTAGCTCAAAGTAGAGCTGCGGTTAGCTCAAAGTAGAGCTGCGGTTAGCTCAAAGTAGAGCTGCTGTTAGCTCAAAGTAGAGCTGCGATTAGCTCAAAGTAGAGCTGCTGTTAGCTCAAAATAGAGCTGCTGTTAGCTCAAGGTAGAGCTGCTGTTAGCTCAAGGTAGAGCTGCTGTTAGCTCAAAGTAGAGCTGCTGTTAGCTCAAAGTAGAGCTGCGGTTAGCTCAAAGTAGAGCTGCTGTTAGCTCAAAGTAGAGCTGCTGTTAGCTCAAAGTAGAGCTGCGGTTAGCTCAAAGTAGAGCTGCTGTTAGCTCAAAGTAGAGCTGCTGTTAGCTCAAAGTAGAGCTGCTGTTAGCTCAACGTAGAGCTGCAATGCTAAATGGATGTAGTATAGCGCAAGGCAGAGCCGCAGCAAATAGCTAGATAACACCAGTTGTGAGAGTGGACCCGATTAGTGGGTATGATAATTATGATGGTGTGAATAAGTTGGATAGGGAGGGATGGTGGGAAAAGAAACACTGCTGAAGCACGATCCGTTGTCTGGAAGAGCACAACAGGGCAAGCAAGATTTGTTTTTCTTTTCCGCAAAATGGGCTGGTGCCATTTGTGATTACGCAGCAAAACAAAGCGCATGACGTCAGTCTTGAATGCAGTACAAAGCAATGCAGTGCAGCGTGTGCGCTAGTTCGGATTGTTGCTAACAAGTACTAGCACAGCTAGTACACCATTAGCCCCATCCCTCACACAAACAAGTCAACAAAGAGGCATCTTTGGATTGAGGAGTGCTGGTTTCGAAACAACTGGTTTGAAGCTCAAAGTAGAGCTGGTGTTAGCTCAGAGCAGAGCTGCTGTTAGCTCAAAGTAGAGCTGCTGTTAGCTCAAAGTAGAGCTGCGGTTAGCTCAAAGTAGAGCTGCGGTTAGCTCAAAGTAGAGCTGCGGTTAGCTCAAAGTAGAGCTGCTGTTAGCTCAAAGTAGAGCTGCGATTAGCTCAAAGTAGAGCTGCTGTTAGCTCAAAATAGAGCTGCTGTTAGCTCAAGGTAGAGCTGCTGTTAGCTCAAGGTAGAGCTGCTGTTAGCTCAAAGTAGAGCTGCTGTTAGCTCAAAGTAGAGCTGCGGTTAGCTCAAAGTAGAGCTGCTGTTAGCTCAAAGTAGAGCTGCTGTTAGCTCAAAGTAGAGCTGCGGTTAGCTCAAAGTAGAGCTGCTGTTAGCTCAAAGTAGAGCTGCTGTTAGCTCAAAGTAGAGCTGCTGTTAGCTCAACGTAGAGCTGCAATGCTAAATGGATGTAGTATAGCGCAAGGCAGAGCCGCAGCAAATAGCTAGATAACACCAGTTGTGAGAGTGGACCCATGAAACCAGCACTCCGTTAGCTAAGCACTATTGACGCACAGCAAGGGTCAATTAATGTCAGCACAGGCAAGCATTGTGCAGCTAGAGTTCAGTAGCTTATTACTCACCCGAGTTGGGGATCATGTCATCCATGGCACGGCAGCAAGCCGGGACGATAGCTGGCGCTTACCGCTTGTTGTAGTCCGGATGTAGCATAGACACGCATCGCTCTTTCCACTGACCTGCCACTCGGAAGAAGGAGTCGGGGGCACTAGCCATAGCAGCGGTGGTGGCTGCACCAATGTGGACCGAATGCCCGGAGTAGTTCGACTGGGATGGTACACCGGCCGCAGCGACAAGAGACCATACTGTTACTGTGAATGACTGCCTGGTCAGCTGCTGTCTGTTCGAGAGTACGAACAAGAGTTGCTCCGGTCCCTCGCGACACATGGGTAGCTAACAATGGTACGGACCGGGCAGTACGGCGGTACAGACGGGCCAATGTCACTAGTAACGCCTTTACCGAATGGGTCCGTCTTGGATGAAAGCAGGAAGAGTTGCAGGCGTCTGTCACCAGGGGAGCTAGTACAGCCCCGTGTGATGCCATTAGTGAATTCAGCACACCGAAGAAATCCAAAGAAGCAGCATGGCGGCTTGGTAGAGCAGCTTGTCATGGCCATTCAGGATACTACTTTTCCGGCGTGCATCCGTCAGGTGTCGTAGGATTGGCATAGTTATAGGAAGGTGAGGGGTGAGTACAGCCGTACCATGGCATCGCTGGATGCCCTTCAACGCCCTCTTCAGAAGCCACGCATCTACTAAGGGGCCGGCAAACCCATTCTCAAGGTGGGCTTTATGCACCGCGCTCGCATACACAGATACAGTTCAGGGCACGCTGATCATAGTTCACGCATGAATGTGTGTCCAGGAACGATGACTCGGGCAGCAAAAGTGAGCTTCCCCAGGAGGGACTCGAGTTGACGCTGGCCGATGCTGCGCTCGCTGATAGTAGCCATGAGTGGCGCACGGATCTCGGACAGCTTGTCCTCTGGTAGCCGAGCTTCGTGGCGCTCGCAGTCTAGGACAATACCAAGGAAGGTCAATGATGGTGGTGGCCCTTCGAGCTGGGATGGAGCAAAGAGGAGTGCCGAGATACGTGAATGCCCGGAGGAGGATGGTGAGTTGCTGGTTGGCTGCAGCCAAACCAGTGGAGATATCGAGAAAGTCATCGAGGTAATGAAGCTGGTGATCTATAGCAAACTCGTGCTGCATGATCTAGTTGACTGCTGTGGCTACTGAGTCAAAGACGGCTGGGCTGGGGCGGAGGCCGAAAGGCAGAAAGCGCTCGTAGTAGTAGGAGCCTTCCCAGCGAAGTCCTGACGGCGGACTGGGATCTGCCGAAATGCACTGCGTACATCGAGCTTGGACAAATACACAGGCTGTGGGCATGACCTGATGATGTTGATCGCGTTGTCAATGCTCGCGTAGTGCAGAGAGAGCGGCTCGGCAGGAATGCTGTCGTTCGCGCCGGTGCCTTCCGGACTAGACAGATGGTGGATCATTCGCAGCTTGCCGTTCTTTTTGGGGATGGCACCAATACCAGAGCGGCGCATGAACTGAAATGGAGGTGACGGAAATGGGCCTGTGGTCTCGCTGCGGGCGCAGGAAGCAGCTAATTGCTCGGATATAAATGCCGAGTGAGTGAAAGCCAAGGGTAGATTATTAGAGAAACCCGAAATGTCGTGTTGGCCGGCAGATCCAAGAGTAAAGCCACGGCGCAGGCCGTGGAGAACATACGCAACACATGATTGATCTGAGTGGTTACGTAACAGGCGGGCAAAGTGGTCAGCTAGCAGTGTGGTGTCTGCAGAGTGTATAGGAAAGAAGCTACGTACCGAGTCAGGCGATTCGGTAGCCGTTCTGCTAGGAGCGGCGGGGTGGCCGATTGGCTCCGCGCTGCTGCTGGTTGCACATGATGCATGGGTGGTCCTTGCCACACTGGCTGCAGGTGTGGGAGAAGCGGCACGACGACGAAGAACAGCGACCTCCATTGAAGTTGCGGCAGATTTCTTGGCCGTCGCTAGTATGGTTGCGACCACTGGAGGTAAATGCTGCTGGCTTGGAGACGAAAAGGACACAAACCGCCCCTGGATGGAACGTCTTACATTGAGCGCATTTTGGGTGTGCATGGCTGTGACAGCTATCTGCCATAGGTTCACGTCGATGGTGTCCAACCTCTTCGTGCCTGGTTACTGGGCCACGAGCATCCGCAGCTGGCGGTCGTACTCTAGCCACGCGCTTGGGAAGAACTGGCGGTTAGCAGTCAGGATCAACTGCTGGTACGCAATCCGTTCAGCAGTTCAGCAGTGCGGTGTAGGGCAGCAGCCGTGATAACAGACATGTATGTGGTCCATGCCTCGAGCCGGGTAGCTACATGTATAATTATCGTGAACCTTGCGACGCACCTGCTTCGCGTCATCCGACTCAACGATATTTAGCTGGATATCGTTATTCGGGCTGTGCACCAGCCGGAACGTTGGGCCGGAAGTGTGCAAGAATGTCAGGCAACAAACTTGAAAAATCTACGAACTCCCCTCGCAAGATACGTTCTTGCACAGCCTTGGGCACAGCTGGTGCAGGTGGCTGATCGGGTGGGTTACAGGAGCTTGACCTGGCGTAGTGGCGGCAGCTGCCGCATTGCCTTGGCCTTGGGTGAGGAGCGGCACAATGCTCTCCGATAATAATAAAATGGCGGCCGACAAAGCCGACTACACCTCGTCCCGTACGGGAGCGCAGAGATCCGTTGAGCCCGCGTCACCTGAGCTGGCGGAGGAGGCATTGGTGCACGTCGGGCTTCTGGGCTCGCGAGCCGTGTCCGCACTGTCATGTTGCTGGTTCTCCCGGCCGGAGCTACCAAGGGCTAGTTGTGCCAGCAAACGGTGCTGTAAATACTTTTACTAAGTTTCCTTTCGGATTCAAGCCGCGCTGAGAAGGCTCGCCGCGGAGGGCTTGGCAAGGCATTGCCTTGACAGTGTCGACAGTAAGGTCAGACATACTGGAGAAATACAGTGTCGAGGTGACACTCGGGCTGGCAGCAAAGCTACGAAAGGAAAAGAAACACTGCTGAAGCACGATCCGTTGTCTGGAAGAGCACAACAGGGCAAGCAAGATTTGTTTTTCTTTTCCGCAAAATGGGCTGGTGCCATTAATTTTGTGATTACGCAGCAAAACAAAGCGCATGACGTCAGTCTTGAATGCAGTACAAAGCAATGCAGTGCAGCGTGTGCGCTAGTTCGGATTGTTGCTAACAAGTACTAGCACAGCTAGTACACCAGTATACCGGTAATCCTTGTACGGAGAGATGTATTCGTTCAAGTATTTCACTCTACATCATGATATACATCACGGTACATGTACGTGCACTGGATATGTATTATGTACATATGCGTGGAGCAATCATGAAACCCTAGTACTATTATAATTTTTATTCTACTGTTTGGTACCTCCTCCCGCACGTTCTACAACCTTTTCCAAGCTGGCCTGCATGCATCCTCGTACTCACCTTTTGTCTCCTTTTGTCACCTTTCGTTCCGTTGGCCTGGGTAGCTACTTGCGCGCCCATATTTGCCATAGCTACCCAGGCTCTTTATCTTGCATTCGCCCTGATGACTATTGGACAAAAATACTATTATTGGAGACATGTGTTGGTGACATGAGATTTTACTTCTCTTGTGAATTGTTGTTGTTTTCTTTCTGCAGCTGAGCCACCCGTTGTTGATGTGACTCGCGTGGGCACAGCCGAAGGGGATACTGTACCAAAGGGAGGTGACATTGTCCTGCGCTGCGATCCCATATCTGGTGTTCCCGAGCCAGTTCTCCGGTGGGAACGACTGCCGGCCAACGCTCAAGTTGGTGCGTCCGGTGACGCCATCACGGTATCTGTAAGCAATATCCAAGACGACTTCTGCGTGGACTGCGTAGGTCGGAGTGCTGCTGGCACTGGCCGTGACTCTGAATGCGTGACCATACGTAAGTACAAGCTACTTGTATGACAGTAACAACACTTGTGTGTTGAACTACGGGCGTTTATTTTTATTCACCACCCTGTTGGAGAATGCATTCTGTCGCGTCAAGGAGTAAAATGAAACCATTTCTGCCTCATTTTTCCTCGTGTTAGGTCTTATGAAGAACCGTGTGGCTGTTTAATGTTCTTTTTCTTTTTTTTGTAGATGAGCCGCCCCGTGTTCAAGTATCTGGCTCTAACAATGGCGAGCCGGTTGTCAGTGGCACAGAAGTGACATTCACTTGTATACCTCTGAATGGGATCCCCGACCCCCGTCTGTCTTATCCCAATGCCCCGTCTGGCTCACTTGCCCGACCCGATGGCAGCCGGCTACTCCTTACTGTTGCCAGTGCTACATCAGATTACTGTGTCAACTGCACCGGTCAGAATACTGCTGGCTCGCACTCAGACGCGGTCTGCATTGATATCAGTAAGTAGAACAGGGTTTGTGACCATCTGGACTACAGGTAGAACAGTGCCATGTTTATGTGGACCACAAGGAAGTCAGTAGTCCAGCTGGTCCATCATTTACGGGGGGGGGGGGCACGATCAACATTATTCTTGCAGCAGTTTGTACTTGCAACATTGGTTGGTTTGTAATTGGGCAGATATGCAGTAATACAAGCTACAGCTAGCTACACGTACCATTGGACTTTGTACACTTGCATTATATTCTGGATTCATAGTAGGCCGCTGAACTGGAATCCGGCCTGGGACGTTCAGTCCTCACATAACCATACTGAACAAATTTTGAACGAGTTTAGGGGTGCACAGGCTCCAACCCCCCCCCCCCCCCTCACGGGCTACATGCCTGGAAGTCCCATGACTCACGGTGTGGATTAATTGATGCGTAGATTGTATCATGTTTTATCCCAAGCAATACACATATGAAAATCACCATAATGCATGAACTAACATGCTGTTACTGCTTCAGCAGCGACATCTTCTGAAGGCCTCATAGTCCCCATTGTCAAGATCCTCACCTAATCCACATGATTTCAAGGGGTGCTGTGCTGTGCTGAGCTGGACACGGCACGGAAGGGCAGGGCAGTGCTGTGTGTTCTGTGCTGTGCCATGTGTCCTGATGCTAGAAGTACACATGCTTGTATTTTTCTCTGTTGTCATGATGATGCAGTATCTCCGCCCGATATTATCATCGGTGGTGGAGAGAATCCAGTTCCTCAGGGAGACCCTGTCAGTTTGGTTTGCCTGCCAATATCTGGTGAGCCTGGACCGACAGTGAGATGGACGGGTGCTTTACCACCAGGAGCACAGGTTACCAATGACCCTGCCACTGGAACTACTATCACCGTGCCAAGTGTTAACCAGGACTTCTGCGTGGACTGCATCGGTACTAATCAAGCTGGTCAAATCACCAAGACCAAGTGTGTCACCGTCCGCGGTAAGATTAGCTCATGGTATTGCTATCGGTCCCGTCAGATTCAGACTACATGTACATGAACATACGGCGCATCAAACGACTGTATGTAACTGATCATACATGTACATGACCGTACATGCACATGGATATACTTCAGTACATGCACATGGATATACTTCAGTACATGCACATGGATATACTTCAGTACACGCACTGCATTTGGATGTATTGTGTGAGTACACTGACTAGTTACAGCAAGCTGGCCTAGGTGGTCACGTGCATGCAAGATGAATGCTGCATTGACTTCGTGTTGGACTGTCGGCATTGGAGTAAGGTGATAGTGATGACACGCGAGGTTGCACAACCTCCACACCTTCTGCGGCTTAGTCTACTCACTGTACATGTACATGACTGCTATATATTCTGCAGGTATTCCTCCAAGGGTCAACATCACTGGTTCCAACAAAGGACTGCCAATCAATCAAGGGGCAGATGTTGATCTCATCTGTGAGCCTCTGGTCGGATTTCCTGACCCAACACTGTCATGGGATCCTTCTAGCCTTCCTGCCGATGCCATAAACATGGCGGTCAGTGGCAACAGCATCGGTATCACCTTGCGTAATGTTCAGGACAGGGTCTGTATTGATTGCCTGGGAACCAACCCAGCCGGAAACCACCGCGATACCGAGTGTATAACCGTACTAAGTAAGTTGAATAACTAGCGTGTAAAGCAGTATTTTCCAATTGTCCCTAAACTCCAATGCAGTCACTTGTAAAGCAGCTAGCAACTGCATGCACTTGTCCTTTCACCTCGGAACATTCCGTTTTTCGTTTCTAGTGCAGGTGTATTTCTGATTTGGTGCAGTTGATTTATTCATGATGTACACATGTATGTATCACACAGCCGTACTGGTCTGACTAAGCAACCAGTATTCCAGACTCCAAGTTTGTATTCGGCTTGTGGTTCATTCGGTTATGCAATGACCTTAAGAGTAGCTCCGGTGTGCAGTGTCCTCCGTATGTCGGATCTGGCACGACGTTGAGTACAGGTATGCCACACTAAATGTAGCAAATGCAGTGACATTCTCGCGCGTTTGTCCAGAGTACGAGGTATCACTTCAAATCATGAAGAAAACTTAGATCTCCATCTAGATCTTGTTCTACAGTGCCAGCCCGTGAACATTGTTCCCATCATTGTAACATAGCAGCGCTAGATTCTAAACAGGCACAGCAACCCCCCCCGTATAGCCAGCCCTGCACAACTCTAGCACTATGAACATTCGGCTGTGTACCCAGACATGGCACAGTATTATTCAGAGGTGCAAATATCACTGGTTGGCAGTGTTAGCACCAAACCTATGACATCACACTCTGAATTTTGTTTCCAAGGGTGAAACTTCTCGTAGGTATCAAATCTCCTAGTATCTGGTTAATTGATGATTGTATCACCTCCCTAGCATTGCATCACCTCCCTAGCATTGCATCACCTCCCTAGCATTGCATCACCTCCCTAGCATTGCATCACCTCCCTAGCATTGCATCACCTCCCTCGCATTGCATCACCTCCCTAGCATTGCATCACCTCCCTAGCATTGCATCACCTCCCTAGCATTGCATCACCTCCCTAGCATTGCATCACCTCCCTAGCATTGCATCACCTCCCTAGCATTGCATCACCTCCCTAGCTGATTGCATCACCTTCCTAGCATTGCATCACCTCCCTAGCATTGCTATGCAGTCTGTTGTAGTTTTGCTGCTTTCCCGTGACTCAGAGTGACACAAATTCATCACTCAGTACTTGGGTAATGTGTAGAGCTGCGAGGTGTGAGATTAACAGTATATTTTAAACATCTCACGCCAAACCTTCGCATGCTACTCGGTATATGAATGCTCGGGTGAGACTGAAAACAGCTTTACTTCACTCTAGTCTGGCTGGTGTTGCGATTCTGAGTTCCCTTACTTCATTGCACACCCTGATGAGCTGAATGAATGTTTGCAGTCACGGGTAGCATTTTCTGCAGTGATCTGGTAGAGGAAAAGTGATGCCTTTTGAAGTGCATGTTTGTCATGTACTTACCTCATTCAGGACCGGTGGAAGCAGTTTTCGATTGGTCTGGCCATAAGCTAGTCTTTCATACTTCGTGTATGATATGGAGCGGGGTATACACATGGCCACCTCAGCAGTAAACACACGTTGGTGGACAAACTTGTAGTTGGGTCCGGCCATGGCCTGAGCAACCGGACCGGTTCCGCCGGTCCTGTCAATGACAGCCCTGTTTCAGTAACATTGGTATCCACTGGGTGGTATGCAGACTTGAACAAATTCTGATCTGTTGGAACAGGGAAGTTTCTTCAGCTTCTTGGTAGTCTAGTGTTGGTATAATATTTGTATGTCTGCATGCTTTCTTGTTTTGTGACTTAGAGCAATGTCCACACCCGAACAATGGCCTTCCTCTTCTCAGCGGCCAGTCTGTGAGAAACTTCACCACCAGAAATGCTCCGCCACAGTTCGACTTCCCTGCATCAGCTGTGGTTGCATTTGTCGTGGACGAATCTGGTAGCATGGTGGGCGAGCACCGTTGGCTGGCTCAGGGAGGCAACATTGCGCAGACCCTGGAGAACAACTTGAAGTCACGTGGAGTTGGCACGAGAACTCCCAACCAGTATGGCCTTGTTGGCTTTGGCCATCCAGATCAGAATGATCCAGATCGGTATAATGGCGCTGTCCTGCAGGATTGTACCACTGCGCCAGAGGTACAGGCAAGTTTTGGTGGCCTATATCAGGATGGGCGGCTGGAAGACGGCTACTCTGCCATCTCCGTAGCTGTGAACCAGCTGAGCTGTATCCGGAACATCAACTCGCGACGTGCTGCCGGTGAGAAGGTTGCCTGCCAGGTTATCTTGGTCACGGATGAGGGACGTGATCGGCAAACTAGCTGGGAGTATGAATCCATACTGAATGAGCTGAGAAGGCGAGAATGCGTCCTCAATGTTGTTGTCTGGCAGCGGTTTGAAGGGCGACGGTCAGCGACCAGACCTTGGGAAGGAGCTCTTGGGTGGGCGTCCAGCGGAAAAGCAGTACTACCCGAACCTGGTGATAGTTACACCGTCGTCGACGATGGAAGGCCTGTAGCAATTACCGGCACAGAAAACACTCACGAGAAGTATGTCAAACTGGCTGCTGCTACCGGCGGCGCAGCGTGGGATTTGGAAAAGTTGAGGACCCAGCGTTACAGGCAGTCATTTACTAATGGATTTATTGACGTCAAGGTGCAGGAGATCATCATCCAGATTATTGGAATGTGCTACAATTGCCTGTGTACGGATGGCAGGTTGGATTGCACTCTACTGGAGAATGTGCCTGGAACATCAACTTGTCTGAGCCCATTGGGTAAGAAAACTGCAAGCTGTGTTTGTCGATGCCACGATGCCACGCGTTTTCTTTGATATAGCACTGCGAGGGTACATTTTCTTGTTGCACTTATTATTATTATTAGTGCTGAAACGATTATATCGATTACTCGTTACTTACTCGATAAGAAATAGATCGAACGGTTATTTCGATTTTATCGGCTAAACGAGTAGAATGGTACTTACGCTCGGTACGGGATTTCCACCTTTTGGGGGTCGCACAAAGCGTGCATGCATCGAAAGTGTTGCGAGTATGCCACGAATATGTACATGATATGACTGTACACTTGCAACATCGATGTACGTGTAAAGTACAAGCGCGATCTGAGAAACATCGACACGATCACCGTCACCGTCTTTTGAGCTGACTACGAGCTCGTACTTTTCTTACATACAGCATGCAGGACGGGCAGGCTCAGTATGTGTCTACAGACTACACTAGCTGCAGGGGCTGGAGTTCCCTCCACGTGCGAGTAGTCTTGAGCTAAAGACAGTAAAGTGGTCTTCAGTTCATGTTTTCCATTCTGTCAACGGTTCCCGAACCAGTTTGCTTGACGACGAGCTAGGCCTGGCGTCTGGGCCTATTTTGAGCATAGACAGCAAAAGCAACTAGTTACTTGTTGCCTTGGTGCGCCTCAAGTCAGCTCAACCGTCGAAATCCGCCAATCTGCACCCCTGGCCGGCTTCTCTGACTTCATCGTCGGGGACAGCGAAGTCATAGGCGAAGGGCACCATCAGCTCTTGGGTTGCAACCAGTGAATTGCCTCTGTCTTTTCTGTATTCGTCTGGTCAGTCCGAACAGCTGACGGCCTTGTTGCGAGATCAGACCTATGCGCCCGCTTTCCGTCGTTGGCGATGTTGGACTCGTAATTTTTTTGGAATTCACAGAATGTACATGTACTGATGTAGTTACAATAATAATCGTTTAGCCGATAAGCCGATCGTTATGGTATCAGCTAAGCCACTAAGGAAAAAACGTAATCGTTTCAGCACTAATTATTATTACACCTTCCAGTGGCTAAAGATGAATCAGTGCCAATATAGATGAGGAGGGGGCGTTTGCCAGCCATGGCTTGCAGGGCATACCTTGTTTTCTCCACAAATCCGCAGAGCATGTTGGAAGGCACATGCATTATGCTCTGTGAATCATAGGCTACTGTTCCAATGTGGACACTTCCGACTCGTTCAGGTCTAAGAATATTTTAAAATGTACTTGTACTAGGTGTGCCTCATGAGTAATAGCCATGAGAGTCAGTGTGCAGTATCAAGGGCGTCGGAACCGCACCGGCCGGGGCGGCCATGGCCGCCCCACTTTTTCGGCGTTTTTTTTTTTTTAGCACACTGCAACAAAGCGCGATGATCTCAGCGCAAACGTGGCAAATCCTTGTCCCCGATCGTGGTTTGTTGCAGAATCAAAAGTCCATGTACACTGAAATGGCACCAAATGCCTGGGAATGCTTGCAATTGGCTTCAATTTTTGAATTTTTTTCCCGGGGGAGGGTAATGTTTGTCCCCGATCGTAGCATCTTCTTGGTTTTTTGCAGAATCAAAAAGTCTTTCATTGTAGTTACCGTACACTGAAATGGCACCAAATGCCCGGAAATGCTTGCAATTGGCTTTAATTTTTGAAATGTTTTCCCTGGGGAGGACCCCCGGACCCCCTTCCATGGCCGCCCCACCTCCAAAGTCGTTCCGACGCGCCTGAGTATGTGGTTCTATACCAAGTAGAACAATAGATTTTATAGAAAAGAAAAAGGACCAAGGAACTACAAGTTACGCTATAATGTCCTTGGTCCTTTTTCTTTTCTATAAATTAATCCTTGCCTCTCCTTCCGAGTCCATTCTAGAACAAGAGATCACCAAATATCTTTGGCAGAAAGTTTGATGGAGGTGCAATTGGACATTGCTATTTGCACCTCCATAACAGCCATTCACACATTTTTTAAAGCACTCAGTCTCAACACTCGTGCACTCGTGTGTGTGTGTGTGTGTGTCTGTATCTGAATGTACCAATACCCTGTTCAGTGACCTCGTCCATCCAGGCAAGCGTCACACCCCAACGTGCTGTGGCTGAGCCGGGCGATCTGGTCGAGCTTGTGTGCCGCGCCGCTGGTGCTTCAGCTGGCACACCAGTTGCAGTCAACTGGTTCCCGCTGTCACCGAGAACACGCCTGTCCGGTGGTAATCTTATCATTCTGAATGCCACCGGTGGAGTTGACGACCAGTACTACCAGTGTCAAGCCAACAATGCTGCAGGCACCAGTGTTGGCGTCAATGTGGAGCTTACAGTTGGTGCGTTTCTCTCATGACTTGCATTTGCATTTGCAGTAGAAGTAGAAGTAGTCCTCGCCATTTTTCATTCCTGTGGAACCTCCTCCACCCCCCCCCCCCCCCCCTCCTCGAGCAACACCTTGTGCAAAATTGAGTACATGGGCAATATATTGCTTGAATGGACCATTTTTAGGCAGCACCTATGCTGTACACTATCCGCGATAAAGCATGTAGCATGGGGTATGGTCCTGCTACAGGAGGGATGCAGATTGGTCCTGACAAATGCATGATCCCTGGGAGCCGGAAAGTGGCTAAGGACCAGAGACTTGCTGTTTGCCATGTATAGAGAGTCATGTTACAGCAATTTTGAAGTGTACATCAGTGCAGAGAGATTGGTGTTTCTGCTAACCTGTTGAGTAATGAGTTCTCCTCATTCATTGGTGTTTCTGCTAACCTGTTGAGTAATGAGTTCTCCTCATTCATTGGTGTTTTCTTGCCTTATTTACTAGGGCCAAGGAGACCTGGAGTCACACCGTTGACTATTCGCCGCCCGGCATTTACTGTAGCCCCAGTTTTCCCACGTCAAACGACACAACCACCTCGACCACGTGTCCTACCGGGATTACGTGTCAGCAGTAATGTCAGACGTGTTGTCTCTGGATCCTCATTCACATTGTCATGCTGCTATGACGGTCAATATTATTCCTCGGCAGTTTGGCTTAAGAATGGCCCAGGCGGTGGCTACATTGATTTGCCAAGTGACGTCCGACAGGCCAACGGGCAGCTTATCTTCGAGCGAGCATCACCGCAACACCAGGGTGGATACGAATGTCTGGCTGTGCTGGAGAATGCTCCGGTGTTTGCCAATGCTCAGGTGACTTTCAACGGCGCGCTTGGCACAGTGGATGCAGCACTAAACCAGTGCTAGTTACCACCCGCGCGCGCGGCTACTTTCCACCCTCAACCTGCTGCTGGTCTACGCTAGCATGGCTCAATGCAGCCTTTGCACGTCTCTTCCATTATTATCGTCTCTTCCATTATTATGAATATCAGAATGCTCTCAGATCTGTGTATTACCCCCACCAGCAGTCATGATACTTTGAAGTTACATCGACATTCAATTGCATCTCCCGGCATCCAGCTACCAACACCTTTTTAAACATTTTGAATTGACCAGAATATTCACGAATTTATCACATGATTTTAGCTCCCTCCGTCACATGTATAAAATTCTCTTCCATCTGCAACCATGTTGTTTTGCCACCTTTCTTCATTTCCCATAATATGTGACACCTCTATACAGTCCCGGGCATGCTCACACATGATTCCATCGCAAGAGACAAAATCATAATGATCCATTCCACGCAAGCACACAGTTCCTGGTCTGGCAATACACCATGTGGACCCCAACAGCACACCAACCACCATTCCTGCTGTACGTGCATGTAACGCAGATTTCCAGTGCAGATTTCCTCTGTGCATTGTGCTGGGCAGTCTATGTGTGTGTGTGTGTGTGTGTGTATGCGTGTGTGACCGAGTGCATGTGTGTGTGTGTGTCCGCTGTGTGTGTGTGTACATGTGTACATTCGAGTATGTTAGTGCGTGTGTGTGTGTGTGTGCTGGCAGGGGTGTACTGTACTGGGCCCTGTGTGTATGTGCATCATGTGTGTTGGGAGGGGTGGGATTTTTGTGGGGGGGGGGGGGGGGGGGTTCACGGCACGATATTTCCTATAATACATACTGAGCATCAGTTGAGAGAGCCATAGACAACGATGTGACAAGAATTTCCCCTAGAATTCAGTCTCATACCCGTGACCTATCCCGTGCCCAGAAAAATGTGTGAATAGTAGACAATAATTATGGTGCAGCTGAAAGATTCTTCAAGTGACATACAAAGCGAGAAACTGACAGCTTAGAAGTGACAACAACTACTTCCTGCTAAGTCCTGTGTGTAGGCAGCCGCACGGGGTCATGTGACCTGCCTGCTAGCTGCATGCTGGTCATGTCAGTAATACAACTAACATCTCGTACATAGTGCTCCTCGGATAGGTAACTAGCATAATAATTATATTGATAACCATGCAGGTCTAGTTTTGCTGTTCTGATCTACTGCAGGTTTTTTTGGTAGAGTAGAACAGATTTTGGAAAAAATGGAGGATGGAAGTGCACAAACGCAGACCTATCCGATTTGGTAGATCGTCAATGCAAAGTCCGCACATCACCCATCTTTGCAATACTTACAGTGCAGTGCACAACTTGACATTGTGTAGGAAACGGCTCTATGTCCATGGATACAAGAAATCCCATGCCTCTTAGTCTACCAACTTCTACCAGCCTCAAACATGGTAGAGATGGTAGAGGAAAGTGGAATCTGTCGTTTCGGCTAGAAAATTGAATACATCTACATATACCACAAGTCACTTCTATACACCGGAACCTCTATACACCGGAACCTGTATACACCGGAACCTGTATACACCGGAACCTGTATACACCGGAACCTCTATACACCGGAACCTCTATACACCGGAACCTCTATACACCGGAACCTCTATACACCGGAACCTGCAGATCAAAAACAAACAATTCCATAACCCTGTATAACCAATCTGTAGTCTTGGCCAAGGACAATACAGTGCTAGCGCACTCTGTGGACAGCTACAACTGCGTAGTCTATTATAATCATGTACACACACAGCACAAATAGACCCAGAACCCTTTGCATAACAGTTACCGTAAGTGGTCCATCTCATCACGTATTTGTAGCCACCATGCCCCCCCCCCTCCCATCCTTCTATATAGTCCCGGGTAAGTCCCTCTTGACACAGACACTGCCGAAATGTTGTTTCTCTCCATCAGTATGTTTTTGGAATGCTCGATGGTGTTGGAATGCTCGACGGTGTGGATCCACCAGGGACAATCAGGGTTCTCGCCAAAGCGACATAGCGGGGGGGGGGGGGGGGGGGGGCTGCACCCTCCTTCACTTTTTGACCGCCCCCCTTTCAAAATGAATGCGCCGTCCTTCAGAATGCGAACGTCACCTTTTTATGTGCATGATAACTAACACATCATGTAGTAGCTAGCACAGCATAGAATGGCGGCGCAAAATGGCGGTGAAAATCACAAATTTGGGTCTGATGATCATCTTGAATGAGGTACATGCAGTAGAGGCATGAACAGTGGTCATGCTGGTCATCTTGAGCAGTACACAATGTACAGTGCTGGCAACTGAAATAATCCGACCCCCTGGGCGGCGTGCCGCGCCGCCCAGGGGGTCGGATTATTTCAGTTGCCAGCACTGTAGTACAGTGAGTATGGTTTATAAAGTGACCGGGTGTAACGATATACCGGCTGTAATGATCGAACTCGCCAAAATCAAAATCAAATCACAAAAAATACAGCTAAAATATCACTATACACACTATTATCGGCTATACCGATATATCGCTTATTGTGATGGGCTTCAGGAAGCAAACCATATCAAATGCACAGGAAAATATCGTATTATACTGATCAAGAGTGATGATCACAAAACAATTGTTCTTCAAATTTAGTTCACTTCTTCCAAAACTGATCCAGTGTTGCCTGGATGCATCTGGCAGCAGACGTGATTGAGAGAAAATTCTTCCCTCACCCCCCCCCCCCCCCCCCCCCGCCCTGTATGCTGTCAGCAGCCACATGTACACGTGCCTGCTTTTCATGCTTTTTCCAGCATGTGCGCATCATTTCATGCACAGTCATGTGCCATGTGTCAGTCATACATGCATATCGGCTATAGTGATGCACCGGATATAGTGATAAATTATCGAAAATCAAAGGGGCACATTATATCCACTATTTACTGTAGAATCCAACAGCAGCTTTCTATTCATTTTTGAAAAGACCAACGCATATGGCCGATTGGTTTGCAGGCCTGCCTGCGAATCATGAGGTCCGAGTTCGAGACCCGCACTGGTAGCAGGGAGCGTGTAAAGACTTTTTACGTGAGTAAAGACTTTTTATGCGTGGTGAACTGCGCCGACACCCACGGTCAACTGGGTACTCACAGCTCGGAGTGAGGGTAACAAGGATGCAGTTTACAGGGTTATGGGCCGTTACACGCCCGATTGGTTGAGAGACACACCTACTCTCCCCTGACTCACTTGTGAGGTCTGAATTTGCCACTAAGGTGTACAAGGCATAGGCATAGTGGTGGCCTGCGGAAGCGAAGGCTAGTTTGTGTGTTTCTGAACATAAAAAGCGATGCCAATGCGAATCCCGCGAATTATTATTATTCTGACTTGTCAGTTTGAGCACTCTGGCAAGGTACGTTCGGGCCTGATTGGAAATTTTATTTTCATTGCTATCAGGTTCGGCCTCATTTCCTCTGTGCTGCGCTGATGAGTTCAAAAAGAACGAAACAGCATGCTGTCCGCAGATTGAGTATTATTATTATTATTAAAAGGGATAAAAGTCTCACCACCAGGACTCGAACCAGGGACCTTCGCTTTAGTTTAGGCCAGCGATGCTCTAACCACTGAGCTTCGAGTATGGTGTAGTTTTCATCCTAGTAGAGCTGAGCTACATTGCAGTTCATTTTCTTCAGACTTCGAAATTCACGCTTCCTGATACTACACAGGCTGGTACATGGTGGGACAGTGTGTGCGGCTTCCCTCACTGTACGTGCACACTACTGTAAGTGACAGTTCACGCACAAAGAAAGTTGCAGGACGCCGGGAACCCCAATGTATCAACATACCATAGTCAAGGGTGTGGAAAAGGAAAGCCACTTTGAGAAGAAGACAAAACAACTGTCACCATCAGGACTCCAACTAACAGGGACCTTACTTGCCCGCTTACCTGAGCTGTGGCTTGGATGATTACTAGTCGCAGGAACAACTGGCCATAACCGGCACCGAACAAATATAATTGCTTCCAGTCACACGCAACATGGCTTCCCAAATACTTCCGTCTTTCGAGCGTCACACCTGGAGGACTACATGCATCACCACATTCGTTTTCTTCTTCTTCTTCACCTAGCAACAATAATTCACAATACTCAGTATTATTGCACAGCCAGAACTGAACAATAAGAGGACCTCACTTTCCGCTGGCCCTCCTGAGGTCTTTCTCTGAATACCGAGTCACTATGCGTAGCGTACAATTATTATTATCGAACTACCGGAAGGAATGTGACCAAGATGCCGTCCTACGATAGTCCCATGTAACGCGATAGGATAGTGCGACCTGAGTCAGTGAGAGCAACCTGAATGCTGCAGCTACTACATATACTAGCACTACAAAAATAATAATAAAGTTCTTTGACACTACATAATTATACAGTCTACAATGTAACATGTAGACTAGTACAAGAGTAGTGCTATCATTACCATGATTACGGCGATAGGATCTTCAGTGAAAAGTGTTACCAACGATCGAGGTGTGATTTCGACAAACAATAATTGTATTGTTTGTCGAAATCACACCTCGATCGTTGATCTACTATGTCATCGTAGATATTCATGTAGGTCGAAACCGCACTTCTACTTTTTAGTTGTTGGCTTATTTACATACATACACACACATGTACATGACTGTACCAAGCTAAATGACTATGACTAGTACAACTGTCTGCACGACTGCAGTTTAGTACACTGCTCCCACACTGGCCACAGACAGTGCTCCAGGTAGATCTACCAAATCCATGATTATGCTACCGTGAGGATCTAAAAATAACACTTTAACAGTTACTAGTCCTCCCCAAGTTGCAACAAAATCATCCAGGATCCTGACTTGACAACAATGAAGGATTCATAATACTAGTTCATCGCTGAGCTAGCGCTATTGCGTTAGCGCTATAATTAAGCATGGTATCGCAGTCTTGGAGAGCTTATTGCCATAAGCACAAGTGTTTACACAAGTGCGCCGATGACGTTATACAAACCTTATTGCTCTCCAGGAGTGCAATATTATTGTGTTATCTGCAGCAGGGAGTCGTATAAATCTGGGTGTACACGACTCCCTGATCTATAGAGTGTAGTGCAACACTTTAACGAGTGATGATAACGATCATGATGACTAACCCACAAGGAGCACATCTATTCTAGACTTTAGGGTTAGATTGCTTGGGATTATTATTACGAAGTAGTGGTTGCGACTTCGGCGATGATTTGTAAGAAAGGTTTGCTCCCCACACCGGAGCTCGCGCTATTCCGCCGACTTTACTTGACACTTGACTGACTCACGACTGCCATCCAGAGCACACGAGAAGTCCATCGAACCTTCGACTCGGCAAACCTGCAAGAAAGCACCACTCCCTGCTCAATACACAGTGTTTCGGGGAATTCACCCCTCATCAGTTGAGCTTGAGTAGGCTGAGGAAGATTGTGCCTGAAGAGCACCACTTATATAGTGCTCTCCAGGATAATTATTATTATTTTTTATTTTATTAGCCCCACCAGCACTTAACTACTTGCACATCTACTTAGAAGTGGTGGACAGCCTGGGACATCACCCAGACTGTACACCACCCCACCTGTGAGGTCTTGGGACCCTACACATGTAGAAACGAGTGTGTGTGTGGGGGGGGGGGGGGGCAATGTGGCACACCCACACACACACCCACACACACGCACACACACACAAACACGCACACACACACACATACACACACCGGCCATGGAAAAACCTTGGAGAATCAAAATCGAAGCCAGGCACTGCACAATCTTTGTAGCACACAGTCATATCATATCTTCACCGTGATTTCCTTGTTGGCCTACAATATTATCTATGTCTATATGCTGCAGGACCATTGGCATATGTTATGCATAAATGTCTTGGTACAACTGAAAAACAGTACTGTGACAACAGCAAGCGGTGTTACTGTTACTAGTGTTAGTCTGGTGCAAAGCAAAAGCAGAGAAGGAAAAAACAATGTCATTCACCATGGGTGTTGTTACTGTGACTGGCCAAAAACGATTCAATGATCATGCACTATTTATGTACTGAAGCATACACCGACTGGTGAGCCGCTCAGAAAGTAAGGACTTGAAAGGTCATCGGGATGCCTCGTGCTTGTACATTGTAGACTCATGTGTGCTGACAATGAAACAGTAAGAAATTTCCACCCACCATGTGAGAATCGACACAGGATATGGTGGGAGTGAAAGATAGAGAAAACGAGAGACAGACAGAAGTGTACTTACTGAAACCTGTCCTAAAAAGCCAGTGGCAATAACTCACCGGGCTTGAAGTAATGGTGATCCTGACTAAAGCGATTGATAGGGCGTGTGAATTGCAGTGTGAGAATTCCAATAGCGCTAATCAGAAGTGTGTGTGAGAGAGCGCTAGAGGGCATGGTCCAGCAAGGATTACAGAGTGCAGACTTGATCTTGGCCGCTTGGCGTTTGTGCCTTCAGTTGCCCTCCTTCAGACTTGACCACCGATAGGCCATTTCCAAGTGGACTTCTGCAAACGTATATACCGGTGTCCTCGGGTCCCAACGCTAACGCCAAGCCACTGCGCTCAAAGTCCGGATGGCCAAGTTTCGACCATGCAATGGGCCCCTCAGTGACGAGTCTTGAGTTCACACAGCACGGCAGTGTCAGTGCGGGCTCCTGTCCGCCACTCGCTGCAAAGGAAACAAGGAGAGAAAGACATTAGTAATGTTCAACAACACAATGGTACCACTGCTTGGATTTAGTCAAGCCCATGCTCTCGCATGAGAAGACTGTAAGTTACTGAACACACTTGTGATTCTAAACGAGACCTGAAATTTGCACAGACGCTTATACTGCAAAATACATTTCAGCACAAATGAATAAAACCTGGAATAGGACACTATATGTCCAAACGGGAGGGGGGGGGGGCGGGGTACACCGGAGCGGCTAGTATAGCGGATAAAACGGTAACATAGACGTGAAAATGGGTTTTTCGGAGCCAGGAGCGTACGGGTATTGTTACATTCCCATTCTGGAGCAAAGGGCTCGGTGGGAAGGCTCAATGTGAGGGGAACTCCCAGCTAGTGACAATTTGGCTGCAACCGTTGAGTGAGTTACCAGCACAGTGAAGTTAACACAAAGCCGACTACTTAATGCGGTTTGGATAGACATCAATTACTTACTTCTTCCATTTAAGCAGGTGAATTCACCCACTACTCCTCCAACTTCTGAACATTGCCAAGTGCCATTATCACAGACACAGTTGAAGCACTCTCCGATAATAGCTCTGATGATCTCCTGAACCTTCACCTTGATGAACCCATCTGTGAAGGAGTTACGGTAGAGATCGGAACGCAGGAACTCCAAGTCCCAGGCGGCGCCACTTGTTTCAAAGGCCAACTTGACATATGACTCGTGAGTATTTTCTGCTCCGGTGATGGCGATCGCTTCACCATCAGGAACAATCTCGTAGCGGTCACCAGGCAGCGCAAGAACTGCTTGGTTATTGTGAGCCACACCAAGAGCAGGGCGGTATGCTTCGTTGGAATCTTTGCGTCCCTGGAAACGCTCCCACACGGCAACATTGAGTGCACAGTCATACAGTCCCAGCTCTCTTCGGAGTGAGTCATATCGCCACTGTGTTAGCGTGTCTCTTCCTTCATCAGTGACCAAGATGACTTGACAGGCGACCCTCTCACCTTGTCGTCGGCGTGTGGGCAGGTTAGAGATGCATGACAAGTCACTGAGTGCAACCCCCACGGCAGAGTAACCATCCTCAAGTCGACCATCTTGATACAGCCGTGTTCTGACTGCGTTCTGCACCTGTCCTGCCGTACCACAATCCTGTAGCACTACACCGCGTTCACGTGCCGGGTCGTTACGCTCCGCATGACCAAAGCCAATCAAACCGTACTGGTTTGGCCTCCTGGTCCCAATGTTGTTGGCGCGCAGATTCCTCTCCATCGTCTCCGGCAGCTGCTCCAACCATCTGTGTTCTTGACGCATGGATCCAGACTCGTCAATGACGAATGCCACGACTGCTGATCCGGGTGTGATGACCTCCTCTGATCCGGGACGTTGTGTGTAGTTGCGCACGGTACCGCCATGGTAGACACTGTCCACACCACTTGGATGTGGGCACGTTGCTGAACACAACCAAACAATTTATAAAGACAGAAATATACTTGCAGAGCTACCATACACACACTCGAAAAGTGGCATAAGTATCGTTCATGCCAAAAATGTCTCAAAATAGTAAGACAGAAATATTTGCAAGGCTACACCCCCCCCCCCCCCCCATCATCCGCTGGGGGAGGTGGACTTGATAGTACCTCTGGCTTGCCTGGCACTCCCAATGCCAGTTCAATTCTTCACTCGCTAAATTTCTTTTTCAAACTAGAGAGCACTAACTGCACAGCCATCCTGTTGCACATTTCCAAAGTAAACTAAAGAGTTCAAGATGAAATTGCACGTCACAACAGCAGATCTCAGGTGCGTTTGCCAGATTGCCGTTCAATTAGGATAGACAGTGAATTGACAGACTCAAGTACTGCTGTATAGCTGCACATAGCCATCGTTCCTTACCAAGCACAGAGATGCACTCTCGGTCGCTGCCAGATCCGGCACTGTTGGTGCCGATGCAGTCAAAGCATGTGTACCGGTCGATGCTGGGCACATCAATGATGAGCCGTTCACCGCTTAACCTGCTGCGAGTTCCGGGCGGTAGAGCATATCCCGGTGCGGGCAATACCTCCAGGCGTGGGCTTGGTGCTCCAGCAGTAGGAATGCAGGTCAGGCTGACAGGAGAGCCTTCATTCACTGGCTGACCATTATTGGATCCGGTCAAGTCAACAGCTGGTGGTTCGCCTGTGAGCAATATTGAGCAGCAGACCATACGCAACTTATATTATCTCGGATACGGGTTTACAAGCACATGCGAGTAAACACATACATTATACATGATTCGCTGGAATGGGAAGGTGGTGTCTGAAACTCAATGCTTATTCGACAAGCACTTGGTATTCACTGTTCAGTGACATTACTAATATTCACCACAATAACTATTTGTTTGAATATCACAAACCAAACGAATATTCGAACATTCAGTACATTCGTCTCACCACTACTTATAGTGTTCATCTGGTCTAATTTATTACGTTGGAGCTATTCCGTAGATCGGCAGTCATGACATAACCTTTCATTTGCCAATGCCATTCGTGTGATAGTGGCTGCACCAAGCCCTTGGGACTGGACTTGAAAGGATTGAAATGTATCCAGGCATCTTACAGCCAGCCACTTACCTAGAACATCCAGACACAACACATCCACATCACGACCAACAGAGTTGAGCCCGATGCAGTCAAAGCAGACATCCTCCCGCAAATTGTTCAGGGTCACTTCGACCATGTTGCCACGCCTAGTTGTCGTGGTACCTGAAGGAAGCTGGAAGCCAGTTGATGGTCTAACCTCCAGATCAGGTTGCGGAATTCCTGCCGTTGCCACGCACTGCAGGATAACATCAGTGTCATATGTGACAGGACGGCCATTATTGGTGCCAGTCAAGTCAACCTCCGGTGGAACACCTGCAGCCAGATCAATGTCAGCAAAGCACACACAACATGAATGAGCAGTGAGTAATGAAAGCCAGAGACAGTCGACTGTTTTGACCAATGGGAGGCCTCATCGATGCAACTTGAGGTTAACTAGAACTACAACTGCCAGCCAAGGTAACAAGAGCCACACACATTTCACTCAGCTGATTACACTAGTGCTGCGAGTGCTGTTACTACTTATGATAGTACACATGATGAAAATGTTTACCTCGGACGGTGACGCACTCTGAATCTACGTCACGTCCTGCAGAGCTCGTTCCAATGCAGTCAAAGCAAATGTCTTCCGTCAGACTTGGAATGTCCAAAACAAGAGTGTTACCCTCCTGTCTGGTCACTGCATTTGCAGGTAGTCGGTATCCTCTAGATGGCACAAGCTGCAACGAGGGAGCTGGCTGTCCGCTCACTGGTATACACCTGAGAGTCAGTGGGTCTCCATGGGTGACTGGCCCATTGTTGTCACCTCTCAGATCCACCTCTGGTGGGATCGCTGCATGGTTGAACAGGTGAACGCACATGCATAGAACAAACAGAAAAAGTCAATCAAACATCACAGTCATGTTCGGCAAGGAGAGTATCGCAATAAGGAGGACGAGCTGAAGTGACATTGGATTACTTTACTAAACAATGCACTACGTTCAACGCGACACTACGGCAATGATATTAAAATTGTTGTCTCCTCGCCGAATACTCTAATTTCAGAAATTTTCGGTGCTCAATATTTTCGGTATGAGGGCGAAAGGTCAGGTTAGGTGAACAGAAAATTTAGGTACAGAGCAGCAGTTCCCTATTGGATTACGTGTGTTAGTGTTTGTTCGGTGTGTTGAAATTTATGGGATGAAACAGATGCACCGAAAGTACCGAAAATAAAAGTACGCCGAAAATTTGTGAAATTACAGCATTTAAATACTTCAGGTCGAGATATACACAGACTCAGGTAGATATTCTGAACCATGTGCTGAAGTCACGATTTCATTGTCGTAGTGTCACGTTGAGCGCAGTGCATCATTTAATACAGTAATCCAATGTCACTTCAGCTCTTCCTGCTTATTGCGATATTAAAACATCACACGGTACCATTATTATCGTGCATCCACACATTGTCGCTGCATTAGCAAGACGTATCCCAGGTGCCACCGCTCAAACTAATTCAAAAGTGTGCTGTAGGTATGGGTTTATTTTAAACTATAGGTATGGCGAAATGTGTTGTACACTCGCCAGTGCAGGTAGGATTTGGGTATGCTAGTTTTTCTTACTTGTACTAGCATACCGATGCAGTGCATAGCGGCTAGTGTCGAGTTATCGTAAAAAGAATCAATCCAAGTAGGGACAGGAGGGTGTACTGTGCCACTGAAACCGTACATACTTTGAGACGATTGATAGAGGTTTCACCAGCAAATTACAAACTTTGCACACCGGTAACTAGGATGTGAAGTGCCATGGTAAGTCTCAGGTCACTCACAAAGTACATGTATTGGAGTACTAAAAGATGACTTGAGTAATCACCACTGCGTTAAAAAAGTAGTAAAAAACAGTGATTCGTTTTTAAACTAGTGGGTTTTCTGTTATACTGTAGCCGTCAAACTACCGTCATACTTTCTGCCATGCTGTGAGTAGCCGGTACTTACGAATGACATCCACACAGTGATTTTCAGAGATCTCTCCCTCCAAGTTTGTTCCGACGCAGTCGATGCAGAACTTCTCCCTGAGATTCGTGACCTGCAAGAGCAGGCTATCTCCTTGCGGCGTTGAAACTGAGTTAGGGGGTAGTCCGACTTCATTAACACCAGGCTTGTACTCTAGGTCCGGGAGAGGTCGACCAGCTGTTGGTATGCAGACAAGTTCAACATCCTGACCATAAGGAACTGAAGTTGGACCGCTGACAGCTACACCCGGAGGTTCACCTAAACATGTAACAACAACAACGAGAGAAAATAATGCAACGACAACATTTACTAGCAACAGACATCAAGAAGCCCAGAGGTCGCCGAGTGACCATAAGGGTAGGCACAGCTTCTGGAATGACCTTTTACTTCTGAAGAAGTCTCTTTTGGAAGAGGAGAAACTTGCTTCAGACAGAATGCACTTGCTGGAGGTTATCGACAGATGCATGGAGCACATATCCACACAATACTTAAACTAAGTTGCTGTCCACAGACTTGAGCAATACTTAAACTAAGTACTTCAGAAGTAAACGGGGAGATTGAACTCTTAACGGCCAGTGGAATACGGCAATGGAGGCTCTGTGACCAGACAAACTTTTTGAGCCATTATACTCCTGTTCCTGAGATTCAACTCCTCCAATAACCAAAACATTCTGTCACCAAGAACAATCACAGAGCTTATGCAACACCAAAATTACTGTCTTTTTCAAGGAGAGAGCAAACATCGAGACAGACGCAACATCATTCTTACCCAAGCATCCTGCATCACACACAGGCAGTGGACCACCTGTGCACTCGCAGAGCTGGCAGACTTGTTTGCTGATCTCCCGCACCTTCAAGTCAATGAAGGCCCTGGTGAATGCCAGCGCAGTGTTGCCGCCTTTGCGCAGTTCATTCAGGTCCCATGCGGCACCGCCAGTGGCGAACGCAAGCTGTACATACATCTCATCAGTGTTTCCATGGCCGCTGATTGCTCTGGCCCTGCCTTTGCCACGGATGAGTTCGAAATTTCCACCGGGTGTTTCAATAGCGCTATCATTGTTACTGCTAACACCGAGTGCTGTGATGGAGCCAGATTCAGTCTCGGCTTGCATTTGCTCATTGACACCCACATTGAGCACGCATTGGCGGCTTTGCAGCTTGGCGAGCATTGACTGAAAGTTGTCGTTGACCAGAGTGTTACGGCCTTCGTCGGTTACACCAATGACTTGACATGCCATGCCAGGCCGCAGCTGACACTGCTCAAAACCAAGGTTCATGGCAGCGTACATGTCCTCACGTCGACCGTCTATGGCCAGTGCCTTTCTGGCCTCGTCAAACTGCATAGCGTTTCCCATCACCTCGCCATTAGGCATGGGAAGAGATCGTCCGGTCTCAGAAGGCGGGTGTGCAAATCCAATCAAGCAGAACTGGTTGGGAATGCTTGTTCCAATTCCTTCGGCCTGTAGGGCCTGGTCCAATCCAGCACTGATTCTTTCCAGCCAAGCATGCTCCTCTACCATGGACCCAGACTCGTCCACCAGGAAGATGAAGTCCGCAGCTGGGCTGATTCTGGCCTCGCGGACTGTCTCGGTGCCATTGACGTAGCGGTACTCGCCAAAGTCCATGCTGCGTCCATCGTTTGCAATGCACATGCCTTCATTCTCTGACAGGACCACAGTGAGTGTTGCCGTGGCTCTTAGGCCCGATGACACCTGGCAGTAGTACTGATCACTGTCTGAAGACTGCAGGTTCTGCAGCGACAGGAAGCGGCCCGATGGAAACTGCCTGGAAGAGTTACGGCGCCGCCACGTTGGTGTCTCAGATATGCCCTCCACTATACACTGGAACTGGATAGACTCACCAACTTGCTTTTGCTCAGCTTCCGGCGTTATGCGGATGCGGATATCTGCATTGGCAACAATCACGGTATGGAGAAAATAGGAAACGTGTTTGTTTGTGCTGTGCCATAATCATAAAACAACTCTGGTTCCTGCTTTTCAACGCTACGAACAACCACATGACATACGTCAATTCATGGCATACACAAGACATGGCCAATACTGGGAAGGGAAGGTGACAAGTCAGCCATAGATTTAGAGAAAATGAACCCAACACACGTAGGACAGAAGCGATTCTAGTTTTGACTAGGCCTTTCGTACCATTCAAGTCGAGTACAGTGGTTATTAAAGCTGCAGCATGGAAGTCCTTATGAAAACGAAGCAAAACATTGGAGTGAAGTAAGAATGAGAAAGCGACAGCGCCACGTCATGTGCCTACCCAGAGCATATTGGGCACAACTACACGCTTACTTGTGACGGTAATGGTGGACGATGCCGACCCACGCAAGGTCTGTCCTAGCTGGTTGGTTGCCTCCACCGTGCAGCGGTACGTGCCACTGTCGGGCTGCTTGTGGTCCATGATGACCAAGTAGGTGTTGCCCGTGTATTGCTGGCTGCGGCCAACGGGCATGGGTGCAAAGTTGGTGCGATCCCACTGCGTGGAGGTGACGGTGTAGCCAAACGGCACACTGGCCTGGCAGTACAATGCAGTGGTGTTTGTCAGTTGACGCACAGCCGACGCTGGACTTACTGTCACGCTCAACGGTGATGGCTGTGACCCGAATCCTGCAGAGAAAAAAAAGAATGAAAAGTGTTCACGGTTCGCATGAGGCTCTGCTAGAGGCCAAGTTTTCCGTATCTGTAGGAACGCCATCACCCTTCAAGGATCAAAGCACAGAGACTTGTGCATCAAAAACAAGAATGCCATACAATTGTACTTGTGCTCATGTAATCAACTCTGGGTGGAAAGCTTTCAGAGTGTGAGTGAAGTGGATGTGTCAGATGAAGGAGATATGTACACCATAATTTAACATCCCTGACCATCGGCAGATAATTGTGAATGATATTCTAGAAGAGGCTGTTGATATTCCTTCATTTGATTCGTTATGGGAACAGGCAATGCTGCCTTCTTATCGGAGGGTGAAGACTCCAATTCCTGCCTAGGTAGCTTCTTCGCCAATACAGGCGAATGAGGTAATCAAACTCACGGTTTTCGCAGTTAACTCCATTATATTGAGCGGTGCACCGGCATCTATAACCGCTGCCTACGTTGGTGCATGTTGCCCCATTCCGGCATGGAGATGAGTCACAGGCACGCACTATACTGACTGCACAGAACAAACAACAACAAAAACAAGATACAGAGCATACCCATGGTAAGTATGAATAGTTAATGTGAAAAACCTGCCATGCAGGTGCAGCATAATCTTTCAGAGGGACAGGATGGCGATGGCACGGGCACGGCCACCCATACCAGCTGCGTGTGCCCAGTCATGGTGCAGTACCCTTGAGCAGGTCTGCCGTGCGGAGACCGCTTCGAAACCCAAACTGCCGAGTGTTGAGGTTCGACCTCAACTAACTGAACTGCTACTGATCTGCATGATATCAGTCGCCATGTATCGGACTTTGCATTGTCGTCACTACCCTACGTGTAGTGCACTGTTAGCTGTGTTCTAGTGTCGCGCGGTATCTGCGTGTCACGTGCTTATTGCTTTGCACGGGCTTTTCCATACTTTGAGTGAGTGGTGAGTTTGTGCTGAGGGAGTTCTGGAGAGAGAGAGAGTTAGACTGGCGGACATGGTTTGTCGAGTGGTTTTCCCTTTTGCTTTTGTCTTGTAGTATTGTCTGAGATCATGATAGTCTAAGTAAGAGATATCTCAGAACCCATCCAGTTGTTGTCTAACAGTCTGAGAACGAGCGAGCCCGACTTAATACCGAGTCGAGAGCAACTGGTGTTTCTCCAGGAAATTGACAAGCTGATGGTTGACAATGCTTTCCATTATTTTCGAGATGACAGACAGCAGTGACGCTGGTCGGTACTGTGCGGGCTTCGAACGGCTAAATTTCTTATAGATGGGCACAATGTGGGCCAGTTTCCACTGATGTGGTTGTACGCCTTGATGAAAGACAAGAGTTTGGTGAATGGTGGAGCAAGCTCTCTCGCACATTCCTTTCGGAGGATGAAGACTCCAATTCCTGCCTAGGTAGCTTCTTCGCAATACAGGCGAATGAGGTAATCACACTCACGGTTTTCGCAGTTGACTCCATTATATTGAGTGGTGCACCGGCATCTATAACCGCTGCCTACGTTGGTGCATGTTGCCCCATTCCGGCATGGAGATGAGTCACAGGCACGCACTATACTGACTGCACAGAACAAACAACAACAAAACAAGATACAGAGCATACCCATGGTAAGCATGAATAGTTAATGTGAAAAACCTGCCATGCACGTGCAGCATAATCTTTCAGAGAGACAGGATGGCGATCATCGGATGGCACAGGCACGGCCGCCTATACCAGCTGACTGTGCCCAGCCATGGTGCAGTACCCTTGAGCAGGTCTGCCGAGCGGAGACCGCTTCGAAACCCAAACTGCCGAGTCGAGAGCAACTGGTGTTTCTCCAGGAAGTTGACAAGCTGATGGTTGGCAATGCTTTCCATTATTTTCGAGATGACAGACAGCAGTGACACTGGTCGGTACTGTGCGGGCTTCGAACGGCTAGATTTCTTATAGATGGGCACAATGTGGGCGAGTTTCCACTGATGTGGTTGTACGCCTTGATGAAAGGGGGGGGGGGGGGAGGTATGCCCCTGCACTGAGTGCTGCCCTGCATCTACACGATCTGCGAGTATGACATCAGTCTTTACAATAATACTGACAGAAATGACATAAACAATGGGTTACGCTGTTGGAGCCCATGCGAGTGTGCGGACTTGCACACTCTGGTCTAGACACTCTTGGCCTCTTGTAATGTAAACTGTCCTCCCGAACCTAGTCTGTTGTCCTAGCTCTGTAGCCTCATCGTGTATTGTGGCATAACAGGGACATAAATGACAAATTCCACTGTCCCAAACTGACACAGAGCTGCACACTTTGGTTTATGCACTCTTCATGAGACCGTTTTGAGACCATAGTCTTCTCCTTTCCCCTTCGAAAGGAAAGTTAGTGATATCTCCGTGTACTTACTCTTCTTCTCCTCATAGAAAAGGAACAATGCTCATAAATTGGTTCAAATTTCCAGAGAACATTGACATTAATTTTTAATTCACTCATGAGCAACAATCTCCGGAGGTGGCTTAAGTTTTGTTCTAGGAAATATAATATAAGCCTGGTCCCGGGACAAAACGTGCACAAAACTGTGTTTATGTTAGACCCTTACCGCGACGTCCACAGTTGAATCCCTCATATGAAGGGGTACAGCTGCAAGAGTAAGTACCAAGTGAATTGCTGCATGTTCCTCCATTCTGGCAAGGGGACGAGTCACAGGGCTGCACTACAGCATCTGGACCAAAGAGAAGACAGCAGTAAGAGAAGAATACGCATGTGATGCTTGGCCTGGAAATTAACATGAACTACCTACTCAATCATGAACTCAGTACCTATCCAAATACAGGCTTGGCATGATCTGGTGAAACACTAGTAGTGCAAGTTTGCTAGTTATCACTTTCACCAGCCGTGCTTGGTCAGTTTAAACATCACTGAGAGGAGAACACCCCACGGTGATCACAGCTTTGGTGAACTGGGCAAATGACAGTACACCTCATACAACACCCCATGTACAACAGGTCCATCCAGCCAAAGACATGGCAACATTCAGTCTGGGAACAATGCTGCATGCACTGTAGAAAACGTCACATTCCTTTGAATTCTCATAGGCAAAAGTACATTCTCTAGTTGACTGAATGTATCAAGAAATCCCTGTCAAGAAATCCCTGTCAAGAAATCCCTGTCAAGAAATCCCTGTCAAGAAATCCCTGTCAAGAAATCCCTGACAACTATAATAATTATTATGATACCGATGGAAGTAGCAATCTTCAATAGCTTTCCGATGCTAATGGACCTGATTGCTCAATGCTCACAACGAAATCACCATTGCAGATTGTCCTCTGTCCACAGTGTAAACCAGAAGTTGACAGTGGCAATTCATGTACTAAGGTTTCTGCATTATCTTTCTCTCGCCATCTGAATTGCAGTTACTCAGCCCCATTATATGACAAAGCACACTGCTAACACAGGCAATGTCCTTTGTGTGACTACATGCCCTTAACATAGGGATAAAATGAACCGTTTTTTAACACACTCTGAAGTAAGAATTTTCATCACAGCGACTTCCAAATAATAATTATTTGGAAGTCGCTGTGATGAAAATTCTTACTTCAGAGTATTATGTAGATCTCCATGTCATGCCAATTTTCATTCACGCCTTTATCACCTTCCCCGTTTTGTCCTGCAGGACACCCACAGTATACAACACTTAGGTACAGGATATAGTTCTGTTGCAAGCAGCAAAGCTTTTACTGCATGTCTAGTTTGGTGGTTACATAAGTCAAATCTTCTCAAAACATTCACATACTGCGGCCTTCCTCACCTCCCCTGAGTACACATGCACTTGACTAAGTTTTCTCTGGAAACTTTAAGGTACAGTAACAGTACAGTATACACGGAAAGGATAACTTACCTGATGCGACTGTTGCTTGTCCACGGCTTTCACCACCGGAGTGTGACACGGTACATACGTAATTGGTGTACGCTGATCTTGGCGCACCGAAGAAGAGAATGGACGCCCCTCGGGGATAGACTCCAAGTCCGACTGGCTGACTATCTGCACGAGACCATTCAATACGGTTGACCTGACAACACAGGATGGAGAAAGCAACACATTATTCTATACATTTTACACATTCTTAATTTGAAAGGAATCCGGGGACTAGCAATATACACTGGTAGTCAAGACATTAAAGGCAAACCAGGAAATGAAATGATCATCGGAACCAACACTAGTTTGCAGAGGGACTCAGTCACTGCCTTCATGCTGTTGCCAATACTGAGCATGGTGCGCTGTGGTGTGTTGCAATGAAGAGTTGAATGTGGTGTGTTGCAATGAATAGTTGAATGTGGCGACGACGCAAAGGAGATCATCAACACCCTCACTGTTTAGGGGGCACTGAAACACAAGGGGGGGGGGGGGGGGCTCATCACCCCAAACAAGATGGATGGTAGAAGGTGATGAGAGATCTGCACATGAGATAACCAGTATTATTACAGCGTTGGAGTTTGCGGACAATTAGAAAAGTATTATTACTAGGCTATTCAAATCATCATCAGTACATACCCTGTAATTTCCACTGTAGGAGCAGCGAAGAGTTCCAAAACCACCTGCCGGTATGCTCAGAGAGGCTGGTGTGATGTCGACATCACCAGCTTGTGGTGGTGGGGGCACAGTGACTGCACACACATATGTGTAAAGTGGCAGATGAAGAATCATACACACATCTCACCCATCTAGCAATGCCCCCCCCCCCCCCCTACCCAGCAGACATACCAGGATAAACTATATCGCTCTTACACAGCCCGTTCTTACGGTGACCTGTTCAAAGCTGAGTCCGACAAAGCATCAACTTGACCTGGTCAGACACATCACGGTGGGGAGCCTACTATGTCAGCAATCCGCCAGGCAATCCATTTGCCTAATGCTCTGTGTAACTAACCTCAAGTTTATGTCAAAAATAACTTCAGTGCTTTGGCAAACTGAACATTCCCGGCCCATAGTCCATTGTGCGTGACTAACTATGTTGTGCACATGCAAATAAAATGTGCAAATTTGCATGCGATTTCAAGAATTTTTGACATACAGTTGAACATCGATTATCCGACCACCTCCGGGCAGACAACTGTCAGGCGGTGTTCAGATAAGGCAAATGTTCTGGATAAGAAAAAAACTGTCACTCACACACTTTCAGTGGTTATTACTAGCCGCACGACCTTTTTACTTTTGACTTTTCAAAATTTTCGTATTTTTGAATGGCTCACTACATGCACAGTGCGTACTCTACGGCACGTGCGCCCAAAAAAACTGTTACGGATAATCGAATGGTCGGATAGTCGATGTGCGGATAATCGATGTTCAACTGTACATAATAGGTTGATCTGTACAGCATTTGGATAATTAGAAGTTGGAGGCGGGTAATTTTAGGTTCGAAATATCAAATAAATGCAGTCCACTCGTATTGTCAAGCATATTACTTTTATCAAATAGCTTACCACGCCGTTCACAGTTTTGTCCAGTGTATCCACTTCGGCATGTGCAGTCATAGGAACTTCCAGAGTTACTACAGCGTCCTCCATTTTGACACGGTGATGAGTCACAGGGCTGTGGAGCTGCAACAAGAAAACATTCACATTCAACATACTGGTATGTGTTGCAACTCACAGCAGGGAAAGAGAGAGTGTGCGAGAGAGAGAGAGAGAGAGAGAGAGAGAGAGAGAGAGAGAGAGAGAGAGAGAGAGAGAGAGAGAGAGAGAGAGAGAGAGAGAGAGAGAGAGGGAGAGAGAGAGAGAGAGAAAGAGAGAGAGAGAGAGAGAATCAATGGTTTTCAGCAGCTCCAGGATTCACGAGGTTACAATCAACCAGTCCCGTGGTGCAGATCAGTCCTGCCTCCCAGAAAACTCTTGGTCATTAGAGAACTCTGCTTTTGATGTATACATTCAACTCCGAGCAGTGCAGTATACAAGTACTTCACCGTAAACACAGTAGAGCTCTGGTGACTCTGGAAAGGAGAGGTATGTGGAATAAATAGGCCAGAAATTTACCAAAGGGCCTACTATGATAACATGCCAGGACTGCCTTCCACATCACTCCCACTATCTTTCCGAACAATAGCTGGTTACAATTGGCCATTTCATGTCTGCATGGATGCCGCAGTATGGAATAAAAGAAAATGAGAACTGCGCAGCAAATAAGTGCTAATCATGCGGCTCTTTTGTTATCTGTTGAAACTTGCACTTCCACTGTACAGTTCACAAAATGAACTGCAACAACCTACTCGCAGCAGGTGCCTAATTCTTCGTTTTAAAGCTCTTACCAATAGCACAATTGACTCCACTGTATCCATTCACACAGGAGCACACGTAAATGTTTCCAGAGTTGCGGCATCTTCCACTGTTCAGGCATGGTGAGGAGTCACATGGTTGTGGTTCTAGAAGAAGAAGAAAAACATGTACATAGACACTGAAAAATAGGCCAACACAAGTCCATCTGCACAAACTATGACTCGAAATCATGTGATACATAAAGTGATCAGACTGATACTGGATCACAGGGCTCGATGGTGATGACACCAGAAGTCGATAAAAAACGACTTCTGGATCTTTTGGATCCGCACTGACCCTTGCAAAGTGTGGTGGTGCCTTGTAGGTGGGGCCCTCATATCACATGTACAAAACGGGTATTGATCTATAAATCAGCGTGCAAAAACCCCAGGCTGGCTATCACCTATCACTTTCACTGAGCTCTATGCAGATATTCTGAAAGTCCCTACATGAGTTTTAGATCTCACTGGCTGCATATTTCCATATGTTCTCACTTGTTTCCAAGCAAACTAGACAGACATGCTATCAATCCTGATTGTAGATACAAAATAATAATCACGCTGTGCTTGATATCAAATTCCACCCCACACAGCCACACCAAGTCCTTGGCTACACAAACGAAAAAAGAAAGAAAAAAACCTCTCCAAATCTCTCCAAGGACTTCAAATACTTTCCAAGCTTTCGCCCAAATGCTTGCGGCTGTGTGTGGTGGAAGTTCATATCATGACGAAGCTACTTGTACTTTGTATAAAAAACCACTGTACTTTGCTCTTGGGCCCTTGTATTTTTCTGCAAGAAGTGACAGTGAGAGTGACTTGTGAACTGAATACCGGTATGCACGATGCGATCTGTTGCTTTTGTAGCTACACTTTACGCTTACCACGTTGTTCACAATTATCCCCAGAATATCCACTGCGACAGCGGCACGAATAGTCGGCACCAGATGCAAGGCATTGGCCACTGTTTTGACAAGGTGACGATGCACAAGGATTCGCTGTGAACAGCATCAAAATCACAAGAATTACAAGAATTACAGGCGGTCATGTTGATGCTATGAAATCCGTAGAAATACAGGTTGCATAGTCTTACATTCACAAAATGCAAATACACAAAATTATTGCCAGTGTTAACATAACTGATGGTGTCAACCATGCAACACTGACAATGCAGCAGCTCACAACTATACTTTCTCACAAAATCAAAGTTCCAGGGATGCTAGTAGCAGGTGCCTCCTAATCAGATAGTTATCTACTAGTGTCTCAGAGTGGTTCATTGGTTTGACGGAAAGATGCAAACGGGAAAAGTCTGAAGAAAAAATTGACTGTCACCACCAGGACTCGAACCAGGGACCTTCAAGGCCTCAAGGCCAGCGATGCTCTAACCACTGATCAGAGTGGTGTGATATGCATGCCTTTTATATATCTACATGTACTCGTACATGTGGAGCAGAGTAGAGTTTGCACGCTCTTCATACATTCAACAAGAAAACTGTGGTAAGGGGAGATTCAAGGAAGCTGTGAAGCAGAGTGTCAGAACCTTTCTATCACCATTCAATTAACAACTATCGCCATAAAAATCTGTAGCATGCCTGCTTACCTGGCTGACCTCTTCTGTCTGCAACCACAAAAACATGCAAAAGAATTTTTTAATCAGTGAAAGGAAGTATTTTTGGCTAAAACTGGCGTTCAAATCTAAATAGTGACTATTCATTTTCTTCTTTCTGCTACATTGATACTTGCTGTAAGACCCTTTATACAATAAGTGAAATCCAGCTGTTGGCTGTGTACATTGTACATTGTACAGGGTATGCGTAGTTAATCGTACCCTTTACAGTGAGTGGTATCCAGGTTTGAACTGTTAGTAGGATTTGTGCTGATAAGGTCACGGAACTCCTTACAGTTGAGTAATAAATTAAATCTGTTGTACAGGCTGATGTCTCTACACTTGATTCCAATCTTGAACTGTGCAAAGCCTGTGGATTGTGGACCAATGAACTCTATAATTACAGGGAGCAAACTTCATATTGGGGTATAACTGCCCACTGAGTCCAACATATAATAATATAATTTTAGATTCTACAGGCATGTGTGCTATGCTTACTAGCAAAATACATCCATAATCCAAATTTCTAACTGCCCCGAACTGCCAGTGCCTTTAAAAGGAGAGCAAAAAGATTCCTAACGAACAGCACACTGCAGTATAGGTTTCTGATAGCTACTTCAAGTAGGTTCAACACAACAATGTTGAACAACCAACAAAAATTATGCCAATAACACAGTTCACCTCCAAGAAATAGTTATTGATCACCGAACTGCCAAACTCCCTTTGTTGCCATGGCTGGCCAACGCCCCTTTACATTCATTTTCATGTTGCCATTGGACAGTGAATAAATATACCACCATGCGAATCAACCATAAGTACAGCTGCAGTGGAGTCATCAACTTCATTCTCCTGAATAAGTATACCGCTAAAACTAAACAACAGTCCAATAACTGTGTTAAGGTGTACACCATCTTAGGGAAGACAACAGTACAGGCATACCGTAAAAGTCCGTAAATAAGTACGTATTTACTTTCGAATTTAGTGACCACACCCGTACTAACTTTCGGGCGGGTACTGACTTTCGGGCACGAACTAACTTTCGGACCTGACTTGTGTGTAGTGGAGAGGTCCTTTTCATGTAGATGTACATGCTACGTGCTGCATGTGCGCACCGTACCGGTACTTATTTCGGGCGGTATGTTTATCGGGCTTGACTTGACTTCAACAGACAGAGCCAAAAGAATGAAGGGGTATTTCTTTCGGGCAGGTACTTATTTACGGACTTTTACGGTAGTGAAGTCATTTGGCCAAAGTTGCTGGACTGTTTTGCAGGACGGATATCGTACTCAATGTTATAATTATGTGTTGCCTCCTTCAAGAGGAAATACAAATGTAGGATGTCTTTCCTAAAGGGAATTGTTGGTGCAATCAATTGAGTTGGGAAAGAATCATAAAATGAGGATAAAAAAATGAGGGTAAGTAGAATTTACTACATAGTACTCACTTTCACATCGCGTTCCATAATAGCCTTCAGGACAGAAGCAATAGAAACTGGAGCCGGGCAGTACAAGGAGTACGTCCGTGTAGCAGTCACCACCATTCAGACAGGGGCTGGGCTGACAGCCGGCTGGTGGTGCAAAGCCATCATCGGAGTCAAATCAGAAACCACACAGGAGAGAGTTGACTTTCCGTCCATATTCATTCGATAGCTATACTGAGCAATCGGAGGCTTGCACCATTGCCAAGGAGCTGACCAATCGGCTAAGTGTTATGGGGCTGTAATACAGCATCTTAACAAGAAAAATTATCTCCCACAAAAGCCTACAATGTATTGTAACTGGAAACGTATGGTTTGGTCGAAGCAGCATACGCTCAATGCCATATCCAATCGCGACTGGAGGGAGTTGGAAATTGATTTAACGGGAGGCTCCATTTTACTGACCTTGGCATGCGCTTACTTCAAAATTCGGACATTGTCAAGTGGAATGATTGCCTTGATTTTTCATTTCGTTCTCAATTGTGTATACTCAGTTGTGTATATAAATGATATCCATAAGTCCCCCATACAATCACAATCACAATAACTTCTGACACTTTCTAAACTCACATGGTTGTGGATTAGGTGGTGAGGTTGGCTGTGGCTGCACCGGTGTATCTAAAGAAGTCCATAGAATACAGGCACATCTTTACAACGAGGCTTAGAGCACCCGGCCAAGACCATGTCCAACGAGAAGAAGCTGGCGGGGCATGAATTCGAGACCAGAGAGCTTATAAACACAATTTGCAGGCCACACTGCTAATGCATGTACTTATACAGCATATCTGCATATAAAAGAATACTCATTCCCTGTTTATCTCCCTCCACTGATGAATACTTAACACATTGGGGCTCCCCGTGCACTACCTAGTACATGACGTGTGTGGATACAGCGAGGGCTGCGTCCCACCTGAGCATATGTAGTGTCACACAAAACGTAAGTGTCTAAGTCTGAAGAATAATCCGGGATGACGGCTACACTAGAGCTCAGGTTAGAGCATCGCTGGTCTATAGAGATGAGGAGCCTGGTTTGAGTCCTGGTGGTGACAGCAACCACATTGCCACATCAAGTTCTTTTTCACCAACAAGCTTACCACGGAATTCACAGTTGCGTCCAGAATATCCACTGAGACACGTGCAGACGTAGGAACTACCAGAGTTACTACAACGTCCTCCATTTTGACACGGTGATGAGGCACAGGGCTGCTGCGCGCCGGGTACTGCCACAAGACAAAACAATCATTGTTAATTCCTGTTAGAACTGAAAGTTCACACTTGGAATGGTTACACACACACACACACACACACACACACACACACACACACACACACACACACACACACACACACAGCAGCGAGCTACAACATTCCAGGTCGTGTAAGTTGACAGTTGGGTACACTTGCGCCCTTTTCGACACCCCTGTGCTTGCCGTAGTGTTGCATTTTATAATGATAACAGCTAATATTATTAAGTTGAACTCGGATGGTGAGCCAATTAAATTATGGTCAAAAAGGAGAAGGACAAAACTCGTAACATTTTGTCCTTCTCCTTTTTCACTAATATTATTAGTTTATGTATCTCCTCGTGCTTTTACATTTGTTCCTTTCTTCCACTGACGACAATTGGCACCCAACATTGCCATTGGGCTCGAACCCAGGACCCAGATATCAACAATGTTAACAGTCCAGACAGCGCTAATAAGGAATTCAGATGTACACGAAAAGGGCACTATCATGTCAAATCAATGAGTGTGCATCATGACATGTGAGCTGGGGAAAACGCAGTTCATCATTTACATCTTCTTGATGTCAAGTCCTGGTAGAATGATGCGGCCATGGCTTGCATGGATATGTTGCAAGACTGAGCGGCTGCGGATCACCGTACTTCATGATTCACCAGTGATATATTCGGCAGTCACAGAACAAAAACTCACCTGGACTTGCACACTCCCATCTTATGGACTTTGCGCACATAAATAGCTAGGAATAATTTCTGACCCCCCCCCCCCCCCCATCACCTTGGCTAACACTGCAAACTCACCTTGGAATCCTGCAACAGCAGAGTAGGGGCTTTGGCCACCTTGGCCTATGGCACGAACTCTAGCTTCATACCCTTGTCCCGGAACCAGTCCGGAAAGCACGGCGGTCGTGGTGCCCAGTGAGTACATCCTTGTCGTGGTCCACTCGCTACCTCCAAGGACTCGGTACTGAAGCTGCCATTGTTGATAACGAGAGAGCGCCCCACTGTCACCTGACGGGAAGCGAATATATGCCGATGTTCCGGAAAATGTGACAATTGGAAGCCGGCTCCAAACGGGAATGAACTGACCTAGATACCAATACACCACAAAACAGATAAATGTCCGTTAATACATCTGTCCTTTGCAACACAGCGACTCAATCTTCACCCATTCCGCATGCACAACAGAGTTTTATCGATCAAAGAAGAGGCAAAATGCATTTCATTATTCTCCGTCCAACTACCAGATGTTTTCGAGTGCACCAGAATTCCATAAACCCGGAGGTGTAATTTTCTCATCACTGGTAAATTGTTGACGCTACCTGAATTCATTGGTGTGAGGGAAAGGTGCAAAAGGGAAACAAATTGAAGAAAAAATGGACTGTCACCACCAGGACTCAAACCAGGGACCCTCGCTTATGGCCAACGGTTGGATTACTCTCATATCTGCACCATTTCCCTCAACTTAGTTATGTATGCTCTGTGACTGGGTATGAGTGTGCGATATGGAGGTGATAAAATTTCTAACTTATTAGTTCATAGCTGTTTGCATTACGCAGAGCTCACTGACTTGTCAGTTTGAGCACTCTGGCAAGGTACGCTCGGGCCTGATTTAAATCTGGCTTTGGAAATTTTATTTTCATTGCTATCAGGTTCGGCCTCATTTTCTCTGTGCCGCGCTGATGAGTTCACAAAGAACGAAACAGCATGCTGTCCGCAGATTGAGTAGCTCATATTATATGTATTCGTGACAACTCTGTATCCTTAGGATACCACTTCCTGCAGAACACTGAACAAACATGCGTTGCATTGAAGCTTGCATATTTGCCATCCCCGCATATTCCTTTCCTCCCATGCAATTCCTTACTTTCTTGAACCGTTCATGATAATCCGCTCCATGTTTTCCATTGGGCTGGATAGCTGCATTCGCACCTTATCTCCCTATTTGCCATGGAAACCCTTTTCGATGCTCAAAATTCCATTCAATCCGCCTCTTCATTCGAACGAAAACTAAACTTTGCCACACAACCCTCCCTCTCCCTCCCCCCCCCCCCCCCCCCCTCTCTCTCTCTCTCTCTCTCTCTCTCTCTCTCTCTCTCTCTCTCTCTCTCTCTCTCTCTCTCTCTCTCTCTCTCTCTCTCTCTCTCTCTCTCTTTCTCTCTCTCTCTTGGTTAAAATCTGTTTGTGCATCACTCCTCACATTGGTGCTCAATGTGTGGCTAACAGATTACACCACGGGAAGGTGGATATTATACAATTATTCGGTTAGGGGCCTTCCGTAAATACCGATATTTATTTAGAAACGAAAACTAGTCGTTTCTCTTCAACCCCCTCCCCCTCCCTGAGAAACGAACACATACAAATGGTGCATAGTATCGATATTTTTGATCTTTTTTTCTGGACATGCTCACGCATGCAAAATGTACATCGATATTTTTCGAACCCCCTAAACTAGTTTTCGTTTCTAAATAAATATCTATATTTACGGATGGCCCCTTAGTAATCATGACATAATATTTTCTAATACCTGATGGAGCAGTTCCCTCGGAGAGTGTGGAGATTGTTCGATATTGACCGCTGGAAAAGTACCCTTCCAAATGGATCGTGTAATAGCCACTTGGTAGTGCTGGCACCTGGAAGGGAAAATCCGAGGATCTCAAACCCTCGCGGGTAAATGCAGTTTCCCACTGCTGGCTAGCTGCGTTAAAGCGGACGACTCGTACACTGAAAGTGCTATAGATGCTCGTACCCTGCGGTAGACGTATAGTGAACCCTGTACAGATTAAAGGAGCACACACACACACACACACACACACACACACACACACACACACACTTCAGGTCAACACAAACGGCAACAGAACATTCTCTCCTGACAACAAGCATTTAGCACAGTGGATAGTTTGAAAGGGGACAGAAAACAGAAAGGATGTCCGCAATGTACGAGAATAAATAGGGCAATCAAGCACCTTCGCCAATGTGTTCTCCGGGTATCTTATAACCTTGCTTCTATCACTCTAGCATTATACGGGGTGGGGGTCATTGTATCCTTTGCCTGTACCGCTTCTAAAGAGCAGGTGTGATGATAAGGTATAACATGAGATAACGCGATGTTCATTGCGGCTGGTATGCCAGTTTCTCTCTTTATCTTATGGATCATGTGGATCATGTGAATCGTGTGGATCGTGTGGATCGTGTGGATCATGTGGATCATGTGGATTGTGTCTTATTCGGACATACTGTTATTCACATGCATGTACTTCAATACATCTACAAGCCAACGTAGAGGGGAAAAAGGGAACAAAAAGGATGTGTGTAGAATGGGGGAGGGGGGGGGGGGGGGGGGTACCCACTGCACCAAGCAGGGGGAGGGGGAGAGGGGGGGGGGGGGGGTACCCATTGCACAGGCATACCTGTTGTAGGTGGTACAGTTGGTTGTGGCGGGTCTGTTCGTGGTTCTGGTCCACAAGTGCAAGTTGGCTCTTCGGGAACCCATCGACCATTCCGACATGTCCGCTCAGAAGCACCGCTGAAGGTACAACCTTCCCTGTAGCATTCATACGTGGCCGAAACTGGACGGTTGCCAACAAGTCTATATCTGATATACATATTGTTTGGTACAGTTGGAGTGGAACATGCTGGACTTTGGTCTGGACATAAATACAAAGAGAGAAAAGACAACAACAACGGAGTGTACAAAGAGAGAAAAGACAACAACAACAACAACAACAACAACAGAGTGTACACAAGGGAGAAAAGGAGTGGGCATATAGATAGAAAAGACAGTACGGTAACTCAAACTGTACGGGTGTGCACATAGTATGATCACCATCAAGGAATTGTAAAGGGAAAGACTGTCACCACCTGGACTCAAACCAGGGACTTTGCTACATGGGGGACCCACCTACCAGAAAACATACTTGGCTATGGTCAGATTGAATACAATTTGCCATTATCCATAATTCAATGACTTCTGATGTCTTCATTTCAAGCACTAATATCCTTCATTTTGCTCTTTAGAATCATGTAGAATACCTTGTTCGGTTCGGCACGTTGGCTCTTCTGCGGGTGACCAGACTCCTTGATCACACACTCGTACCGCTGGTCCCTGCAACGTGGCACCCACATTACACGTGTAGGTTGCTCTCAGGGTGCTGAAATCCACAGCACCCGTCCAGTCCGCCCTGCCATTGGCCGGTCCCACCGGCTCCTCACAAGCTCTGAAGGACGACGGGATTTGTGTCTCCACTAGGTGTATCAACATGCGCATAGTGAAAAAACACAAACGCAAACACACACACACACACATTTAATTATACATATACACACACACATAATGTGTGCACATGATGCGCATGCAGGTATGCAAGCACACGTCATACACTTGCCATGTTTCTGGCTATGCAGTGCTTTGAAACACAACAACACTGTAACATTCACCTACATCTGGATTAACCCTGGTATGTTGGCCAGTCTATGTTAGTTTTCAAAGGTTAGCATTTTTGAAGGTACTTTTAAACTGGCCTGTACTTTGAACTGGAATTGAGTGTCAACATCATTGTGCGCACCGTGTTCACTGTGAACGTCTGAAAGAATGCACTTGAAAAGTGGACAAACAAAATTAGAGGAAATGAACTACACCTTTACACACAGGACTGTACCGATATGTACACACACAGTCTCTCCCTCACACATATACACACACACACACACACGCGCGCGCGCGCGCGCAAATCCGCACCCAAGTTGTACACACAAATTCACGGGTGGATTCGAATACACTCACACATTTGTAAATACATAGCAAGATGCACATAGGCGCCCGTGCACATAGGCGCCCGTGCACATAGGCGCCCGTGCACATAGGCGCCCGTGCACATAGGCGCCCGTGCACATAGTGGCAGCGTGGACAGGCAATAAGTAATAACAAAAGCAGCAACGCCCAAAACTTACCTCCAGGACCACCTCCGCCTCCACCAACACATACCGGGTTCCTTCCAGAGTAGCCATTTCCAGTGCAAACTCTCTCTCTGTTACCGACCAGGGTAAAGCCGGCGTTACATCGGAATGCTGCACGTACAGTGCTCACTGTGGCTTGCCAGCTCACTCGGCCATTCACAGGAGAAGTCGGCGCTGGGTCGCATCCTACAAGTCGTCAACGTATCCCACACAGAATAGACAAAAAACAACTACACTGAATATACTGACTCTAATCTCTATTGCAAAGTAACTACTTTTACATACACACCAGCACAAGGCAGGAATGTTCGTTAACTCCCCCCCCCCCCCCCCCTGAGGCTATGTTTCCTTGTGATAATGGTAAAACATTACTCAAGTGAAATAATAAACAAAATCGACCATGATTCAACTTCATTCTCTTCACTGCCACAAAAACTGGGAAAAGGACACAGTTGGCTTTCCACGCAGCTTTTTAATCAGGAGAATAGCTGTCAGTGCTACCATAAGTCGATGGTAAATGTTAGTGCTAGTTCTAGTGGCACAGGGTACAAACGTTATCAGCTTCTGGCCCAAGTACTGTTCATGGTCCCAGTCAGCGTGTGAATAATGTAGTGTCGGTCACAGGTGCCACTGTGGCCAATGTATAATCTTCATTTATACTCTCACCTCCCTGCCCCCCCCCCCCTCCCTCCTGGCCCAGTGGGAGTACATGTTTTCTTTGATAAAAGAAAACAAACCTAGTAGGTAAAAGTGGACTACCGTAACATGTCTTCACTCTTCTTGTGACAGGGTTGCACCCTTTACCTTTACACAGTGCATCTATTTGGAAAATCATTTTCAGGTGTAATTTATGTACACCGTACCACACATAAACAATTTTCAAACTCATAAGTTTTTAAAGGATTGGGAGAACTTTATGGCTGAAAGAATTGGTCAGCGACTGAAATAGACTACTGGTTCGGCCTGGTCCCATAGCTCAGATGGTTAGAGCCTTGCTCATGACAAGCAAGATCCCGGATTCGAGTCCTGGTGGGTCTAGCATTTTTTTCTCTTTTCAAGCCGCATGAGTTCACTTCCCCAACTGATCCTTTGAAAATCATATCATGTACATGTATGTCATTTGCCATAATAATTGCAGAGAGAAAACGTTCATATCAATTTATCTTTTAATTTACATTTTATATGGTAATGGCAGTCGATTATTCTTCAGACTTCCCTGTTTGCATCTATTACTTTCCCTCAAACAAATGTACATGATGTACTAGTATATTAAATTTACTGAAGTATGTTTCGTTTTGTTAAATTTCGTCATGAAACGTACCTTGTGGAAGGCGAAACTGTGGTAGTGGAAACTGTGAGCAAGCTGCATGGAACGACTGCGTAGCACCAAGAAGGGAACGTTCATAAAATCAGAAATCACACGTAACACACAACCATGCGTTGTTGAACATAATGATGGCAAGATTGTACGGTGTACTTCTTGGAAGTACACAAAAGGCATGTGCATTATCATCACTGTTGTCAGGCACAAGTGTTATTGATTATTATTATTAGTCGCTATTGCTACTATGTAGATTATGTGGATGCACGAAAATACAACGATGTGATTGGCTATTGCCTAGGCTACAGTCAGTACTCCGTAGCTACAGTACAAATGAGAGAGACATGCGAACTCCACAGACACACACTACAAAATGTAGCAGTGATATCTGGAGTCGGTCGTCAACAGCATGCAACAGGGATGTTTTGGCTCGGAGACTCGGAGTACACGTACATACTGTAAATATACAAATTTTCAGCAGCTATTTAATTTCGGCTATATTCGGCACCGACCCAAAACGCCTAAATTAAAACGCCGATGAAAATTTTCACAGCATCTGTCGCACTATACCATGCCCTCTACCATGTCTACCCCACGCCGAAAATAAATCGCCGCCGAAATGTCAAAAATCGTGAAGTGCCGAAATTTTGCAGCGCCGAAATTTTGTATATTTACAGTACATCACTACATGTAAGTCATAATGCGGAGCTAGGTCAGTGCAGTGGGAGCGGAAATAATAATAATTTAAATATCATTATTTCATTAGCCTACTCAAGCTGAGGGGTTAGTTCCCCGAAACACTCGGTGTGCTTTCTCGCAGGTACATGTAACTGGTTTTCCGAGTGGAAGGTTCGACGGGCTTCTCGTGTGCTTCCGACGCAGTCGAGAGTCTGATTCTAATGCCAACCTCCCGCCAGTCAGTCAACTGTCAAGTCAGTCCGCAGGAAGCGCGAGCTCCGACGTATGGTGCAGACACTTTCTTCACTCCGTCTCTTTTGTCCCCGCAGAAAGGACTTCTGGACCAGTATTTGCTGCTCCATGTTGAAACTTGGCAACAGCCACACCTTACACCGCGTCGCCAACACCAACCATGTACCCTACGACAGACAAGGAACCACTCCATCGGACTCGCGTACACAAACAGGCACCGAGAATTCCCCCATCAACAGTGCCCTCACCCTTTCCAACTCACTCCCTTTCTACATCACAACCCAACATCGTAGAAATTCTTCCAGACACAATGCATCCCGTCTTCTTTTGAGCAGCACCTGTTCCTGCTCGCCGCACACTCCTGGTTTCTCCTGGTTTCGAACGTGTCACGTGCATTATTTTGATTAAACAACATGACTGTATCTCAATCACACCTGTTCCTCCTTCATCATCCATTGTTCATTGCTAGCTCCCCGGGCCCATCTAGCTGTTTCTGACTTATACTTATAGCAATACTATCACAAGAGAGAGATTGGAAACTGTGTAGCAATACTATCTATCATACTTGCCAATCTTCCTTATTGGCTTCTCCCCATCGTGGAATAAACGAATAATGCCATGACGTCTTTGGACTGTGTATTGTGAAATTGGGTCTGTAGTACTCTCTGTACTCTGTACAGCGTAAAGCGAGATTAGAACTCTTCTACTGATTACCTGACGATGCGCAATGGGCAAAATGTTGGCAATTTTAAAATACAAACAATTTCTGATCAGCTTAGAGTCTGTGCTACGACTTGCACGTAGGGACGGAGATGTTGTCAAATGCATGTGCACACTGTACACTGTACATGTAGATCAACTTGCATGTGACTTGTACTCTGGTGTGCTGGCATCATCATGATTGTTCATGTCCCCGGCACTTGGTCATCGGTCACTGAGGGTTTTTTGGAGGCTACCTATTCCAGCATCTGCTTGGTTTGCACATCATAACTGGACATAACTTCGTAACGGATTGTCTTGCCTTGAGACATGAGTACTTGTTGTGACGGCGCGACCAGGCCAGCTTGTCAGGAGGAGCTTTGAAGTATGTATTGCGCGTTTCTGACACCACACAGCATAATAGCTTAGCAAGACTTGTCTGACCGCTATGCAGCACCATATCAGTAGCCACAAGTACTCCGGCCCACCGACTTCAGTGGTTTCCATCTCCTCTGCTTCCACGGGAGTGCATGACTGTGTATGTCATTCCTGTCGGTACCGCCAAAGCATACTGTTTTCACCTCACGTGTGGAGCTGACATTGCAGAACTCATAGCCTGCACACAGGAGCTGTCAGACGGCGCTAAACACCTGTTGGCAATTAGTTGGATTTTTGACAGCACAGCTACGCGTGGGTGTTGGCAGGCATTTTTCGTCCAGAGGAATAATGCGATAAAACTTTGAACAATTTCTTTTCCGCGGTACATAATGAATAGCGATGCGGAGACGTCCGGTCATTGCCTATACTGGCAATTTTCACTTCACTTGTCAGATCTTGCAGCCGCGGCAACCGCACTCAGCGTCGAAAGAAGCTGCGCGAACTATCTACCTTGAGGAGAACCAATAACAATGTCAATGAGATTATGTGCGCGAGCGCAGCAGCAACCCATCGCGACCACACCTGCAGGAAGAGACGATTCCGGCCAGGCTGCTTACATTGTATGGATTTGAGCATGCCGTTGGTGTAGGGGTACTAGTACGGTCAGCATGATCAGATTCTTATGACGGCGGGAACTTGCGTTCAAACTTGGTGAAATTCAAGAATTGAACTTTGATCATGGACCACCATCAACACCGCAGACAGATACCATCAAACGCAACCTCCTTCAACAACACATGTATGATCCTCGACGTTGATTGATTGATTCTCGCAAAGGATGAAGTTGAGAAAGTATTAGTTGAATGACTTCGAGTAGTTGACAAAATGTCGTCTGCCCATTTTTCATGCTGCCCGTCGACCACCATTACTACCTACTTCGAAGTACATGTAGTATATATGTTATCATTATAATTACTGTAGCTACTCAATCTGCGGACAGAACTGTTTCTTCCTCTGTGGACTAATTACTGTAGCTATAAACCACATTTGTAGAACAAAGGTTCAAGTGCCCCTAGCCCTGTCTGAGTGAGTGATCATTACCGTGAAGTATAGCTTACAACACACACACACACACACACACACAGTCACACAATCATGGTACATTGTACAGGAACGTTGACAATGGTGCGAGGATTGGTTCAGTTGCTACTGAGAGTTCGTGGCATTTAGCCAATCAACATACCCACCACTGCACTGTATGTACGTGTACATGATTTGTAGACCTACATGTAAATGACAATACGAACTGAGACGCTGCGACTTTGGCGACAGAAGATCATAACACGCACCGCTCCAAATCCAATCATGCTCTGCCCATAATATAATAATTATGGCCATGCACAGTGTAGCCGTAGACTAGGCAGTGGGACCACTGCGAAGCAGGCCCCGCCAAGCTCGGCTTTCTTTGCTCTTCTCAAGAGTACTACACCATTGCACTCTTGCTGATAATACTAGTAGTAGTAAGAATACAATGCAGCACCGATCGCTTACACTACAGTAGACTTCACCTGGTTGAAGTGTAGCTAGCGGAAAATCAACAGAACACTGCGGAAGAAAGACGGTACAATCCTATGGCGATTGTGGCACCTAGTATTCCCAACTTACTTCGGCTTCCGCGCGGTGTCATATTGCACTAGAATTACTAAGGGGAATCGTGCCTTTATCCGAATGATACAAAGATAATGGTGGGCAATTCAAATACTTGATAGGCCGATCGACCAATTCAGCAATGTTCCGGCATGTGCATCTTGCGCTCTGCTGTCTGTCACACGTAACGCTACAAAACCTTTCCAATGAAACAGTTTCTCTTGGACGGACGATTTTTCGTACGATCCTTTGTCGGCAATTTCATGATGGACACGCAAACAACAGGCAGGAACCCTCAATAAGTAATGATTACGACTCCCACCACGGCAGTACCAACAGTAAGAAAGGAGCATACCGCATCCTATGCGAGTCGGTAGGGAGTCGAGGTGCAGCCTGCAAGCTAGCTCACCGCTTGCCTGAAAGCCATAGTAAACCAAAGGCAATGCAATGAAAACACGAACCCGAGTACCAATTATTATGAATGAAAACCCAAATCAGGGAAGGAAAGCATATACGTGGCTAACAATCCCCGATAGGCTACGTCCTTTGGGAGATCCTGAAAATATAGATTATCATGACAATAATCCGGCGCTTCAGGTGGGTGGAGCGCGCGGGATAGAGCGCCCCAGGAACTGGAATATGCATGATTATCCGATTCATTCAGCGGCGTATCCCCTGCCCCACACACTAAAGCACATCAGTTTCACAATGCCTCTGGCTTACCAAGACAAAAACGGTCAGCTCCAGTAGCAAGCCCATCTTACTGGAGCACCGGAGTGCCGCAGAAGAGTTCAAGTACAATCCTAATTCAGCGACAGCAGCAGCGACAACAGCAACTCTTGACCTACAACTACAGCAGTTACTAATCGCTTTAGTATTCTTGGGATCAACCAACTGCACTACATGTACAACTATGGGTTGTGTTTTAGTTCTGCCTTTGTAGTTGTGACTGACAGGTTATTGTCATCACCCTTTATAACAGTGTGGCTCCATCGGTGACGGTCACCACATCTATGCTGTGTTGTTCACTGAGTGCCCAGAGTAGTGCACAATTATTTTGCCCACACAAGAGGTTTTACTACTGCTACTACTACTACGGTAGTACCGGTATTTTAACAACAAGCCACAAGGATCGAGGCATGTCCATTTCCCCTACCTTGAATGCACCCTAAGTGGCCAAGAGGCTATTATGTAGTCGTGTTTATCAAGCCATATCTATACCTGCATGTAGGTCACGCTTAGTGTGACTCTCTCCAGCGCGATGAATAGTTACTGTTCTATCAAGCAATAGAATTATCTATCTGTATTCAGTGGCTTTTCACATTCAGTGTATGTAGGTCACGCTTTGTGTGACTCTCTCCAGCGCGATGAATAGTTACTGTTCTATCAAGCAATATAATCTATCTGTATTCAGCGTATGTAGGTCACGCTTAGTGTGACTCTCTCCAGTGCGATGATTGCTGGCACAAATGTACTGAATACAACGACGACTGTAGATGTTGCCTACATTTACAACTAAATTATAGGCCGACTAACCCTTGTATTGAGAAGTTTTATCACGATACATGTACTTGTAGGTAAAATGCCTTGAAAAATGTGTTTGAGAAATAATAGTGGCGTCATTGACACATACTCGAAGTCTAAAACAGACTGTTTTACGATGTAATTGCCGGCGACCGAGCGTCCGTCGTCCGAGACGATACCACAGAAGGAAGGCACTTATACCACAGAGATAAAGAAGATGACGGTCATTGAGAATAGATTGATGACTCTACATGTACATGTAGGACATGTTCAAGATTGGCATGTGACTGTGATAGTCTCCATAGCGAGCATACTGGGTGATACTTGTAGTCATTAAACTACGAGTGCACAATGGCAGCACTTGGCCGTATCTGCGGACGATGTCGCAAGCTGCACAAAACCCATTCTAGGACAGCCAGACATCAGCCAATTATGCTAGTACATGTACATGAGGTGTGTCGTTTGGGCTTTGGAAAACGGAGGGTATATTACCAATATACCTTGGTCTAATTCTAGTAATTGGACACACTTGTATCAACCTGGTCGTAACACATAGAGAGGTACACTTTAGTTGTAACTTTAAAAAAAGAGAGGACCATAAGTTTACAAATTATCCGTTTTGTCCAACACTAACAATTTTTAGCAGGATAACTTGCAAACTTATGGTCCTCCCTTTTTTAATTAATTTTAATCCTTGGCTCACCATCCGAGTCTAGTTTTGACTACATGTACACTGTAGTACACTAAAAGTTTGGTAAAGATGGGTGGTGTCTGCACTCTGCAGGTCGACCACTAGCTGACGTGACTCAGTGACCTGCAGTGTGACGCTGTCTGGGTGTCACTTCAAACTACATGAAATTCTCCCAACTTCTTGATCGTACACATACGTGGAGAGCCTACACGAGCTATGCTCAGCAAATGTCACTTGTCAATCCCTCTTGCATACCAACACAGTTTGGTAGCAACTTGATCGTAATTATCTACAGGACACTTGGCATTGCAATATATAAATCGCAGAAGATACACAGGCTGTTGACAAGACACCTCAGCCTCGATAACAATTGTCTGCCTAAGGACCTGGATAACTTGGAAAGAGAGTACTTGTTGGCTTGCATTATTATATTAGTATTGTGCGCTGAAGTGAATGACTCGCCTGGCATCCAGACGATGACGTGGTCCAACCATTTTTACATACGCATGCTTCAACAAGTTGATTTGAAATACATGTACATGTACATGACAGAGAGAAAGAGAGAATAGAACGAGCATCAAACAGGTCATATTTTCCTTGTGGATAGATCTTCCATGATAATAGCAAATACTTGTCACAATGTGCCGCACAGTGCGCAGTGCATTGCAATATTGAACAGGGACAAAAAGTCGGACATGCAGGCGGAAAACAGGCTTGAAGCAGTCAGCTTTCTGTCTGTGTGTACTTGTCGTGCGTGTTAGTGCATTGTTGGTACTTATGGTATCATTGCGGATGGCGCCAACCTCTAGCGCTAGTCGATCGTGAACAGCTTGGTATTCTTCAATACCGATCATATTGATAACCTCACATAATAATAATAACCAAAGTTGCGCCAAAGCACTGGCGCACTGTCATCATCTTTCCTAAACAATATGCCGCTCAGTGCGAGTTCCATTGTTTGAAGCCACCGACTCAGTTGTGGTGGAAGCATTGCACGTGCATGTGGCCTTGGGGAAGCTGTTCGCTCACGGTTAAACACAGAAACTACAACTACTTTCTACAGATGAAGCAGCAAGATGCCTCCATACCTTTGGGCAAAGTGGCTTGACCAATTTTGGATTCTTTGCCCGCCCTTTGTTTGTGACTGATGGAGTGATGCCACGAATAGATAGACGTAGCTTGTAGTGGACGGTTATTACCTTTACTAGTTGAGTAGTTCAAAGCAGTGGTGATCAGTTGACCATCACCAGTGTACAAAGTGGTCACGGTACGCGGTAGAGGCGCGGTGCCCTGCAAAAACCTTTTTTCAGATTTGAAGCAGCAGAGGCAGATGGAGCAGGAAGAATGAGTGAAAGGTTAGGACAAGCTCCTGAGGACCATGTTGCCCTAAGTATTGTGCCTTGGTAGTGGTTGATCGAAACTCAAGCTTCATCCCTCGCTAGCTATCATTTTACAAAGCAATTTTGATTAGGATGCTGTTGCTTTACATCTTCTGCATTGTACAGGTGCCAAATATCAATACCATAGGTGACATCATCATGTTAACATGACACCTCAAGTGGTGATACAGTGCCCGTGGTGTTGAACGATCCACTTCCACCGTGTCTTAGCAGAAGGCATATTTCTAAAAGAAGTCATCAGGACCGATCGAGTGTTGTGTGAACATGGGAGGATTTTTCATAGTCCATTTACTGTTCAAGAGCCGCATCGGCTACGGTTCTCAGCGAGTCATGGATGGCCCTTGGCTCATCATTGTAGTAGGTAGCTCTGGGGCCATGGACCTTGTTCTGAGGACTCTTGGAGAAATCAAGTGGACACCATGTACCAGGCGTGATGGCGTGACACTGACACAACTTTCTTTGAAAAAAGCGCCGCGATAGCAGTGACCATAATGACTATGTCATGTGACACCTACTTTGTGATTGCGCATGCATGCATGCACACCTACACACAAACTGAGGCACAACAGAGGTTACAGATTGGATGCAACTCAGAGTACATACACCCTATAGTATACATACACTTGCGTGCACTTTCAAAACAAACATACAGTGTGCTGTGACATGATCTGAAGCGAGCACACCCGCGTGAGCCTAGAGCCCCCGCAACACTTTTTAAAGTGTTATTGATAAACAGTTCTGAAGGATTACGGTCACACGTACACCCTGGCTGCTGTTTACAAATTCACACCATCCATTTCTATATTCACTAGCAATCCATACTTTCTGCGCTAATAGCTCCACACGGCCATCATGGCAATATTTTTTGTGCTGAATCAGACACCAACCAGCTATCACTAAACTATACTTTATTGGCCAAGTCCCACTAAGTCCCACTGAACATGTAATACTAATAGTCGCCTGATGATTGCATTGAGCAAGAAACTCTGAGTTGCACACCTGTGATTATGTCACGGCTGCACTGTGGTCTTAGTTTTAGTAGGAATTTGTCGGCGTTTCGGCATTTAGATACAAGCTCACTCCTCTTGTTCAGTAGCGTTGTCTTGTCCGCGGTGATGATCTGCAGTTCTTCTTCTAGGCAGAGGTTGCATCTCTTGCTGATGCTGCTGTAGGCTCGCCGTCTTTTCACGATGGACCATCTGATGGATGTCTGTTTACCGGCACACGTACATATGTACGTGTGCCGGTAAACAGACATCTACGTGATGAGTTTGCAAAATTTGGTAGGCTAGGCTGTCGATATAAAATATTGTGACCTGTGTCTTTGTACAGCATTTGCGCGTGTGGTGGGAAATTTCTCACGGAGCTCAGCTGTGACCATCCTTATTATAACAATACACGCAGTGCAGTTCACTACATGTGCACGTAGTGCTCTCTGATCAGCTGAGTGACCGGTACCTTGTCCCATGGGCCATGATCAGAGCCATAAATTAAAGGCGTAAATACTTAAACTTCCTGACCTTTGAAAATTAAGAAGAACGTGTCAGTAGAGGGCTGCTACCACTGTTGGCGCCGGATGTGTTTGAGTTGCTTGCACTGTCTACAAGACTTTGTACTTCGAAGTATTTTTTATAGAACTTTGCAACTCCAAGGACTGACGAAGGTTATGCAGTGACTGCGGGACAATGCATTCAGTTCATGAGTTTGTTCCTGCTTAGTTGTGACACTCACTGCTCTGCTCTGCACTGACTAGTCACTACTTTGTAGCAATGATCTGGTGACAAGGAAGGAAGTTCGCTGCGAAATGGCTATCAGCAACAACAAGCTTCCAGTAGTCATGTCCGCTTGGAGAGTCATCCTGGACCTGGTGAAGGGGGGATCTGGGCGCGTCACGGAAAATCCACCTTGGTTCCTGCTAGAGAGTGGCTAGCAGTCTGTAGTCTTGGGACTTCTATTTCACAGCCTGAAGTGAAGCGTGCAAAGCGGGTATCCCACTTCTTTCCTAACTGGAGTTGTTTCCTGATAGCGCTCTCAGGTTTTTGTCGGTTCAGTTTTCAATTGCCCATCGGCTCCAAACTTGTTAGAATCGGGAAGCACAGGATGGTGATCCCTAGTCCTAGTGCACTCTCGACCTTAGGTCGTGGTGTTCCAGATGCTCCAATACCATGTGGTGTGCAACAAACAGTAGGTCTACTAGGAACAGGCAGCTCTTTCACTCAGCTACGTCTGCACCAAACGCCGACTACACGACTGTACTAGATCTTCACTTCAATGAGATGCAACATGTACTTGCTTCATTCCCTCCGGAACAATTTATCTTTGGACAATGTATAATGTAGGTGATTTAGTCAAAGTAGCTGAATGCAGTTGCCAGCAGAAAGTCATACAGTGCATCGACTTTCTCTTCTCCCAGATCGTTGTCTCTATCTTGGTTTACTGTGTAGCCTATAGCCTAGTGTAGGCGCTGGCGAAACTCACATTGACCACATTTAGATACGTGCACATTCATGATGATTGGACCTGTACTACTCTAGTGGGTAATGGATTATGTAGTTGTACAGTACTTCCAAACCCTGACCGGCCTCACAGGCACAACACACTTCAATAAGATAGGTGAGCTGGGACTGTGCTCACGCATAACCAGTCCATTCATACAATACCATTACCAGTGCAAAGCATGGCCGTGTACCATGTACAGTCGCACGTCATGCACATGATGCAGGTTGATAAAACACAGGGCACTGGCAATCAGCATTGGGATATCCCAGGGATGTGGGAATGGGAGCAAATGCTGAGGAGCACGTGAAGAAGTAGAGACGAAGAGTTCGCAGCGCCGCCATAGAAAATTGTGAAAAGCAAAACATGGAAGGCTACTTGTGCAATGGGTACACAGTATCACGCACACTTCATCGACAACTACTACTTCTACAAGAGTAGTAGCGTTGTTTAAAGCAGTGGGTGTATGTTGTGGAAATGCAGTCAATGTCGTACTAAACTGGCAATGACTCCTTGTCTGTAGGTAGTGGTGTGCTACCTGAACAAGATACTTCAGACAGTACAGAGTACATGACGTAGTGCTGATGCGGAATCATAGTGGCACAGGTCATTTGCCCACAGGCATCATTCAGCTGATGATGTAGCAGCTACAAGAACCTGTGGAGGGTTTTCCGGGATCATGCAACACAAACACACGCGCGCGCACACACACACACACACACACACACACACACACACACACACACACCACACCACACATACACACACATACACACACCACACATACACACACACACACACACACACACACACCACACATACACACACACATACACACACACACCCACCCACACACCACACATACACACACACACACACACACACACACCACACACACACACACACACACACACCACACACACACACACACACACACACACACACCACACATACACACACACACACACACACACACACACACACACCACACATACACACACAAGCAAACATGTACAGTGTCAGTTTTGACTTACAATAAATCAGCACTCAAGTTGTGGCTGGCATACTCTCATGATCCAAGGTCAAGCAACTGGAAGGAACTGCCAGGTTCTGCTTCTCCATACAGCTTGTCATGGTATATTTCTCCTAGTTTCGTAAAACCTGGCCCAACCTCTAGCTCTTTGTTTGTTCTTTGACATTTGCATGCTCACATGTGGCTAGGAAGAACTGCATAGGCAATACAATGCGAGATGTCCTACTGTTTCCACTGTATCCACCACTCTATATGTACGCCGGCTGCAGACACCGGCCCATGTCTAGAGTGCCAATTTGAATGCAAGCACTGTAGGTAGGTGATATTCTCGTAGAGCATATCATCAGCGATCTTGCGTACTGTAGCTGGAGTGTGCTTTGTGTAGTAAAATGTGCATTTAGTCACCAGTGCAATTGGGGATCACCTTAAGGTAACAACAATGTCCATTTTTGAAGTCTATGCTCAGTCAAAATGTCTATGCTCAGTCAAAATGTCTATGCTCAGTCAAAATGTCTATGCTCAGTCAAAATGTCTATGCTCAGTCAAAATGTCTGTGCTCAGTCAAAATGTCTGTGCTCAGTCAAAATGTCTGTGCTCAGTCAAAATGTCTATGCTCAGTCAAAATGTCTGTGCTCAGTCAAAATGTCTGTGCTCAGTCAAAATGTCTATGCTCAGTCAAAATGTCTATGCTCAGTCAAAATGTCTGTGCTCAGTCAAAATGTCTATGCTCAGTCAAAATGTCTGTGCTCAGTCAAAATGTCTGTGCTCAGTCAAAATGTCTGTGCTCAGTCAAAATGTCTATGCTCAGTCAAAATGTCTATGCTCAGTCAAAATGTCTATGCTCGGTCAAAATGTCTATGCTCAGTCAAAATGTCTGTGCTCAGTCAAAATGTCTGTGCTCAGTCAAAATGTCTATGCTCAGTCAAAATGTCTGTGCTCAGTCAAAATGTCTGTGCTCAGTCAAAATGTCTATGCTCAGTCAAAATGTCTATGCTCAGTCAAAATGTCTGTGCTCAGTCAAAATGTCTATGCCCAGTCAAAATGTCTGTGCTCAGTCAAAATGTCTATGCTCAGTCAAAATGTCTATGCTCAGTCAAAATGTCTATGCTCAGTCAAAATGTCTATGCTCAGTTAAAATGTCTATGCTCAGTCAAAATGTCTGTGCTCAGTCAAAATGTCTATGCTCAGTTAAAAAATGTCTATGCTCAGTTAAAATGTCTATGCTCAGTCAAAATGTCTATGCTCAGTCAAAATGTCTATGCTCAGTCAAAATGTCTATGCTCAGTCAAAATGTCTGTGCTCAGTCAAAATGTCTATGCTCAGTTAAAATGTCTATGCTCAGTTAAAATGTCTATGCTCAGTTAAAATGTCTATGCTCAGTCAAAATGTCTATGCTCAGTCAAAATGTCTATGCTCAGTCAAAATGTCTATGCTCAGTCAAAATGTCTGTGCTCAGTCAAAATGTCTATGCTCAGTCAAAATGTCTGTGCTCAGTCAAAATGTCTATGCTCAGTCAAAATGTCTATGCTCAGTCAAAATGTCTATGCTCAGTCAAAATGTCTATGCTCAGTCAAAATGTCTATGCTCAGTCAAAATGTCTATGCTCAGTCAAAATGTCTATGCTCAGTCAAAATGTCTGTGCTCAGTCAAAATGTCTATGCTCAGTCAAAATGTCTATGCTCAGTCAAAATGTCTATGCTCAGTCAAAATGTCTATGCTCAGTCAAAATGTCTATGCTCAGTTAAAATGTCTGTGCTCAGTCAAAATCACGGTCTATGCTCAGTCAAAATGTCTATGCTCAGTCAAAATGTCTATGCTCAGTCAAAATGTCTATGCTCAGTCAAAATGTCTGTGCTCAGTCAAAATGTCTATGCTCAGTCAAAATGTCTATGCTCAGTCAAAATGTCTATGCTCAGTCAAAATGTCTGTGCTCAGTCAAAATGTCTGTGCTCAGTCAAAATGTCTATGCTCAGTCAAAATGTCTGTGCTCAGTCAAAATGTCTGTGCTCAGTCAAAATGTCTATGCTCAGTCAAAATGTCTATGCTCAGTCAAAATGTCTGTGCTCAGTCAAAATGTCTATGCCCAGTCAAAATGTCTGTGCTCAGTCAAAATGTCTATGCTCAGTCAAAATGTCTATGCTCAGTCAAAATGTCTATGCTCAGTCAAAATGTCTATGCTCAGTTAAAATGTCTATGCTCAGTCAAAATGTCTGTGCTCAGTTAAAATGTCTATGCTCAGTTAAAATGTCTATGCTCAGTTAAAATGTCTATGCTCAGTTAAAATGTCTATGCTCAGTCAAAATGTCTATGCTCAGTCAAAATGTCTATGCTCAGTCAAAATGTCTATGCTCAGTCAAAATGTCTGTGCTCAGTCAAAATGTCTATGCTCAGTTAAAATGTCTATGCTCAGTTAAAATGTCTATGCTCAGTTAAAATGTCTATGCTCAGTCAAAATGTCTATGCTCAGTCAAAATGTCTATGCTCAGTCAAAATGTCTATGCTCAGTCAAAATGTCTATGCTCAGTCAAAATGTCTGTGCTCAGTCAAAATGTCTATGCTCAGTCAAAATGTCTGTGCTCAGTCAAAATGTCTATGCTCAGTCAAAATGTCTATGCTCAGTCAAAATGTCTATGCTCAGTCAAAATGTCTATGCTCAGTTAAAATGTCTATGCTCAGTCAAAATGTCTATGCTCAGTCAAAATGTCTATGCTCAGTCAAAATGTCTGTGCTCAGTCAAAATGTCTATGCTCAGTCAAAATGTCTATGCTCAGTCAAAATGTCTATGCTCAGTCAAAATGTCTATGCTCAGTCAAAATGTCTATGCTCAGTCAAAATGTCTATGCTCAGTTAAAATGTCTGTGCTCAGTCAAAATGTCTATGCTCAGTCAAAATGTCTATGCTCAGTCAAAATGTCTATGCTCAGTCAAAATGTCTATGCTCAGTCAAAATGTCTGTGCTCAGTCAAAATGTCTATGCTCAGTCAAAATGTCTATGCTCAGTCAAAATGTCTGTGCTCAGTCAAAATGTCTGTGCTCAGTCAAAATGTCTGTGCTCAGTCAAAATGTCTATGCTCAGTCAAAATGTCTGTGCTCAGTTAAAATGTCTATGCTCAGTGAAAATGTCTATGCTCAGTCAAAATGTCTGTGCTCAGTCAAAATGTCTGTGCTCAGTCAAAATGTCTATGCTCAGTCAAAATGTCTATGCTCAGTCAAAATGTCTATGCTCAGTCAAAATGTCTATGCTCAGTCAAAATGAAACTTCAAAATAAGTACTAGTACATGATTAGCGTTGATTGCAATGCCGGTCTCTGAAATAATGAATACCGTATTTTCTCTGACAAGAGCCCGGGGTTCTTATTTTTCCAATGACAGCTCTACCCGCGCTACTATTAATGATAGCTTGCATGCCGTCCTACCGGTAGGACCACGGGTCCTACCGGTAGGACCCAAGAAATCGCGCTGCAAAAGTGCTTTTGGTTGAGAAATTTCTTGAAACAATTGTTGAGTTGACGTCTTTGTCAGGCAAAGTAATGGCGCAAAATGCAAGACTATGTCCAGTGCATTGCATACGCGCAATTTTATCAATTGTCAAAATGGCCGCACATACTCCTGTCGGAGCGCTAGCAACTCTGTCCAAAGTGAATTTTGACCATGGCACATCAATCGTGGTGAGGTACTAATGTTTTTATTAGTCTGCCAAGGCAGTGGAATGCATAATTCCATACACCGTTTCCATGGTTACCATTTGCTGTTACCAAGGAATTTCGTACTATGCCTTGTGCGATCACGTCTAAAATTTGTGGACTCCTTCATTAGCCCCTGAGCAACAGTTTAGGGTCAAGTTTTAGGTCAATGTTAGAACAGAGGCCATGCAGCATGTCTGTGTATGATGGTCCTACCGGTAGGTCCTACCGGTAGGACCGAGGTCTATGCAAGCTATCATTAAAGACTGGGCTATTATTGGAGACTGGGCTCTTCAGTACGAAGTAGTGGTTGCGACTTCGGCGATGATTTGTAAGAAAGGGTTTGCTCCCCACACCGGAGCTCGCGCTATTCCACCCACTTTACTTGACACTTGACTGACTCACGACTGCCATCCAGAGCACACGAGAAGTCCATCGAACCTTCGACTCGGCAAACCTGCAAGAAAGCACCACTCCCTGCTCAATACACAGTGTTTCGGGGAATTCACCCCTCATCAGTTGAGCTTGAGTAGGCTGAGGAAGATTGTGCCTGAAGAGCACCACTTATATAGTGCTCTCCAGGTACAAACATCACCAGGGATACAAACTTACAGAGACGCTCCGCTTCCAGCGCGATAAACACCTCGTGAACACCAGATAGCAGCGTGAGTCAGTGTCGCTCCTGGACGGTGAGACCAGACGTTGAGGACCCTCGGTCATTCGCAACGCTGTCAAGTGTCAAGTAAAGTCGGCGGAATAGCGCGAGCTCCGGTGTGGGGAGCAAACCCTTTCTTACTGGGCTCTTATTTGTTCAATTGTCAACTATCAAGCCAACTCCAGTCTATGTGTTACGAATTTGTATTACGACTACGATTTACGCATGTCGCTGTATTTGGTTCTTGTCTTGTGCAGTCCAGTGTCTGATGTCATATATGGTCTAGGTGTACGCGCGAGTATGGAGTGATGTGTGACGTTTATGGTATGTGGTGCATGCAAGAGTACGCGTTGTCAGAGAGTGAGGATGTGCTTCCGTCTGTGTGAGAGTGACTGTCAAGTGAATGCTGTACATGCGCAGTGCTAGTTTGGTCTGGGAATGAGAGTCATGTGTGATTCGTCCGTGGTCTGGTTGTCTTGGCCTTGGTCATGTGTTCTGTACGTATTAGTCCCTGATTGGTCGTTTCGATGTGTTCGCCCTTTTCTCTGTTTTATAACTGTTGGTTGTTTATTATTTCTTTGTCTTTTCTCCCCCGTTCTCCCGCCCACCAGTTAGTTATTTATTCCAAGAGATCTTATTCAAGAAACTGTGTCGTCCTCTTGCCCGCGTGGATGAGTCGGAGAGTGGTTGTATGCAGGCATAAACTGACCATAATATCAAGATTGATTTTTCAACCCTAAACTCAGGAATATTGTCAAAACAGATGTTTCACAATAGCATTGGCGCCAGGAAGGAAGCAGTAGACCGAAAACCTCCTTACAAATATGTTCTTGGCATGTTGTACTGCTGTTTTATATGCAGTCAATATACGTGTTGCATACTCCAATTGTGACCCGCGCTACTATTAGAGACTGTGCTCTTATTATTTCAAACCACCCTTCAGGGCCTGCTCTTGACATTCAACACAGCCCGGTCAGAGTGTACCTGGCGCATGCAGGCCAGCCGGGTCAAGCCGGGTCAGATCATCCGGCAGAAAAACAACCAAAAAGCCTGCTCAAAACGCAGGAAAACAGAAAGGCGAATTTATTACCGGAAATCGGAAATTTTAGAGAACAAGGCGAACTATCAAAGTCCGCAAACGTAGAAGGTAAACGACATTACGTGAAGAATGCAAAGCAGTTCCATTGGATTCTGATTTAACAATTTGAAAAAAGGAATTCTGTTTTCTAATTAGTGCTAGTAGCAGGACGAACATGTTCACATAATAGAGCACTGGGGGATGCCTGCAGCACCTTGTGGAGTGGCTGCTTCCTGCCACTGCATCACCTACATGGCCAAGCCGACTGGCATCTGCTGCACCATCTGCTGAAAGGCTTCAGCAGACTGGAAAACTGTTGGAGTTGCAATTGCTGCTGCTGCTGCTGATTCGAAGCAGTGAGTTCTTACCTTTCAACCACGCATCGCGATCAAATCCACCGCCGCTCGTCTTCCTTTGGAAATGTGTCTTGCACAAAGCGCATGACATGGATAGACTGGCATGGTCGCAGTCCAGCCAGGGTCGACCTTTCTTCCACGAGTCTTGGAAAGCGTGAGTTCTTTTTCTCTTCGCTGCGGGCTCCATCGTCCAAATCACCAGTCGGCTGAAAATTTGCAACTGTGTCAAAAGCTATAGCCAGAGTTACGCTTTTGACTACCTGCCCCATCGACTTTGAATGTCCTGACTTCCTGCTCGCTGCTGCAGCTGGCCAGATCGCGCTCGAACCAGTTGACCCTAGCCGAGTTTCTGTCGCTTGTAGACTGTAGTGTGTAGGGTTGCGCTAGATTTGCAACAGATGGGGTCCCCGAGTCGTAAAATACCGGTATTTTAGGAATCCGAAATAGAGGTTGCGACTTCGGCGATGATTTTGTTTAGGAACGGGTTTGCTCCCACGCTGGAGCTCGCGCTATTCCGCCGACGACTTGACACTTGACTGACTCACGACTGCCATCCAGAGAACACGAGAAGTCCATCGAACCTTCGACTCGGCAAACCTGGGAATCCATTGTCAGTTTGAGACATTTTTCAGCCGGGTCAGACTGGACCCGGTGTTATCTGTTCAGCCAGGTCGTGCAGTTCCCCAGCCGGGCGCATGACCCGGCTCTCCAGCAGACCCTGCCCTTACCCCGGGTCATTATTGGAGACTGGGCTATTATTGGAAACCTGGGCTTTTATTAGAGAAAATACGGTATTCAGTGACTAGAATGGTTTACATATGCCGTGTCAGTGAAGAAGAGCATCATTTTACATTGCATACACAGCCAGCAACTAGAAAGGACACTGTCAATCCTTACCTTCAAGGAGACTGAGAATGCGGCGGTGACGGTATCTGAAAGCTTGACAGTGAGGTCCACGGTGTCAATGCGACTGCCGGGTGTGACTTTAAACTCTACCATCCCCTCGGACAAGCCAACTTCCTGCGCTGGATCACTGGCATTTTGCTCCGAGATCTGTGGAAGGAATGGTATACCAAGCAACACCTTGGATACATAACTGTTACTACTTGTAAAATTATGAACATGCTGATCGTTGATTTTATCAGGAACGCATTGCCATGTGAAAGCCCGCTTTACCTTCAGTAGGGCATCATAAGTGTGATCACACAGGAGGGCATCATAAGTGTGATCACACAGGAGGGCATCATATGTACTGAAGTACCAGCACGCAGATATCAACTACAAGGTTGTTGTTCACCCGAATATACATGTATAACACGGTTAATGCACTCGCACACTTGTACATACGTACGTGCGTACACCCCCTCCCCCCCCCCCCCCCCCCACACACACATCTTGTACACACACACACATACACCCACCCACGGCGTTCTGGTCTAGTTGACTGTCGATGGGTGTAATGGTGATGTATTCACCGTAACAACCATAGTACTGCAATCAGCTAAAGTGCAATGAAAAAACAACGTTGTTACGATGGTGGGGCCCCGTGTATCGGGCTACACATGTACAATGATTGTGATGAACTGCAAATTGCTGTTGCGGCATAGACCCATCACAATACTGAACACCAAAAAATGCATTCAACAGTGCCAGAGATTAGGCTATCAAACTCATTATTTAAAGCATAGGAAAAGTGTCACAGAGGTTCCAGTATTCGACGGTTTCAGTCAACAGCTAACTCAGTGCAGTGCTCTAGAGACCAAAAGCGTTGCAATGCATGCAGGTTTCAAATCATTGGTATAAGTTAGAACATCTATCCTGTAATCTGTCTTGTACAGTCAGTCGACTTTGGGCATGTGCGCTCATCCAGCACAGGCATATGGATGGTTGAAGTACTGGGTTGATACCTTACCCAGCCACATAACCATAATGGTGACCACCAGCCCACCTACTTATTGTGTATTGCGTCACTTCTTTGTCATCTCCTGTAGCTATGGCAGAGGCCAGCTTGGCTCCTCTGTGAAAGGTAGCGGTCGATTTCCCTTATCAAGGAGCTGGAGAGATCAGAAGGCATGGTGAGATCCCGCAAGTGAGACTTATAGAGGCCGGCAACAAAGCCCTGTTCTTGCTCGGCAGTCGAGGGCTGGAACGTGTTAGCCTGCACGTTCAGGTGTTGCAATTCAGGACACTGACTCGTGTTAGCCTGCACGTTCAGGTGTTGCAATTCAGGACACTGACTCAGTACGCGGCCAAGGTCTGGTAGAGAGGCAGCAGTCAAGCCGATCTGCGCGATGCTCAAATAGGACAGGCGCTTGCAGAAGCACAGCACAGCTGAGAGCACTTTGAAGCTAGCATCACGAATGTCCAGGCCATCCAGCCGAAGAGTGCGAATGTGCCGAGACACGACGTTTAGAAGCCTAGCAATCATGTGGAAATTCTTCACTTTGTTGAACGAGAAGTCCAACTTAGTGATGACCTGGCATCGCGAGAGGGCACCGGCTAGGACGAGCAAGCGCACGTCATTCAGACAATTTGAAATCCCCAGTTGTCTCACACGATCCGAATGTGCCTTGAGGACAAAGCCGAGAGCGGAGCAGTGAGGTATTGATAGGAGGTTACCGTCACAGGGCGCTATTTCCAGTCCACCCTCCAGGATGCTCTGGACTGCCGGGAAGGAGTGACCCGTGCCGGTGTCGAGGTACAGTACGTGCTCACGATAGGACATAAACACGTTCAGGGTGCTGTCAGTGTGGATAGTGAATGCAGGGTGAGCTTGAAATGCTGCAACATCCGGGTGTGTGCGCTCCAGACCTTCCAGGCGCAATATATGGTGGCAAATGTTAGGCAGGTTTGAGTGTACCTTCTTCAGGCTTTCTAGAAGCAGTAGCGCATTTGGCAGCATTTCCTGGTGTTTCCAGACCATGAGCAGAGTTTCCAGGTACAGTTCAGCGGAGGGGGCAGCATGCCCCTCTGGTAGCGCATCAAGAACACTTTCATGTCCACGGAACTCGCCATCATGCCCAACCATTAGAACGTCGGCGAGGCGCTGCATCTCCTTCAGAGAGAGGACTTGTAACAACTGGCGATGCAAATCCTTGAAATTCTTCTCATTACAAAACACACCACTGGCAGAGAACAGTTTGTGAGCACAGCGCAGCGCAGACGTGTGCAGTGGTGTTTGTACAGAGTGCTGTGCTCTATGCAGCAAGTCACCAAGCAGTGGGTAGGCCTGTTCCCTTGGGAGTATTGCGCTTAGGAACCTCCAGAAGAGGGTGAGATGTCCCGGTCTGGGGCCCAGATTGGCGAGCAGGTTGCCACGGTGCAGCAGGTTCCTGGTCATGCACTCTGCTGCGAACCAACTGGCCAGGTACTCTTGGAGAGCGATGTGCGAGAACTGATAATGGTAGTAGCTATCAGCCATGCTGCAATAGGTACGATGGAGAAGGCCAAAGTCCCGTGCCTGACTGCTTAGATTGCAGCCGAGCAGATCCGAGTCACTGAAAACCCGTTTCTTCTTGACCACCATCAGGAAAGCAAAGCGGCTCAGCTCACACACGGCTTGAATCAAGTATGGTGGGAGATCGCGGAAAGATTTGACTCTGTAGTGGAGACGTGCGCTTGCTGCGTTCCTCACTATCCAATACATGACCCTTGTGATGCAGGCAGGGAGCCTGTTTTCCTCCTCCATCATACTGCAGAGCACTGATGCAAAGAACGGTATTGACATGAGAGCAAGGATGCTGATGTTTGCTTCTGGTTCTTTCTTAATAGAAATGCATGCATCACGCCCAGCTGCTTCCTCTAAGTGCTCGTACACACCTTCCGCAGTCAGGCCAAGCAAGTGTACGTGCTGCTGATATTCACCGCTTGACGACAGCCGGACTGCATTGTCACATGGGCGTGAAAATACCAAAACATGATGACCACACGCCATTGGTGAGAACAGAATATTTCTCACGTACTCATCGCAAGACTGGACCACGCACACATCAAGATCATCAAACACCAAGCAAAGACCAGATGGCTTGCGCTGGAAATAAGTTGACAACGACTGCACAACACCTTCCTCAGCCTTGGATCCCAGTGCGGCTGTGAGCAGGTCATTTAAGCAGGTTGCCCTGCACACATTGGGATCGCACAGCTGCAGGCTTAGGATGAGCTCAAGTTTCTCCGCCAGTATCTTCCCCGTGCTCCACTGATGAAGCAATACATCAGCAGTTGTACTCTTTCCGCAGCCAGCTGAACCAAGCAACAAGCAAGTTTTGACATCAGCGTCAGCACACACTGCTCCATTCTCTTGAAGTCGACAGGAAAGCAACTCGGCCATCTTCACCATGCGCTGTTCTTCACTGCTTGCAGCTAAACATGATCTCATAAAGACTTCTTCCTGCAGCTCCTGGTCACCACTAAACGAGAAATACGATTGCTTTGCAAACATTGCTGCCGGCTTTGCACTGTCAAGGTGAGCTAGGTTGGGTGAAACTTTGTCAAATGCGACCAGTCTCTGACCAATGGGTCTTGGATATTTTTCCTGAGCGTTTCGGCCCTCCAAAATACTGCAGAGGATATTTTTGACAGATTGAAGGCAGGCAGCAACGTCCACGAGGGAACGCTTAGCTGGAGGGCCTCCCTCCTCGACTTCTTCATGGCTAGCCATGATCACGTTTGCTCTTGCACAGCCAGTTTCTTCAGTGCCATTGAACAATGGATCTGTGCTTCAAGTCATCCCAGACAGTTCATGTGGATGTTTACGGAAAGCAGTGCGTTCCAAGTACACTCCACACTCCATGATCATAGACGTAGTTGTACCCTTAAGCCATTGATTGTCATGGCTCCACAGATTGAGATGACTACTCACCCGTGCGCACTACGCAAGTGTTACCCGTGCAGGAAAAGGCACGCAGTCGAGCTCGCACTGATATTCTTCTCTGGCTCTGGCTTCCTGAAATCAGGCTGTGCGAGTGCAGGCCCGCGGTCACTAAGCGTGTCACCGGTGCTGACAAAAAGTGGTCAGAATCTGTACAAGCATGAATGATTCGAAACACAGTCTGTCATGCTGCCTTACAATGAATGCGTGCAGATAACACCGAGATGGGAGCAAGGAACTGAGCAGCATGTCAAATTCACTAAGACACAGATCACTGTGTATGACCTTGTGTGGGACCATGAAATCTGTCGTGCAAGACATAGAGTCAGAGAGCAGATCCAACGTTGATCATCATGATACCATGGTACTAATACTTCAGTAGTATACGACGTACTTCAAGTACATGGCAATAACTATAGTACAAGGTGCAATGTGTAAAACAACACGTAAAAACAAGAACCATTCTTCAGCACGGTCTAGTTTTGACATTTCAGTGCAATCGCAGAAAATAGAACATTGCTGCAGATAACAGTGTATCATCATTCGTGTCTGATCCAACCAGGGTAACACGAGTGAATGTGAATATGCCTGCGACTGGGAATACAGAGAGTTGGTCTGCCCAGTCATTGTTCAGTTCGAATGCACATCAATATTACCAAATCTTAGTTTTATGTTTGTATCTCTGGTGATCTTTGGGCCTGGAGAGCACTATAAAAAATGGTGCTCTACAGGTAAAATCCTCCCTGGCCTACTCAAGCTCTGCTAATGATGAATGAGTTACCGGAAATGCTGCATATTGAGCAGGGAGTGGTGCCTACTTGCAAGTTTGCTGAGTTGAACGTTTGATGGGTGTCCCGGTTGCTCTGGACGGCCGGTGCGAGTCAGTCAAGTGGCAAGGTGAGTTGGCAGGAATGGTGTGACCTGCCACGTAGGGTGCAACCTACAACTCCTCAAGTTTGGCTTTTTCAATTCTAAGTCAGGGCATGGTAAGTGTCACCAGATTTCATTGAGATATGCCAATCCTTGATATGCCAATCCTTGATATGCCAATCCTTGATATGCCAATCCTTGATATGCCAATCCTTGATATGCCAATCCTTGATATGCCAATCCTTGATATGCCAATCCTTGATATGCCAATCCTTGATATGCCAATCCTTGACTCGAAGGGCATTACAATGTGGCACATTAATTAATCTACTACTTTTGCTACCAATTTGTATATTACTCATTTTCAGAACGGAGAAGTTCAAGTTTTAGGTGCAAGCTTGCCAGTAATAGAAAGTTGGTTAGCAGCCCAATTTTGCAACTAGTGGAGCGGTATTTGCAGCAGGAGAGCACAAGTTTGAGTGCAAAGCAACTCACCACCAACAAACTTCAACTTTGATTTACAACAAAATCTGTTCTTCCATTTTACACACATATTTTGCTTGCTTGAAGGCCCGGGATACTTCCTACATTGTGCATGTATATGGCAAGGCGGTTACGTCCTCTGAATATTCATACTCCTATACACATATCAGATCAAGTAGGACAAACTAACTCAGCCAAGCGTAAACCCTGATCGACTACAATGGCATCCACACAAAATGCAATGGTGTGAAGCAGTGACGTAACAAAGGTCATTGATATTGACTGTTCAGCTTCTGCCGGTGACTTGACCCAAAGCCAAATAAAGGCAACACAGGCTTTATTAAAATAATGTGCTTGTGCTGCCATAGCCGATATCACATACCGTAATACTGTCTGTATACAATACATGCGAGTAGCACCGTCTTTTCCGGAGTACTGTAAGACCAGATATTTTGACGTCAATTAAAGTTAACGATCTCTGGGTTTTTGTGGGTTAACGAGGTGAAATTATAACCAATTCTGTCTCAAAGCCGACAAATGACTGTACATATCGTTTTCCACACGACTTTAATGTTAACGATTCTTTCAAATTCGTTAACGTGTTAGAATTAAAAATTGTTAAATGTTCGTTTTAACATTGCTGGTCTTACAGTATATAAGCTGCACGCAGGTTTTTTGTCACGAAACACAAACATCTTCCCTGTTTATCACCGCCAATTTGACCATTGGAGTATAAACCGCGCCAACTGTTTTGGGTGAATGGCTGGTGTTTAAACTGAGTGCAGTCTATACAGTCTGGAAAATACGGTACATCACACCGTCCATACCTGCACTGCATAGTCCACTGATGGACTGTCCACTGCCATGGTGAACACCCCACTTCCTGACAAGGTCAAGGGGCTCGCCGTGTCACCCTTGACCTCGTTTGCGACCTGTGAACAGAGCACGCATAGAGCAATCACTGTCACTGTGAATCCCGGTGCACTTTCCACTAGCGCCTAGGGAGCCTCTTGCACAACAGAGAAATCTTTGAACTATCAACCCATACAGACCACATCTACCGCTGACTATACTCAGTGTTGATCATTGGATGATATACATTCAGGACAGGTCACAGGCAACACTGGTGTGCTGAAGGCCCGGGGTCTGCAATGTTCTTTCAACAAGCTCGTCTGAGACAGTCGAGTCGCTGGTCATGTGCAAACAGGCGTGTAGCAGCCGGTCCGGCCGGTCAGGCTTTGGCCGGATCACTTTTTTGAACACAATGCCAAAAGTGCCCAGAATGCAGGATTTTGCAGCCTAATTTCAAAATGTTCCTGGGCAAGACCCCCCCCCCCCCCCCCCCAGATCACCTCCAACGGCGGTGCTATGCGCCTGTCAAAACGCTCCCTTTGGGTGTAATGTCTGGTAATTACAATACTAGACGTATACATGTCAAGCCAGAAGCTCAGTGCAAACATTTTCAATGGAATTGTCAACCTACGTGTCCTTTGTGCTTGGTATGGCTTTGCCTACAACATTGAAATCATAAGTTGTTTACTTCCACCCTGGAGCTCGCGCTTTTCCCGCCCACCTGACTTGATACATAGTGTTTCGGGGAATTCACCCATATCACTGAGTTGAGCTTGAGCAGGCTCAGGAAGACTGTACCTGAAGAGCACCACTTCTATAGTGCTCTCCAGACCAAACCATCACCAAAACAACTTCCTTATACAACTATCGCCGAGGTTGCTACCACTATTTCATTGAAATCATCTTTTTTTTTATTATTGTTGACTAGCCAAGACAACACCAGAGTGTAAAGCATTAATAGAGCTAGCAACACACCTTTAGTTGCCACTCCTTGTCTCCCAAAGCAAGACGGCCGGAGAAAGTTGTTGATCCCTGGCAACGTGAAACAAGAAGAGCATGATCAGGAACTGCTCGTGAGATATATTTACTCTCATACGCGGCTGGCACAGGCGGCACAAAGACAACTCTAAATCACCCTTTGTCAACATGAAATTTGACAATGTATGTATGCCGTTGGCGTCAGGCAACTTCAAGAATAACAAATGTTAGCAATACACAATGCATGTAGTTGCACAGAACAGAATCTTTACGGTGCCTGCTTCGCATCTTTCATCGTGTCACATATTTCAGAAATAGCTCAAGTTGTTGTGCACCATGTACCTCAATTGAAACTTCATGGATCCACATGGCAAGACATCTTGTTAAAAAAGCATGGTGCTTCTTCCGTCTCCTGATCTCACGGAATGTGAGTGTTTTTCACATTTCAGCATTTACTTTACTGTACAAATATTCCACCAAGCTCTCAGAAAGTAGCTAGAAGAGAAAGGATATTCAGGTATTCTGGACATGGCCAAGGGCATCCAGAACACTCAGAACATTGGGTCAAGAACATGAAACACACAATACAGGGTGAATTTAGAGTGCAACGTTTTATAAATTAAAAACTTACACTGAGCTGAATGCCCTCAATTCGACCAAGACGAGCAACAACCAGGTACGATTCGGTTGTAGAAACGGTCTGCGGAACCTGTAGAGGTAGCAATGTACAATAGAGATTTGACTTGCACAGCGGACAAGAGAACAGCTGTGAGCGTAGTTACAGCCACAGAACAAATCAATGGGAATTTCCCGCCAGGATTCGTTCTGGCAAAGATGATAATTATCACACAATACACGTGTACCTTACCGTGGGCAGTGC